GTCGAAAATGGTTGATTTTTTTAAGGTAATAAGATAGAAAGTTCGAAAGCTTCCGAACCTTTCCAAACCTCTCCGTTATATCTTCAAACATCAGGTTCGAAAAAAGTTCGCAGAATCATTACTCATTATTCCCAACCATATATAAATCACCCCCCTAGCGCTACGACGAATGCGCTTTCAAAATAAACAGCTAGATGGGCTAACGTGTTAGCTGAAATAAACGCGGCGCAAAAGCACATGAGCCAGAAATAAGAAGACAGGACAAGCGCTGTTTTCTCCTTCTACTCGTCCTGGCCCTTTTGCGTTGTGTTTATTTCGATGTTCGCTTTCAAACACGGATGCAATGCACACGCTCGCACGTGCATCTATGCATTCAGAACGATATCAGGTTGGCATCGATCACATTTGAGAGACCACATGCGCGGACCTCTCTCTCCAGGCTACCTGGAGACGTCAGGCTGTTCCAGGAAAGCAATTTCTAACAAAGCCTCGGCCAGAAAAATGGATTTCAGTATAATGAAAACAGATGACTCGCACGCCCAGATGCGAGATTCCCAGTATGGTTTGGAGAAACGCGAAATAAGCGTATACAGACCTGTCTCGACGTATCTACACGCAATGATGCCGCGCAGTCGTTTGTTGTGTCGAAATATGCGCGCACCAAGCACTTCAACTTCAGGCGACTTCCAGTGCCGAGCTAGTGGTAGTTTCTGCGTAGAATCATCCGCGGGCAGCATAAAGCGAACAATAAAAAGTGTTCCCTCGTCTGCCGTCAGCCTCCGCATTCAGATTTGAGGTCTGAGCAGTGAAAACTTCTCAGCTCGAGGCATCGATTTATTCGCTGTCCGTGTCTAACACGCTGCCCAGCCTGTCTGTTATGCCCCCCGCATCGGGAGAGCTAAAAACAAAAGCAAGAAATTCTAGTATGAGCAAGAAAATTCAGAAAGAAAACGCCTTTCGAACTTTACCACATAACGTATGGTTACGTTATCTTTTACTTCTTTTTGCGGGTTATTTTCAGACAGAGCAACGCTTTCGCTTTAACGGTGGGATCTTTTTTTCTTCTTATTTTTATCAAAAAACACCACAGAGATTGAAAGTTTTCGTGTGAAAACAAAAGACAAACAAAAGAAACAACATGGGGAACTTTCGTTATTTTATCATTTTCCGTTTTTGTTTGTTTGTTTTTTGCGTCTTCGGAATAAACCGATAGCGAAATGCACGTGCTTACAGATGCAGTGCCTTGTCAAAATAACTTTACACTTGAGAGCTGCATACGAAGTTCCTCGAGCTAACTTACAACCCTGGCGAACAGATCGTAAAAAAAGTCGGTGCATACCCTCGCGTTTATTTTTTTTTTTAATTCTTTTTTTATTTTTGTGGTCATTTTTATAAACTTAACAAAAAATATGGTTGCTCGAGGAACGCTATACCTATTTACGCTTGATGTGGCACGGTGTGTTGCAGATGCGTACTCAAAGAAAAAAGGCCCTTAGTTTATTTAAAATTACATTCTTAACTATCCCTTTACGGCAACCCATGCAAATCTGGAGGAACACACGTCATATTGAGTTGAATATCATAGGAAGTACTGCTTTCTTTTTCACCCATCGGCGTTTAAAGGTGAGCATCATGTGTATATTCTTTAAATCTTGAAAGTGGACTGAAGAAACTTCTCACGACGTCTTTTGAGAACTCTGAGTTGGTCCACGTACATACGTCGTAGGAGTTACAGAAGCGCCATTTAATGTCATCATTGATCACCAAACACGGGTGATATGACATACCGACTGGATACGTGCACTCACTTCCCACTGCTGTTTTTTTTTTTCTTTTTTTTTTTTTTTTTTTACTATTAAAGGGATATTTTAAAGAAATTTGAAATATACCAGTCGTGTTCAGATATAGGCTGAATAGGATCCACAATATCCGTAAATGTCGATCTCGCGTTTGTATTTTGAGCCTGATAGCTATAATTATTCGTTATAAACGGCCCACTCTGACCAGCGCTCGGAGAGCAGCCAGCGGAGAGCAAGTGACACCCAGCGCAATTGCGACGTAGCCTGTCTCGGGACAACCAAAGCTGCGGCGAGGCTGACGTCGACAAGACAATTGCAAGCAGGGCATATGGCTATGGTGCCTGGAACACGTCCCGGACTGGTGTGTTTACAGCGTCCAAAAAAGCGGTCCCTCGATTTCCGCCTGGTGATGTCATAAAAGTGTTATGCTGTCGCCGATCGCGATCCTGGCGGTGTTCCAACAACTGTGGTGATGTAGCAGATGCCTGTCCTGCTGCTGGTCGCACTCCAGTGTGGCAGTCCGCGGAAGTTTCAGCGGCCAGATGTTGGGACGCCGCGACAACAGCGACACTCGCGTTCGGTTGTGCTACTCGCAGCTTCTCGTTAGTATTGCTACGGTCAACCGCCAGGATCGCGACATGCAACAGCATGACACTTCGGCTTCTGTGACGTCGTTTGTTGCCACTTCGAGAACACTTTTTATGTATGGGCAGCATAGGACGCTAAGCACACCAGTCGAACACGCGCCTCACGCTCCAAAACATGGCAGCCGCCATGCCTCTGCTCGTGCGGGGCAAGTACGTGCAATTACAAGCTCGCCAAAGCTACGTTCACGCGCACGCTGCACAGGCATCGTCACTACTTGGTCACTACATGTCAATGTTCATAGACAGACTACAAACGAGGCTTTTGCGGCATCCACCAGGTGCCATTTGCTAATCGTCTAAATTCGTTTTAAAATTCCTTTTCGTGTTGTTTTTTTCAACAAGAGATAGGGGTGTCCGATGTGCCACTACTCCCTTGAACACGAACAGACCAAGAAATAAGCGCAGAAATTTCGTTGTAGTATCTCTTTAAACGATTATTAGAGAGCTTTAGTAGATCGTTCCGATACCTCCGATAGGCCCGATAACGATACTATGAATGCACAAGGGAGGCGGTGGCGGAGTATCGCGTATCGTTATCGGAGTCATGGGAACGATCTACTAAAACTCTTTATTGTTGTTTAGGGCTTCGGAAGGAGCACGTGTGACGACGAGACAAGCGCGCTCACGTGATTAGGCACACGGAACGGAGCCCGATGTGCGCGTTTCTTATCCCGCAAAAATGGCCGTTCTGCAGATGTCGCTTTTCCACGGTGCACCTGTGCTCTATGGGAAGCGCACTCAACAGCGCTGACTCACCCACCCAAGCAGGCCCACCTCGAGCAATACGGAATATAGTTCTTAAAACAGTTTGAAAACCAGGGTTTGTGTAATAAAAAAGTTTAGTTTCGGTACATTCATAAGACATAAAGAAAACGCTAAAATAACGAGACGGGGCGGCGTAGTGTACAGTGGCTAAATTTCAGGGCCAAAATATCCCGTTCCCTTTCCTACTGAAAAAAAAAAAAAATGCTTAACAAATTAAAAAGAGACCATGCAAGAAAATAATAATAATCCATGGTTGTGTCGGGACCGCGACTGCGGAGTCTGGCAAGTAGGAATATTTTTGAACTTTTGAATGTCATGTGTGCCCGTTAGACAGTCTGCAGCTGCGCACGCGCGCGTTTCCGAAGAGAGAGGGTTGCTGGCGGTGCGCCGCCGCGCCAACGCTGACCAAGGCCACACGCGGCCGCAGCTCCTGCAAGAGGAAAGGTCGCTTCCCGCAACACCTGTATCATAATCCAGCGTCGAACTCCCCCGGTCGTTTTGGAGCGCGCCGGGATAGTGGGAACTGATCCAAAACGACGAGTGGAACAGGTCCATCTCGATCCCGATGGCCCAAGGGATAGGCGCGCTCAAAACGACCGTGCAATTCACCATCCTTATGTTATTTTATCAAAACGCAAACATTTCAAACGCCAAAAGCATTGTCTTTCTTCGACAACCAAATATTCCAAGAACTACTTCGCGCAACGCATAAATAGTGCGCAAGACCCACGTTTGGATCCTAGCTCTGCCGATTATTATTTTCTGCTGGCTATCGAATTTTCATTTCTACCTGACCAGTACTCTTCATTCACCTGCATGTTTGTATCACATAGATGTAATTCAGTAATACTATGTTAAACTAATCAATATCTGTTTGAATAATTACGCAGGCACATCATAACCCAAAATGTAGTGCCCCCCCCCCCCCCCCCCACACCATTATTAGTGTATCCATAATCGAGAAAGAAGAAAATATCTAATGGCACAAATGATCTATTACATCTTGACAAAATGTAGAAAAATGTATTAAAGTTACCAATTTATATTAAAGCTACCATTTTGATGCAAGGTGGCTAGCGTGTTGTTCATCATTAAAGGGAAGATCTGGAAAAATGTTGAGTCGCCGATTTGCCTCAAAATTGCTCCCAACACATTAATAAAGAGAAACCTGAACTAGTACCCAAAATTACGAATCACAATAATGTTTTTTCGAAAAGTTACATCTTCAAATTTGATCCGAGAGGCTCTACTGGCAACACTAAAAATGTGACGTCAAACATAATTTGGGCCAAATTTGAGCAATACAGCTTGTTCCTGATGGGTAACAAGAACCTTAATGGTATGAAATTAATGCTGGGGAAGCTCATGCCAACTAAATGAAAAACAAAATGTAAGAATTACTGTTTCTTAGTCTGCCTGCACAACTTGCAAACGTTGTGCAGGCAGACAACCTGCAAATGGTACCTGGGACTAAAGGTGCGGAAAATATTGGTTTTGGCATAACCTTCTTTTTGCCACCTTCTTAATAGTTATTTTAAATTTGTTAGAGGTAATGAATAGCACGCCAGGAAGAGCAAAGCGTGGGTATTCCAAAACTGCGCTTAGACTGGGTAGCTTTAAAAAAAACGCCATACTATGCAAAAAAAAAGAAAACAAAGTGGGCAGGTACAGGGGAAGAGATGCAGAGGACATGGCCTAGTCAGCAGCCTTTCTAAAATGAAGCAATAATAACCCCCACGAAAACGTGGACTGCCCTCACTGAGGAATTCTGCAAACGGCATTGGCTCATTAAGACAAAGGTGCCACGAGCACCAACCATTTATTATTTACAGCGCAATTTGGAATCCTCGGGGAAACCTAGAAGCCTGGGATGATGCGTCCCTTCTTCTTGAGCCGCTTCATCTTGGTCTGCAGCTTAGCCTGCTTGCGTGCCTTGATGTTCTCCCTCCTCTTGTCCTGGCGCTCCTTCTGCTTCTGCGTTGTGCTCTCCACCCGGGCCTGCCACTTCTTCTGGCTCTGCTGACGCAGCTTCTGCTGCCGCTTCATCGACCGCTTCAGCAACTCAGGGTCGTCCTTCACCTGCGACAAAGAACGAAAAAGGAGCATGTGTCATCACTGAGGGTTTGTCCTCACAAGAACAAAGGAATTGTGAAAAATCTTTCCTAATTTCGGCTATTGTTTCGAGTCAGACCTCGGTGTCTATAAAATATGAAAGAAGTATTGGTGTTTACTTTCTCTTACAGGCTTTTTGTAGAAACTATCTAATCCCTTTTGATGTCAAAAGAAAGAAGTCTGAGTAACAGATAAGCTGCGCTTGTCATGGCACTGTTTTCCATCTTCCCGGTTTTGAGTCGCCATCATTTCCAACAGTCTAGACAAAACACAAGGAAGGTGAAAGCTTGGAGGAAAAACTTAAAAAGGGTACTTGAAAAGGAAAAGGTAAAACAGTACTAAAACAGACAAAGGAAAGAAGAAATGGAGCACGAAGAAAAAACTGAAAAGAAAGTGAAATTATTTATGAAAGAGATGTGAAAATAAAAAAGGGTAAGTAGGTGTGGCTTGTGCATGTTCTAATCTCTGTAAATCCCTCTTCATTTTAGTGCCATGTCCCTTCCAGAAATAAAATAATCAGTCGACAGTCAGCACCTTGTGTGTGTGCTCTATTCCTTGTGCTCTCTGCCTATTTTAGCACTGTTTTACCTTTACATAATTATGAAGCAACTAGCCCAACCTGAAAAAGAGTCTGCTTGAAGTTTTAGATTCAGAGTGCAGTCGACATTTCGCTAATAAACTTAGGCCGAAAAGTAACCCTTTTGGTGAAATGTCGGCTGTTAGTACTCCGAGGCTTCCAAGACACTCCTTCTAGAGCTCATGTAAGGATGAGTGATAGAAACTGCACGCGGACGCTTGTAACAGAGCAGGGGCATTTCAAAAATAGCATAACTTGCTAGTACTTTGGAATTACATAGTCCTAAAAATTCTACAAACATTTACCGGCGAGCTATTACTGAACATTTCTTTTTTATTGATTCTAAAATGCTTAAAGGGGAGACTTCTGCATTGTACAACCATGGTTGTACAATGCATAAGTCTCCCCTTTAAGCATTTTTTTCTTTTTTCTTTAAAGGGAAGCTACGGAGCTTCTTGAAAAAAATGAGTTAGAAGTAAATTCTAGTGTATTTTTACCCTGCGAACCTGAATACCCAAACCATTTGCTGTGCAAGTATTGTTAAACGCGAGAAAACGCGTTTAACACTACTTGCTGTACGTGATGTATTCGACCAATCTTTTGGCTGCCCAAGGCTAGGGAGGTGGGGCTTCAGCCCTATTTTGAAATTGCTCTTATGGCTCTCCGACGCGGCGCATTGAAAGATAATTGTGATATCTGTTATTCTAAAGGTGAAATGAATGCAATTCATGTTTTTTCTCAAATGCAGAAGTGCCCCATCTTCTCTTTAAGCCCCTATCTTTTTTGTGCATGCATGCACAAAAAAGATAGAAGGTTGCGTATGTTAGTCAAAATGGACTTTGAAGAATGGTTGAATGTGAATGTAGACAGGCACTATCGTGGACACAGCTAGCTATAACATCGGCAAGGGCTGTGGTGTTGTCTGCTTCGCATTTATCAGACAACCAAGTAGGGTGTGATTGTGAAATGAGAGAGTGATCAATCTTTGAGAGGAATTTTAACATTTCATTCCTCTTGGAGAGCATGTGGCTCTGAGAGTATGGAATGACCACCACTCGCGCATTTTAGTCGACGGTATCCACAATAGTACATGTGCACTTCAGGCTCATCCAACTCCACCTATTGAGAAAAAGTTGACTGTACCTTGACTCCCTGTACCTTGTCCATGGCCTTGAGCCACTGCTTCTTCTGCTTCAGCTCCTGTGCCTGTTCGGGGTCTCTCTCCTCCAGCGTCTTCAGCTTCTTGGCCTCCACTTCCAGCTTGTGCATCAGCTTCTTGGGCTGGTTGCTGCGCGCCGCCGCAGACTTAAAGGCCTTCTTCTTCTCCTCCGTGTCTGGAATCCCGGAGTCAGCCAGGTCGAACTTGCTGAACACCATCTTGCCTTCCCGGTTGAAGATGGGTGCCGGCTTCCCAGGCGCCGGTTTTTTCGGGGACAAGTTGCCGCCAGGAGCCGTCGAGTCTTCGTTGGCAGCTTTGGGTCCCTTGTTCTTGTTCTTCTTGGCCGCCTTCTTCTCGGCTAACTTCTTGGCCTTGCGCTCTTCCCGAGACTGGATTACAGGAGTCTTGCGAATACCTTTCCATGTGAGACAGAGGTTGCAAAGTGAATACACGCATGCATAACCTTCCGATGAAATCATTCAGTTGCAAGATGACGGTGTAATCTGGAGAACTGTACTACTGGCTACCGGCAGAAAAAATCTTGTACCTTCTCAAATTATGACATAATGATGCTGAAGGGGACAACATACCTGTGTGTGTCTTGTCCCCTTTATCATTCCTAAGTCTCATGTTTTCAAAATATTGAAAGTTGACCATGTTTTCTGCATGTTTCCTATAATTTCGATTAGGCTGAAGTTATACAAAACAGGGGAGCGTGTGTCCTTACAAAATGCTTTTGTTGAGCAAGCTCAGATGAAAACGAGATGTGCTCACTCGTACCAGCAGGAACCCTTATGACAAGTAATGTAAAACTATTTCATATTGTCACGAATGACAGACGATGAGACAGGAGAAAACGGAATGAACTTAAGATTTAATGGGGGCAAACTTGTGCCAGAAATGAAAGAGAACACACATCGAGAAAGCAGCAGCGAGTGAAGGTATGTCGCGCAACAGCTCGCTATCGCTAGAGAGAATCAGTGAATGAATCGGCAATACGGCACTAGGCTCTTTATCTACTATGCCGTCATCTCGAATATCCGACCTAGAATGTTTGGGAAAAAGCTAAGGCGAGACTGACTAGGCAAGGTCATCTGGCTTCTTTCTCTTTTACGCTCGGAATAAGAGTATACACGAATCTTGAACGCAGCACTATTTCACTACGCAAGTCATGATTTTCTCCAATAAATTAAAAACTTAAAAAATAGATTATAATACAACATTGTACTTCGTGTGTCGTTTGCAAGTAAAAACAAGACCTGGGCAAGGAAAACAATGAAAATCCCAATGCAAAGCGTTGCATGGAACAGTTTGAAATGTAAATAGTCTAAGCATTATTGGGAAATGAGTGCTAATAGAGGTTCATAAAAACTAAATTTAAATGCTTGCCCCCTCTGTTGATATACAGTGAAGCCTTACAAAACTAACACAGCAAGGTGCCCCATCTGGGTTCCCATAACTTTACGGTACACACCGAGGGTTGCAAGATACCCAAACTCTCCTGACCACCCCATACCACTTAGTAAAAAGCTTTTCTCCAACTTAAGCTTCTTAATTAGAAGTATGGAATGTCAAGAGAGTTTGGCTATCTTGCCCGCTTCGACCTGGATGAGCATTGTACCGGCATGCGGCTGTGTATCACTATTGCGTGGTTCATGTTAAAAACCCCAGGCCAATGGCTGTACTGCACTGGCTAAATTGCTCATCTATAGCTGAGAGACAAGTTGCCTGTTGAGGCTGACTAACTTCCGGCTGTACTAACATACACACATTATTATTATTAACTTTGGCAAAAGTTAAGCATAGATGAGAAAAGTCGAAGTCGAATTCGGAGGTTTTATGTCTGAAACCAACGATGGGCATCTGGCATACCCCAGCGAAGGGGTAATGATTAATTTGGACCACCTGGGGATCTTTTCACATACAATCAAAATGTTGATCTCTACAATAATCCTCCATCAGATTGCAAGCACCTCTACTGGGATTCAAACCCCCACCTGGGGTTTTGCCTCGATGCCACCGAGGCGGCTAAGCAGAGATGAGCCACACCATATAACACTGTGGTCCAAAAATTCCACATTTTTCATTAGTGAGCATGGCATTTTTAACAAAGTTTGTTTTTACAAGAATGAAGACAGGAAGAGTTATTCTTAACTGTTTTTAAAAGGTAACTAGAGGATATCCAAGACTGAAACGTTTGACGATATTTGATATAGATTGTTCTCAAAAGAATTGGGACGTGCCAAAAATAAAATATGACACAACTATACTGCTAAGACTCATTTGTATCTTCCTATATTTTTACTAAATTTGTTTTGAAAATGATGGCGTAGTTTCGTGAAAAAATCAATATATGTGCGGAGCCCTCGGATCCACCCTATTCGGAAAGGTCGCCATCTGTGTTGGGTTGGTGACGTCATTCGCCCAACGCGCAGCGTCCCCTTGCACACATTCGCAGGCTTGGCTCTTCGGCATCTCACACTTCAGCTTTCTTGTTTACCTTCTGTGTTTTGAAGAAACGGTTTCGAGACGATGACGTCTATGGCATCGCTCGCTTCGTCGGAGTCTTCAACACTGATTGCAGCAGCGATGAGAGCAATCGTTATGAAAAGATATTGGAAGCTGGTCATTTTGACTTCAACCCACTGGCGACCAGCTCCAGCGACGATAACAAATTGTGACGGACAAACTCGCCGTCGTCCGCAATGACCTCGCATGTGCGTGCAGGGTGGAAAGTCAGAACGCAAGGGGGTCGAGAGCTAGAATAAGGAAGCCTAGAATGAGGGAGTGTTCAACTAAATACGATCACGTGGTGTATGGGCACTAAGGTGTGACTAACTTGGGCAGTGTTGACCGGTCCCCAGATGAAAATTATCAACATTCGTAAATTGATTCTTGCAATTGCTAGAGTTCTAAAAATCGCAAAACTTGGTGCATATACTAAGTAGTCTATGAGCATTCCAATTCAAGAATCATCTACCAGTTTAATTTTTGTGACTTAACCCCTTTAAAGGGATACTTCAACAAAATTTTAAATATGCCCGTTGTGTTCAGAAATAGGCTGAATGTGATCCACAATATCCGTAAATGACAATCACACATTTGTATCTTGAGCCTGATGGCTCTATTTTTCCTTACAAGCAGCCCACTCTGGCAAGCGCTCGGAGATTAGCCAGCGGAGAGCATGTGACATCCGCTGCAATCATGAGACAGATTGTCTCAGGACGAGCAAAGCTGCGTCGAGGCTGACATCGAGAGTATGTCCTAGCCGTTTCAGCCACCAAAGTGGCCGAAGCACGCCAGCGATCAGGCCACCGCAGCTAACCCCAAAGCTGCTTTTGTATGAATTTTGAGTGATGGATTAATCTTCTATAATCTTGTAGAGGGACAATAGCGACACCTGGGACACACAAAAGAGTCTCGGGAAAAGGGGAGTTCCTCCTTCCCCTCTTTTCTCATGGGGGCTGGAGGCAAGACAGTTATCGTCACTATCTGTCAAGGTTCCTAGACAGGCATTACAAATGAGGGGTTAGCGACATCCATCAGATGCTTTTTGCTAATCATTTCATTCGTTTTGAAATTACCTTCCGTGTCTTTTTCAACACAAGATTGGTGTGTCTGATGTGATTATGGTCCCTTGAACACGAATAGACCAAAAAATAAGCGCCGCAATTTCGTTGTAGTATCCCTTTAGAGATTAGGCTATCCCCCAAAAGTTTAGTTTGTGCTCTGCTTAAAGATACCAGGCATTTCATGCACTAAAACATGTTGAGTCCCTGGATAACTATCTTGGTAGCAGGAATCTTCTTTGCAATACTGAAAGTACCTTTGAGTGCTTCAATCTTCTCACTAAGACGGTGTTTAAGCTCGTCCAGGTTAGATGCTCTGTCCAAGGCCACAGAATGTAGAGTGCTCATTTCTGAAAGGAAATCAGAGAAGAGGCGACACTACAGACAATAATTCCAGCACAAGTGATGAAAGAACAGATAATAAAATGAGATAGCTCTCTCCACTGTGTCTCAAATTTCTGATACGATTATTTGAAAATTGCATTGCATTCAAACCCTACCAAGACATAGTAGTTCTAAAATCTCCAGGTCACCCTATTCTTGCAAAAGTAAACACAGTCATGGCTGAGACTCAGAAGTGCATGCAAATTCCAGTTTAAGTTCAGATTAACAATCCTTTACCAATGGGCACTAAGCGGCCTGTATCACATAGAAAATTAAAAAAAAAGAAAATGCTCTTTAGTGTCAAAAACATTTTGATGTTCTTCCTTATAAAAAGTGAAAACAAACCTTTGTGTAAATTAGAAGAGCATAGAGCACTGCAAAGTTTTCTTTGAAGAACAGACAATGTTTCCTTATATGGCCTTTCACCGAAAAAACCTGGATAAAATTTTGTTTTCTTCATGAGCTCAAATGATATGAGAACTGCCACAAAAAAAGCAGTTTAATTAATGAAAAAGTGTATATGACTTGCAGATAGGGTTACCCACTCTTCAATGAGTGAAGTCGGGACGGGACGGGACGGAACTGGGGGGGGGGGGGGGGGGGGGGGGCAGCGCGAGGCAGCATGTTGACACGAAGGGGTTTGTACACACAATGATGATGATAACAGGCGCAGCCCGGCACCAGCGTCGCCCCGATTTCCAGCTTGCCATGGTTTGCATGCTAAAGTGGCTAAAGTCTCTCACAGCCAAGGCTAGCCACCGCAGCACTGCTTCGTATGATTCGTGCTATGCAGTGTGACGCGCATTGTTGGGCATGCATTGGATCCTATACAAAATTTCTAACTGGACAGTCTGGACCTAATCCAAGACATACAGCTGTCCCGACAGGGATGCTGCGGGACTCGGGACGCTTTATGAAAGTCGGGACAGTCCCGAAAAATCCGGGACGGCTGGTAACCCTACTTGCAGAAGGTATTTTTCTGTTTGACTAAAAAGATTTATTTAGCAAATCCTTAGAGTCAGATAAACACTCCTATTGCCTCCAGCAGTTTTGGCATGTCTTTGTGCAGCTGGTAGTCCGCACACAGCTTATTCAAGCGGTTCTGAAGTCACTTCATTGTCTTTTGAACCCTCTTCACTGGGGGCTCACCTCTGTGTGCTTGCAGGAAAATTGTTGCAACCAATGCCTGATCTTACTGAACCTTTGTCTTGTGAGCTTTTGTCTGTTGAGCTTATTTCCGGCCAGCATGACACTCCATCGGCTGCTATAGCTCACGTGTACACGTTAGGGAATTCTAGAACGGCAGAAATAGCAGCTGCCACAAGGATCGTTGACAGATACACAAGAAATGAGAGCTACAAGACAATTGTCGAGCTTGTAAACTTTCCGAACAGAACAGAGAACACAACAACAAGACTGCTCTGTTTTTCCCTTTCACACTGTCCCGTTTTTGTGCTCCTTCGTGTCTGCAGGGCTCAATCCTTAAACTGCTCAAGTATTGAAACTTGTCAGGCACGTCAAATTCTACTCACTCGCTTTCTTCTTCTGCGCTCTCCTCAGCCTCTTCAGCGACTGCTTTTCAGTGAGGCCTCCTGGTTCCAGCCCCTGATCGCAAAGTATCTGGCTCACCGTCTTGAAGGTAGAAGGGTCCAGTCGTGCCAGCTTGTGCTTGCCATGCACCGACATTTTCTGCATTCTCTTTGAAGCTACAAAAGAAAGCGGCGGCATAAAATAAAATTAAAAAACTCGTAATTCGTAATTATAAGCGTACTTTAGAGTCCCCGTGAGTACGGTACCTTTCACTCTTTCATCGACCTTTTGGTGCACTTCGCTGGTCAAGGTGTCAACAGTGTCTTGATCGAAGTAGTACTTGGGCTCAATCGTGTCGACTAGTTTGAGCATGTAATCGTTTTCGGCTTCCAGACGTGACCGCAAGTCGCACAGTGGATCGTCTGATCCATTGCTGGGACTCGATTCACCCATTTTTCCGCGAAAACTGAACGATCAAGCAAGGAACAGCGACTCCACATGCACACAACCGCACAAAATTACAGACGTGCACAAAACACGCGCTGCGGTGGACGTCGCCATGTTTACGCCTCGATGCGAATGAGTTTAGAATAATAGCTTTTATTATAAAGTTTTTAGCAAGTTTAATGTTTATTGCAATAAAATAAATATAAATAATTAGTGGTTGAAAATTATTTTGAACACAAATATTATAAAATCTTCAGACGTTGTTGGTTTGCTGCGGACTCGCAACAAAATGTCCGACTCTCTCCAGCTGTAAAGAGTTGTAATGATAATTCGTGCGAAATTTCGGTTTCCTCTCCTTTGTGCTACATGAAACTTGTACAAGTAAGCAGTGAATTTTTTTAACGTTTAAGGGTTTTCCTAAATGAATTGTGAAACTCAAACAAAGTCATTGGCGGTGATCGAACCCTTGAGAAAAGCAGCAACTTGAGCAAGGCAGCAGAAACGGATTTCGATGTTACTACGTGGTGTCGTTTGGCGCATGTTTCATCGATTTCTCGTGGTTATTTTTTTTAGATATTTATGATTTACATTCTGCGGGGGGTTAATATTATGTTAAAAGTGTATGAAAGGCTAATCATCTTATCTCGATTCGCTCATGAAGATAATTTTGATCGCACTCGTAGGCTTATTTCGTTTTCATCTGACTCTGCATGTTTGCTTACCGATCGACACAGTCTTGCAACATGTAGAGACGCTGAAAATATCGCGGAAGCCAAGCGTACCTGACGCGAAATTTAGGGCAGTCTATATTCTTAAAATTTGCTTGCTGCTCTTGTATGCCCCCGAAGCTGAGGTCACCTCAATAATTGTACGTTTTTTTTCCTCGACAAGTGGTTTTTACCTCACCTTTTACTAAATCGGCGCGTTCATTTTCGTCTTCTGATCGATCATAAAGCGTGGCATGGCCCGCTGGGCTGTGTGCTTGGGGTCATCTTGATTTCAGTGACGCTAATCCCTTCGCAACTGACAAAACTGAAGGACACTTATTTGTGATCCAGAACTTATTTCTCTAACCGTCCCCCCTCCCTCCACTTGACTGACTAGACGCAATCAGTGCCCAATGGTTCGAAGTTCGAGACTGACTTAAAGGCCGACGATCAGACTCGAGATTCGGCAAGGCAGAAGATCCTCCTCACCATAGGGGAGGAGGAAACAGCCAACGGTGGACAGGGTAGAAGAGGTGAGAGGAGGAAGTTTGGGGGAAAGTGGAAAGCGCGAACTGGTCGTCGGCCTTTAAAGGTTTTATGTCAACCAAGTTTGATGAACGGGCAGGAGTGCAGACAAGCTAAGCTACATTCTAAGCTTGAAACATATTGAATCCACGTTGAAATGGATGTCGCTCGCAATATTGTGCAATAGCGAATTCACTAAAAAATGTCACATGAAAAAATGTATACAATATTAAAGCTTTACAAAGGCTTTGTGGTTATTGTGGTCAGAGTGACCTTGCTAAGGTGAATCGTAAAATTCCACTCGAAATTTGGTCATTATGACACACTGTCTCAAATTTAACATTTACGATTTAAATTGAAGGTAAATTGCTGCTTCAAACATTTCAGGGGATTATTTCAACGGTGCTACTTCGTTTGAATGCGCTATGTTTCTAGTGTCATGTTCAACATTACGTGAACTGATCAGGTGCAAATCTTGCTCAAGTGGTGGTGACACTGAAAGTACCTTTCAGTGTCACCACCACTCGAGCAAGATTTGCACCATTTTAAAGTTGCTAGTGACAAACACGAAACTATGGACGTCGCAGACTTCTTTCAAACCTCGGGTTCGACTGGCTCGGTGAACCTCCAAACTTCCAACAAAATTTGACAAAATTCTACTTTTTTAACAGCGTTGCCTGACCTGCCCACACACAATTTAAAAGTTCGGGGGAAGATAATTGCTACAGTAATTTGGAGTAAATCTAATGGAATAATTACCCAAATTTTACGCCGTATAAAAGCAGACGTGGTTGCTTCATGGTCTAGTTAGTTTGGTAATGTAGAACAATATCCTTGATAAATGCTCCACTGTCCTGCTACCAGGTGGCGCCACTAGTTTTAATTTCCTTGCACGCGCGTAACCAAGCTTTGGTCAATCTTAGTATTAAAATGAATCTGGTTGTACTTCAAACTCAGCAAGTTTGCAAACATCTGCGTATAGGAACAGCTTTTTTGTAGCGTGTGCACCCAACCAGTGTAGGGAAATAGCAACTTGAGACAAGCTTGCGACCTCGTAAGAACACCGAAAGCATCAGCGAATAAATACCAGAAAGAAAACAAAACAGTGCTCCACTAACAGATAAACTTTAATGTTAAAAGAGATTTGAAAATGTGTATGAAACCAAACCTGGAAAGAGATTTTTGAAGCTTTTAAATGGATGCTGAACCGAAATTCGGAGCTCACAGAACAAGGCTGGAGTGATAGGCGGGATGCTGCAAAACCCAAAAACATCACTTGTACCGCAATAGCTCTAACGGTTGGACGTATTTGAACGCGGCCGACGAGACATGTCACTTCATGATTCTCATTCCCTCTCCTCTTTGCTTCGTCCCCTCGAGCAGGTAAACCAAAGCAAGGAGGAGAGGAGCAAGGCTGCTGCTCCTCGTTCTCAGCTGTTGCAGTTGAGAATGTCACGGTCCTCGCTCAGTCGCACCTTTCTTTTCTGAAAATACGGCCATCCGTTTGAGATATCGATGTATGAGCAATGTTTTGGAGTTTGTAGCATCCCATTCGACGCTTCTGTGGCCTTATTTCGCAAAATCCCAATTTCGGTTCCACGTCCCTTTAATGTCAAGCTTTCTGGCAAAATGATATGTGCTCGGTCGTTAACACCTATCATGCCGTGTAATTTGAGTACATCGCACATCATTTCGAAAAGGCATATGTGTTTCTGTTTTTCTGATCGTAGTTCAGTTGCCTTAGTCACTGACAAGATGAGAAGGGCAGGGCATATCTCTTTCGAATGACGCCAGCACTCGCTTTTCGCCATGCTTCGTCGGCATGTGCGAGCTCGGGGCCGTTGAGACGCCAAAGTATTATCAAAGGTAGAGAGCTCATGCTGGAGGCGGGACAACTGAAACTCCCCTCCCCCCCCCCCCCCCCCTTACCATTCTCATCCTTCCAGTGACTATAGTAGCACATTGTCTTTCTTGTACGCTCCATTTCACGTAAACACGATGATGCAATTTTGCCGTCGCTCGCTCTGCTTCATCTGACCGTGGAGTCAACTGCGGTCAGACTTGAAGGGAAGATAAAGCACTTTTCGACGAAACCGAGTTTAGAGCAGATCCCTGCCGCTTTTTTCTCTCATGAATTCTATTATCGTACTCAAATCAGGTCAAAATAAAGGTAAACCACTTTTATTTTGAAAAAAAGAAAAAGGGCTGGGATTGTTATGTGGCGTGTGGTGAGCCTCTCAGTCGTCCATCATTCGTCTAAGACGTGGCATCGTCGTTGGCATCTCTGATTCATCTCCGAGTGACGAGCGAAACCCCGCCGACGACGTCGCTTTCACTAGTTTTACCCTCCGCTCTTGTGCTTTCCTGCGCTCGGCGTGCAGCAGCGGGTGGAGCTTCGCTCAAGTTTTAATGCAAAAGCATTAACTGTCTCATGGAGCGAGCTGACGTCATCAGTCTGAGACGCAAAAACGGCAGATAGTTTCCTTCGGTTTTATTAGCTGGCGTGCGTCAATGGGGCTCTCATTGGCCGCTGCGCTCATCAGTTTTCATGACTGATCACTCCATGGCGCTGCGTGTCCATCAGCGTAAAGCATCCAAGGTCACCAGGGGAGCACCTGCGCCGACCGGCGACGAAAAGTACGCAGCAGATGAAAAAGGGAGCAGACGAGCGGCTTGCACGTTTTTGCATTCACAACTCATAAGAAATGCTTAGGTGTACCTCAATCTTTTTTAATTGCTGATTATGTTGCTTCTACTGATAAAATCGAAAGAAAACTTTGGACAGATAATTTAGAGGTGCCCACATTCAAACTTTCACCGTTTTTATTTGTTTATATTTTTTTGTAAGTAAGAAATTTTTTTTGGTTTCCTTTAATGTGAAATGAAATACAGTCCTCGTTCCTCTCTGCTTTTATTATCCTTGCATAGTACCAACTTGCCGTCTTCCCACCCTCAGGTCGGCCTCCTTGGTGGCTGAGGGGAGGCATCGTGCCTGAGGAGGACGATCATGGCGGAGGACGCTGCGCTGGCCCGTCTGAGGCGCTTCCTCTACACGGGGCTCGAGGGCAACCGCTACCAGCCGGGTCGGAGGGACTTCTCTGCTGAGTCTGTGCAGAGCGTGCCGTCGCTGCTCGCCGACAAGAGGGGCGTCGAGGTGGTGAAGGAGGTGCTCTGCTTCGCCAAGGGAGAGCCTAAGACGCTGTGCCCGGACGCCTTGGCCTACGTACTGGCACTCTGCGCTGCGTCGGATGACGCAGCCACCAAGACGGCTGCCTACAGGGCTTTCAAAGAGGTGCGTGCTGTCGCCATTGTGGAGGCACTATAGGTGTGTTGGTATAGGGACGGGCTTACGCATCGTGTCTGGGTCGTAAAAGATGCAGAGTCTGGGGGCTCAGAAAGTTCACTGGCCGACACCTTTTGACTAAACAGCTTCGTGTGAAAGACGCGACGAGCTGGCGAAACTACCGTAATTTCCCGAGAAGTACCCCCACCCTCGAAAGATGGCGCGCCCTAATTTTAAGCACGACTTTCTGTGCGAGAAAAAAGGCCAAAATTTAGCCGACTCCTACAAGTTGCACCGCCCGTGTAACCTTGGCAGTAATGCATCTATTTTTTTTTTTTTTCACCTCTGTTATATTGCTGTGTTTGTCGTGCATTTTTTTGGCACTTGTTGGGAGCACTTGGAGACAGCGTTGTCCGACTGAGCTTGGTGCACCATGTGCCTCTCAGCAGAAAGCACTTGCATCCAGGGAACACGAAAAGAACAGCAGCCGTGGCATCTGTAACAAGGCACTGAGAGATCTGAATGTAGTCTCAATCCAGCTTTGCTACTGTGTTGTTATGTGGTATCAAGGCTACAAGACAAAGGCAAAATGGCGAGAACTCAATCCACGGCTGTGGGAGCAGCGGTATTATATATAGGCAATTCTTTTAAACAGTTTGAAATATAGAAAAACTAGCTGAACAGCATCTGAAATTTCTGTCGCTGTTATATAGTTGTACAAATAAATAAATATAAATACCGAAACATGAACTCCTTGGGATGAGTAGCGGAATAATTGAGCATGTCCAAAATTTTTGTGTTCGAAAAATCAGTTGGCGACTGTAAACTTTACATTCCGATAGCGTGCACGATGAGTTGGAGAAATAGGCTGCAAAGAAACAACTTTCACATTCTTTAGAAGAATGCATTCCCAGCCTGGCTACAATACCGTCTTGTTAACCTTTTTGGTAGCACTCCCAACATCAGCCGACCCCTTATTTTCACCAATTTTCTCTTCATTTGCTGGGACCTATCTGTCTAGAGTATTGCAATATAGGGCAAATTTTCCGTGTTCGTTTCCAAAGGACATGATAACTGAAGAATTGAGTAATTTTTGGCAAAAGATACGAGGAATTTCTAGAAGTACTGCAATGTTAATGAAACATACAGATGACCGACATTGCCACCTCTGCCCACGCACACCTGGGGCCTTTATCTTCTACCGTTTCCTTCACACCCACCGACGAGCTGCCTTGGAGGTTTAAAGGCAAGCACCGACCTTTGGATCCTCAGTTGGTAGATTGGAATCACAGCCGAGGTGCCTGCAATCCGACGAAGGCTCATTGCAGAGAAGGCGCTGGTAACCGAGATTTCAATTGCATGTCAAAAGATCCACAGAGGATCCAGAATAAACCTCAACCCTTCGCCGAAGTCTGCCAGACGTCACCCTATTTCATTTTGGTGTGCCCCCTTGCCCTGACACAGGTGTGCTCGAGCCCCACGCAGCTGTTTGCCGTGACGCGCTTCCTGGAGTCTGTGAGCCAGGGCACGGGCTGGGGCCGTGCCCACCGCAATGCAGTGGCTGCCTGGTACACCCGGCGCAAGCCCCGGGAGCTGGCTGCCCAGGTCACCAAGGTGGTGTGCAGGCACCGCTGGACCCACCAGGACGTCATCCGGCTGGCTCACGTGCGGCCACCGGCTTCCAACCTGGGTGCGTCATCGGCTCTTTTTTTATTTTTTATTCTTTTTGCCGCGAAGGTGCATGCAAAGGAGGCAAGGGAGGCTAGATTCACATGACATACTCTCGATTTGAAATCTCACCGGAGGCCGCATTAATTAACTTTCACCCTATCTTTCAAGTATGTGTGGAGGCAGTGTTTTCCAGCCCACTCGAGTTCTTTCACGTTGGGATCGACCAAGCCAAACAGAGATATGGTTGGTTGCTCGTCTTCATTTATGACCGGTTGGCCACAAATGGATAATCGTGCGGGCAAGCGTCGTTTCAACTTGCGGTCGCATGTTACAGTTACACAATGCATCGGTTGTCTCACATAGCGCAGTTGCTCAACTGTTTCTGCAGTTGCCATCATTTCAGTTGCTGCGTACGCCATAGATGCAGGTATTCGAACCGGCGTTTAGTGGCCCAAAGCTAGGGTAACTATGTGCACGCTTTACTGATGGTGACAACATTGTCCCCGGAATACCTTTGTATTCCGAGCACTTATTCCTTTTGTTCTGGAGCGCGTGAAAGAGCGACGCCTGGTACAAGCTCTTGGTGGTCACTGACAGGATGAATGTGGCAGGGACGAGTTTTAGATGTCCCGCATCCGGCACATGCTCGCTACTTTCGATAATGTTTGGAGCATCGAGGTCGAAAGTAGAAGATGCACCGACAACAAAAAGCCGAGCCTGCCCTCCATTTTCCCAGGGGTGTCCCTAGTGCTGCGCTACCTGACCAAGGGGTTCCAGGCGGCGGAGGAGTACCTGGCGGAAGAGCGGGCCAAAGGGGTCGTCAACCCAGAGGCGGCAGAGGTGCTGGCCTACCTGAGGGGAGTGCACGAGGTGAAGCGCACCTCGGACGAGCAGACGGCCGCCAGGCTTGTGGAGATGCACGACCTGGCTCTCGAGCATGTCCCCACCCACTTCCTCAAGTCCAAAGAGGTGGGTGCAGGGAAGTGCGGCGCCCAAAGCATGTTTCCGATTGTTCGCCGCAGTTGGCGGGAGTGGATGCCACAAAGGTGCTGCGGTATTTGGTGCCCCGGTGGGCTTCCGGTAGCATATTCATTTGTTCTCTAGCAGCTCACAGTGATCAGGTAAGAAAATTTTCCTTCGGAGAACTATCCGTAACACGTTGATAAGAACCTGCGCACATCGTAGAAGGTGGTCCAGACAACGAAAGGATGCGAGAGAAAAACAAAACAAGAGGAAAACTGGAAGTGTGCTGGGGTCCGCCGATAGTGGGCGGTAGCGAGCTCGTTTGCAAACAGAAGTCGGCGATTAGCCACCGACACGCCGAGAAAGGCAGGGAGAAGCTTCGGTCGTCCTGCCTCCAGCACGAGCTTCCCGCTTTCCACGACGCTTTCGCGTCTCGTGCATCTCAAGCAAGCGCACACATTCTCCTTCCGTCCCTCGATTAGTCCCTTAATTTTTGCCCGACGATATCACAAAAGTGTTACGCCATGGCCTGTCGCCTACGTGACGGCGACGCGACAGTAGGGTCAGATGCGGCAGACGCCTGTTCGGCAGCCAAACAGTTGACGGAAGGCAAAGCAGATGTGAGACGGGACGCCACAACGGCAGGGATCCGCTGACCCCTATGACATGTGCGCGGGTGTTTATAAACGGCTTCTCTCGACTGCACGCAGGTCAAATGAACAAAAAATGAACAGTTAACAGCGCAATAGGAATCGGTAGCAATGGTAGTACTCACCCGGGGAACGACGCGCGAAGCGGCGTGTTGTCCGTCAGTACTCCCGTCGAAAAAGGCAAAATAAAGACACAAATACTATATACGGTACATACAAGAAATATTGCGCGCCGAAGAGAATAGAAACACTCAGAAGCAATAAAAAATACACTGGAATAGATAAAAATAGGTAATAGAATCGAAAAACAGAGGATTGAGAGGAGACAAGCAACAAGGCAACGCAATCTCAAGACAGAGTGGCCAGGCGAGGAACAGTCTCTTCCACTATTCCTCGTGCGTGAGCCGGGGCACTTGGGGGGATTTGGCAAAGGTCTGTTTGGCGTTACGAAGAGTTGTGAATGGCTGTCATTTTTTGCGGGCACTTATACGGCCAATTGCCTGATCTCGAGATGCGACGGCGCAGCATGTCAGCTCCCAGACATGCTCTGTTACCGCTTCAGGACCACTTTCGACGCACGGGTGGTGAGGGACGGTAAACGCACCGGTCAGAGGCGCATTCTCGACATCGTGGTAGGGGTCTTCATTATAAAACATTACATACCTTAAAGGGATACTGAACCGAAATTTCGAACTCACAAAACAAGGCCGGGCGGATAGGTGGGAAGCTCCAAAACCAAAAAGATATCACTCATATGGCGATATATCTAACGGATCGCCATTTTTTTTGGAAAAGAAGTGTGCGATTGAACCCGGCCGACGAGGCCAACGCGACAGAGCACATCACGATTCCCATTCTCTCTCCTCCTCGCTACGTCCCGTCAAGCTGGTGAACCGAAGCAAGGAGGAGAGAAGCGAGGCTGCTTCTCCTCACTCTCAAATTCTCCCGGAGGACAGTTACGTCAAAGAACTCGCTTGATCGCGCCCTTCTTTTCCAAAAGTATGGCCATCCGTTTGAGATATCGATGTACGAGTGATGTTTTGGAGTTCGTAGCGTCCTGTTCAACACTTCTACAGCCTTACTTTGCGAAATCCAAATTTCGGTTCAGTATCCCTTTAAAAGATGAAGTGAGAAATCCCTTTGAAGGGTAACTCCGGTCAAAAGTTGAATTAAAGTAAACGACTGATGTCGACCTACGGAGTCTAAATACGAGCATTGCTGAAATACTACGGTAGTGGGAAACCACGAGTTACTCTGTAAACCGATATTAAAAATGCTACCACCAGCTTTTTGGCGACCATTTGGCGGGTTGGTTGTTTGTCGAGCAACCTTGTGCCCCGACGTCATCTTTGTTTTCGAGGAGGTTTCTCGTTCAAACTGCCGCTTCTTTCGCCGTGTTTTTACAGCGGAGCTGTTAAGGGCTAGGTTCCCCAGGATTGTGTCCGGTATGTCGACACAAACCTACCTGGACAGCCACTGCCATCTATAAGCGACAGCGGCAAGCGCACAACCAGTATGGTTTTCACCGTCGCTCGTAGATGGCGGCAACCTTTCCAGCTATCATAGAAGAATTGATAGTTGGGCTCGTTGGTGGGAATTCATCAAAGAAAACAGCGCGAAAAACAGACGACAACGAAGAAGCACACGTGACGAGCGCAGTGCTCATCACTTTTGTTTCTTCATCCTCGTCTGTTTTGCGTGCTGTTTCCTACGCTCCTAGGCTCTTATCTATTTAGATTTGGACTCAGGATGGGTTGGCCGCGCGCCCTTTCGAGGAAAGGAGACAGGCTGCGGAAGGAGCGGCGACGTACAGAGCAGCCCAAATGGGTCTGCAACTGCCGCAAAGCCGCTGTCGCCTCGACTTCCACTGTGTCCAGTGCTTCAGATTTCCTTGCCAAAGAGCACATCGCTCGCCTGGAAAGCCACCGCCGAGAACAGAACCAGCGATGTAAAGGGCGCCAGCGGGCCAACGCCACGGACGACGATCGTGCCACGGAGGCGAAGTGCAAGCGCGAGGCCCAGCGACAACTGCACTCCACGCCGGCTGAACAGTTCTCGGGTGCGACATTGAGTTTCCGGAGGAAGTTCGTGGAGAACCCATCTGGCGTCACGTGCGCCGTGTGCGACCGACTCTGGTTCGCCGGAGACGTATCCACGATCGGCGGCGTGTTGGACAAGAAGAGGCGGGAATCGGGCACGTGCGCTTTGCAGCAATGTATTGAGTACAGCTCCGCTGGTCTTCCTTCTTCACGAGAGTGGAAAGGCTGAACGTTTTTCTGTCATATTTTCGGGCGTCCTGGCTGACGATTTCTGCTTGTTACATACCGTTTTAGCGGTCGTAGTTTATAAGGGCTCTTTGGCGATCGTACGCAAAGATTATTGACTCACTGCTCGCTCAAGCGTGTCATAGTGCCGAAGGTAGCATTCACTGGCTGACAGAGTTTAGTCCGTTCCTGCTCGGCACGAGCTTACGATTAGCTTCCACAACACTTCTGCAACGTGCATTGCACACTACCAAGATTGTAGTTCTTTGGAGAAGATAAGGGGGGGCTTGTTTTGAGCCTCGCTTTTTGGCCGGCAACTTTACTAATGTGTATTAATATCTGCTACAGATGTTTGATATCTGCGAAGCAAAGCTGTACAACAACCGTAGCGTCTTACCTGACTGATTGGAACTGCTGTTGCGACTAGTCCAGTCATATGCTTTGCAGTACCGCAAGATGAACTCTGCGTCGCACGATGGCCATGCAGCTGATAACGATAGTTGCCATCATGCTCGAGCCATTAGTTTCGGTTTTGCCGCAGACCCCCAAAACGAAAGCTTTGAGATAGCATATCTACAAAACTACACGAGGCATCGCAGAAAAAGTGACACTTCGTAATTCAGGGACACTTAACCTCCTTGTAATTCAGGGACATTGTTACCCTAAAATCGACAACATTTCTCGGGGTTACCCTTTAAAAGGCAACTCCGCTTCATTTTTGGTTTTGAAAAAACAATGCAGTTTTCTTCAGTATCACCAAGGAAGACCACACTTTAAATATTACAACCTAGTTCTGTCTAAATGTTTCTTTACTGTCCGGCTAACTTCGCAACTCGCCAAGTTACCGAAATCGGTGGACCCTAGTGGGTTAATTGAGGCACAACCAACAGCGCAGACAAGGCTATGGCGTGGGCATAGCCAACATTGATCTAAACGTCGTCACCATTGCCCCTTTTTGTTTGTTTTTACTTCTCCGGGCAAACGTAACAGGTGATGTCAGCAATTTTTCCTCTCGGTGCTTGGCGGTGTCCACGTGATTGGTGTAACTCGCCTGCACAGCACGCATCTTGGGAGCTGTCTTGCCATTACCGCCCTCTCCCGCGTCTCAACCGCCGTCGTCGTCTCACCGTTTGTGATCATTGTCTCTCGGAGTTTCGTTCACACTAGGTACGCAGACTGATGTTGCAGTATTGCAGATGTCATTGATCGTTGTTGACACCAAATGTGGTGAAGAGTGCATTGCAGACGACACCCGCCCCCATCCCGCTCGTCGTTGCATAGAGGATCACGCGACATCTGCGATAGCCACGTTTTTGGCAGCCTGAGGCCAGTGTTGCCAGACGGAGCCGAAATTTTGGATTTCAATTTCTGCTCATGGTTTAAAGTAAGATTTAACAATATATATACAGTCGAATCTCGTGAATTCAAACTCTCTTAATTCAAACTAACATCCAGGTCCCATCCTATGCATCTCTATGGGAGGAAACTCCCGGTAATTCAAACTTTGCTTTATTCAGACAAATTTTGGGTCCCCCTCGAGTTTGAATTAACGAGTTCTACTGTACCATTTTTTGTGAAGCAAATGACATAGTGCCTTTTATAAGTGCTTTTGAATGTGAAATCACTCATCATCCCGAAATTTTCGGAATTGAGTGGAGATGCCCTTTAATGGTGTATTCGCACGAGAGATCTTTATCCCCGGAGAAAGCCGAGTACATCATACAGCTGAGAGAAGGAGACGACATGAGAGGGAGGAGGCAGTGCAGAAAATCCAAGCGAGCATTCGCACGACGGAGTCGCATGTTTTTGAGTCGCCGGAGTTTTTCTTTTCGTAAACCTGTTGGTGACTTTCGGGGGCTCGTCGAACAAAAGGCAGAGAAAAAAAAATAATAAAGAAAAGACACCCCACACTTCAAGCCTGCTGGGGACTTTCGGGGCTCGTTAAACAAAAAGGCAGGCAAAAAATAACAAAGAAAAGGCACCCCACACTTCAAAGCTATTGATCATTATCCCTCCCCAAAGGCAGGGGGGACAAAAAAGGGGACCCGGTCGCTCCGACGGATACCGACTGAACAAATATCTGTAGGCCTGTCACAGATTCTCCTCGGGTCCCCGCGAGCATGCCGCGAGCTGAGGGGATCAGCGAACATTTGTGACGCGCAGCACGCGACCTCTAAACGCGATGATGTTTATTCTTCTCCTTGGGAAGAAACTCCGTCATGCGAATACACCATGAGCCCCGGTAAATTCTGGCACCTGGCCCCCTCGTTGAACGGAACGACATCCGACCCCCTTGGTTCCCTGTCTGTGCAGATGTGGGTGTGCCTGGTACCCCGGCTGCCCCTGCGCCTCCTGCTGGAGCAGCTTCCCCGCCTGGCTCGGGGAGGCCTGCTGCGGGGGGGCTGCCTGGTGAGGCCCCTGCTGGAGCGGCTGCAGTCGGACAACTCCCTGGCGGACAGCGGCTGCCCGCTGGGGCCCCTCGAGACCTACGCCCTGGGGCGTTGCCTGGAGGGCTGCTCCTCCGCCCCCGGGGCGGGGCCCTCAACCCAGCACAGCAGGGGCGGTGCCCACACAGGGGGCAAGAGGGGACACCGCCACCACCGTTCCCAGCTGGAGGACGTGCTTGCGTCCCTGCACGTCTCTTCCTTTAAGGTGAGCGTGTGACATGGGCGGCCGTGTAAGAACCTCTTCGGAATGGTACTGGTGTAGTTCTGTTGTGTGCGGGTCTAGTGGGGCCGGGTTTACAGGTCAGGTTTGAGTGGGGTTTCGCAGAGAGATCTGGCGTCACTGGCAGAGCATCGCCCAGATCTCTTTTATTGACCTAATATTTGCCATTTTAACAAAAACTAAACATCTTTTTCTTACAAAAAATCGGTATGTGGGGTATTTTCATTAAAAAAATGAAAAAAATGGTGCCTGGGAAAGGGGGGGGGGCTACTCCACTGATTGCTTATTGCAGACACAATATCAAATGAACATAAACAAAGTGTCGGTGTTGTTTGCTGGTAAGCTACGTGAAGAGCAAAATGGGGCAAAAGATGTTTCTGTCCGTTCTGCATTGTTTACATTGTTCATATTTGATAAAATTTAAGACATCCATAACTTTTTGCTGCGTGCTTTTTTCTTGTAATTGTGATGGTTTAATGCTGTGCACTTTACACTAATATTTTAAGTAAAAACAACATGGGGCCCAATTCCACCGGCAGAGGGCTTATGCATCAAAATACAAGCCTGCTGGGCTGACCAAGAGGAGCATGCGATTTCTGTTTTTACTGTTTTATGTCGTAGAAGGCTACGGGTGCGAAGTAAGTTAATCAAGCTCGACGGACCAAGGTGGTGTGTATATCAAGTCACGCCATGCCGTTTCCACACTGTTGGTGACTATATTCTCACACCGGCGCTTTCCTCTGCACTGTAGACGTTTGTGAGATCGAGCATGGGTAGCATGAAGTTCAGTGGGACTTACCTCTTCAGGTGGTTGGTTCGAATCCAAATCGAGTTGCCCGCAATCTGTAGAAGGCTCAATTGCAAAGAAGGTAACCGAGATTTCAGTTGCACACCAAAAGATTCCTAGGTTGTAAAAGTTAATCCAGTCCTCCGCTAAGGTGAGCCAAATGCCCTTCGTTGGGTTTGGCATATGAAACACACAAATTTGACTTTTTGTACTCGCTCTTTTCCTCAAATTGCGCGAACGGCCCCTGCAGACGCTGCCAACGACGGGCAAGCGGTACCTTGTGGCAGTGGACGTGCGTAGCCCCATGGCGCACGGCCGCACAGTGGGGCTGGGGGCCCTCACCCCGGCCGAGGCCTCGGGGCTTCTTCTCCAGGCGCTGGCACGTGCCGAGACCGGTGTCACGGCCCTGGCCTTCTCAGCACGCGGGCTCGTCGACATGGAGATCAACAACAAGATGACCCTCTCCGACATCAGCCGCAGGATGCGCGAGGTGGGCACCTTAATCCGTGACCTATGAGATTGCCGGCGAGCAGAGTCGATATCACCTAGAAGGCCGGGCCTGTACCCTTCACCCCCATGTGTCATTGCTACCGGACCCAAGCAGTGCCGTCTGACTCGCGTGGATGGTGCTGTTAGTGAGCCTTCAAGTGTCTAGCGACAACCGCGACGCTAGCATGCTGCGGCGTCGAGACGCGCGCGTCCGCCAGTTGGTGACGTGGCTTCGTGGCGTCTGTAATTGGACGCCACACCTTTTTTTTGGAAGGGATACTACAATGAAATTTTGGTGCTTATTTCTTGGTCTATTTGTGTTCAAGGGAGCAGTATCACATCCGACACACCAATCCCTTGTTGAAAAAGACATGAAAAAGAATTTTTAAATGAATTATACGATTAGCAAAAAAACACCTGGTGGATGTCACCAATGCCTCGTTTGTACAGTTTAAGCTCGTTATAACAGACCTTGATTTTGACCAAGATTTCGGTCTGTTGTAAGAGGAGTATGTTTGCAGATATGAAGTTGAGTCAGTGGTATGTAGAGGAAAACCAACCGAATTTCACAAATCGGTATGTTGTATCCAAATCTCTGTTGTAACCAGGTCTATAGTAATGAGCTTGGACTGTAATGCCCGTCTAGGAACCTTGACAGGTAGTGACGATAACTGTCTTGCCTCCGGCCACCACGAGAGAAGAGGGGAAGGAGGAACTCCCCTCTCCCCAAGACTCTTTTGTGTGTCCCAGATGTTGCTATTGTCCCTCTACAAGATTATAGAAGATTAACCTGTCACTCAAAATTCTTACAAAGGCAGCTTAGTTGCGGTGGCCCAATTGCTGGCATGCTTTGGTCGCTTCGGTGGCTTGAACGGCTAGGACATCCTCTCGACGTCAGCCCTGCCGCAGTTTTGCTTGTCCCGAGACAATCTACATCGTGATTGCGGCGGATGTCACATGCTCTCCGCTGGCTGTTCTCCGAGCACTTGCCAGAGTGTGCCATTTATAGCGAAAAATACAGCCATCAGGCTCAAAATACAGACGTGTGATTGTCATTTACGGATATTGTGGATCATATTCGGCCTACTTCTGAACACGGCGGGTATATTTCAAATTTCGTTGAAGTATCCCTTTAAGTAGTATTGGCAGAGGTCTCTTCCTGTTTCGTGCACTAAGCTTCCCATCGGAAGGAGTGTTATTAGTCCGTTTTTCCGGTGCTCCGCCAGGTGGAGGTGGTGGAGGAGCATGAGCAATCACGGTGTTTCTATCACACGATCCGTCTTTGGTCACGAGAGCCACTGGAAGGTAGCGGTGTTTCTGAATGGCGCAGTGTTACAGAAACGAAAGGAACGTAAAAAATCGACATTGTGCGAGGCTGGGACCGAACCAGTGACCCGCTGCTAACGCAAGTGGTGTTCTACCACGAGCCATTCTCTTGAATTACGATTCTTCCTGAGGAACAGACTGGGCCAAAGGAAGTTTCATACAGGGGCAGTTTCAGAAGCCGTGCATAATTAGGAATTGTTTCTCGTCTAGTCGGCAGATGGCACCACGACACTGGTGTCTTCACGCATGCTTGTCAGCCCACTGCTGCGAGGTTGGTTGTAACAGACCTTTTTCTAAAATACCTTTGATACTTTCTTTGACAAGTGACACCGACACGTGTGACGAAGCTCATTTCACTAAAAAAACATGAAGTCTTTCAGTTCATTTTGCTGCCGTGCGCCCCCGTTTGCCTCCTGAATCGTGCGCCATCACACAGTTGGCGCTTTAAAGAATGACGTTACTTGTAGGAAGCACAAAGTGCACCTCTTATCGAAGAACTTTACCCTTCTTGAGTAACAAACACTGTCTGGGGTGGTCGTTAGGGAACTACAAACGAAGGGCAACCCAACATGCCCCTGTTCGTCGGTACACATTGGCGCCGTGACATTGTATCAGCTTTTGTTACTTTTTATGCTCCATACTACCAACACTAAAATTTATGCACCAAACATTCCGGTATCGCTCTGGAATGTGATCGACATCTTGTAAACCCTGAGATGGGGAACGATAAAAAAACGGACAAACACAACAAAATCTCAAACGCAGCTGAAGTTTTATTGATAGAAGCATACCAATAAATAGACTTTTACACAAAAGGAAAAGAGAAAGGGCAACAAAAAGCTCAAAAGCAAAAACAAGACGGCCAACGCGTTCACCCCAGACGGCCTAAGCCCCTCCCCGGCTCCAACAAACCCCGGAAAGGGCGCCGACCACTCGAACAAACAACAACCCCACGGTCACCACACATGGTGACCTCCAAACCGCTAAAGCCTAATCCCCAAATTTCTTACTCAAAGCAAACGCTTCCCGGTCCCCCTCCCCCCCCCCCCCCCCCCCCCCCCCCCGCCTTTTTCAAGGTTTGCAAAGCTCCCGTCAAACAAGCAAAAACTCTTTCATTCGATCAGTGATCACCAAGGACGGCTGGCTGACACAATTCCCCCGCTCGCGAATGCATAAAGTCTCCTTAATTAGCCTTCTGAACAATTCTTTTTCGTTACACAACACAGAAGTCTTTTCCCAAAGAGGGGAACAAAAATTACAAGAACTAACATGATTAACCAATTCAGAATTCTGCGCCAAATTTTTTACACACCTTTTATGCTCCCCAAGTCGGTCATTCAAACAACGGCCCGTCTGACCAACATAACACAATCCACAGTCAAAGGGGATCTTGTAGACTACCTCTGTGACACAGGAGACTGAGGGATCTCTGTGTTTTTTCCCGCAACATCGCTCACGTCTGAAGGAAAACGGAGTAAGCCTGTCTAAACGGAAGTCCGTCCTAAAAACTACATTAACGTTAAACTTCGCACCCAAGGCCTTTAGGCTATGAGAAAAACCATGAAAATAAGGAATTACAGCAAAAGCTCTACCTTGAACCCTCTCAGCGGTCACCGACGCGCGTACAAGCAGTCTACGTGCACTAGAAACGATAAAATCCAAACTATAACCCGCTGACAGTAGACGTTTGGTTTGAACGTCGAAAGCGTTACCAACACAATGAGAACAAGATTTTTTCAGTGCACTGCCAATTAATGATCTCACCACCCCCCCTTTTACCAGTTTAGAATGAGCACTCCATCTAGAAAGAACCTTCTTTACGGTTTCCCTACCATAAGACCAGCAAAGCCCCCCTTTATTAAATAGTTGCAAGTCCAAAAACTGTAACTTCCCATCTTTCGCTGATTCAGAGGTGAATTTTAATTCCGGTGCAGCGGTCAAAATAAAATCATGGATCCGAGTAGCAAAAAGCTGATTCGGAGCACAAACCAAGATATCATCAACAAACCTCCGAACCAGGAACCTTTCTCCATCCAAACAGCCAATAAAATTTGTTATTTGATCGAGCCTGGCTTCTACGCTCACGGCACTCTTCACAGGGGCAGACGTACCTAGGTGTTTCCTGAGGGGGCGTCAACGTATCATAGGTAGGGATGTTGCAAACCTCCTGAAGCTTATGTTCAAAAAGTTTAGAAAATTTCGAACCTAGCCAAAGAATGAATTAGAAAAGGTCACAACATTAGAACCTTGTTGAAGTTTGAATTCATTAAATTTGAAGATGTGAGTGTTTCGGAAAGTTCGAGTTCGAAGATTTCCCATTTTTTGACAGATCTTTGAAAAATTCGAACATTTCAAAAAATTTTAAGATTCGAGTTCGAAAAACTTAAAGGGGGGGGGGACTTGGAATTTCTTCGAGGTACAGGTTCGGAAAGTTGAAAAGTTTTGGTTTTATGATCAAAGTCTGAATTTCATGGACAGAGATTGAATTCCGCAGTTTTTAATTAAGTTTTAAAGCGATGGCTTTAAGGAGCTCTTGTAGTGCCGGCCTTGGTGGTGTGCCGGAAAAGCCACAAAAACCCTGATCGGTCGATAGAATCATGACGTCACAGCCACATGACTTTGCGTGGGAATTTCAAACCATCCAGAACGGTCACGTGAAATGTGACGTAACGTGTGGAACGAAAGTGATTAAAACATGACATATAATGCAAATGAAAGGTCGCTACATGTATAAAACAATTTCACTTTATAAAGTAATTGATTTGTCTTAAAGGAAAAATATGAAGAGTTTTAGGCAGAGGTGGGATTCAGACCCACGACCCTTCGGTTGCAAGCCAGACACGCTAGGCCACGCAGACACGGTTGCACGGCTTAGGAACAAGCCAGGGTTTATATGTGTAGCTATCGTGTCCCACTCCTAAAGAAGAAGCTTAAGCGTCCTTTTTTTTTTTAATTCATCTAAAAAACATTTTTAAATGGGCTTAAAAATTTACTGAAAACGTTGCACATTTCTTTTATGCCGTAAATATACTTCTTCCTTACCGGTTCTGGTATACTGGCGGTACTACCTGTATTACTCGTTTTTTGTCGAAACGTATGAAACACGCGTTGAACTGGTTGAACGGTTTATTGAAAAGCCCGACGGTAGTCTGGTGAACGGGCTTCAAACTTCTTTGCAATCCAATCAAACATTGTCTAAATGCGATGCTGCCATAAGACAACCAAATATACAGGACAATGCAGTCACATAAAGACATCCAGGCTTCCCGGATACCTTCAGTTGCACTGAGCGTTTATTTTTGGTGGGATGACCCGTGGGACGATGAAAACTCTGGACACAGGCACTGCACCCAACACAAGTCAAGGTTGAGTAGAACACAACCAGACTAAAAAATTAGGGGACCCCCAATAATACAGCTGATCAGGGCCCGTTTGCTCAAAGCGCTAACCGCGGCTGAAGTTAGCCGCAGTACCTAGGAGAGGGATTTTGAAATCACGTGACTGGGCTCGGTAGGGATGCGGCGAAACAAGGCGGTGCCCTGGTGAGTGAGCGCTGCTCGCTGTGGAACTAATATGTCGTTGTAGCTGCAATATCGGACGCGTTAGTCGGCAACGAATGGTGCAGGAGGCTTTCGCCTTGCCTTACCAAAGCATGAGCAACGACCTTGCCGCATTTTTTGGATAGTCTTTCGGTTCTGGCCATTCGTAAGCCGAAATGAACGCGATAATTGTCGGCATGGCAACATCTTTGGAAAGTGGATTGCCTTGACTCAATCGGCCGGGTATTGATAGCACACAAAAGCAGACAGCGCTCAATAGACCTTTTTCTGAATTTTCCAAGCACCGAGGTGCATGCTACGAGAGTAGTCACACGCGTTGCACATCCTGGCGTCTGCAGTAGTAATTCTCCTAAGCAAAAAGTCTAAAACAAATTTTGCCTTGCTCGCACGTTCGTCAAAGCCTTATTATGATTATTTACTTCGAATCGTTTATAACAGGAAGGCCAGCACGCGCAGACTGTAGAATTGCACTTCCAGCGTTCTCCTCGATGCTTCGGTAATTTAGAAAACGGTCTATTGGGACGCTGTCTTCTTTTGTGTGCTATCAATACCCGGCCAATTGAGGCGAGGCAATCCGCTTTCCAAAGACGTTGCCATGCCAACAATTATCACATTCATTTAGGCTTAGGAATGGCCAGAACCTAAAGACTATCTAAAAAAATGCGACGAGGTCATTGCTCATGCTTTGCGATTTAAGTGAGGTAAGCCAAAGTGAAAGCCTCCTGCACCATTCGTTGCTGACTAACGCACCCGATGTTGCAGCTACAACGACATATTAGTTCCAAAGCGAGCAGCGCTCACTCACCAGGGCACCGCCATGTTTCCCCGCATCCCTACTGGGCCAGTCACGTGATTTCAGAATTTCTCTCCTAGGTACTGCGGCTAACTTTAGCCGCAGTTAGCGCTTCGAGCAAACGGGCCCAGGTCACGACCGGTTGTCATTGGGCTAACCATTGCCGCCGCCTGGAACTTTTCTTCTTCGTTAGTAACCAGGTGGTTACTAATGATGATAAATTAAGCATTAACCCAGCTTTCACTGTGGCGCATCGACGTCGCGCTCCGCATGCCTTTCACCAATCAACCGCTTACTCGAGGAAATCGGGGGACTTTCGTTCAAAAACAACTATGAAGAACGTCCCGAGCGAAGGGCCTTGGTTGAATTCCAAGCCTGCATATTAGGGATGTGTTGGCTCGCAGGTGGCCTCGGGGCAACCTACAGAGTTGTGCACAAAAGACACTCTGTGCAGAAGTAAAAAAAAAAAAAGTATGAGGTACAAGGCCGAAGCTACTTCAAAGGGGTCATTCAGTGCTTTAAAAGTGAATCGTTTGTCGCACGATCCGCCGAGGAAAACTCCAGTGCAATCTCCACTTATTTTTATATTTGTTGCCTCGAGCCTATGGGGGCAAACTTGGTATGAACTTCGTCAAACTTTTGTTCAGAAGTTCAAAGTTTGTCAAACTTTGTAACTTAGCAGACTCGAGAAAGTTTGAAAATCGTCTAATTTCTTAGTGTATAAGTTCGAAAGTTAGAAAATTGTCGAATTCCATAGTGCAAAAAATTCAGAAGTTCGAAAATAATTGAATTTCTTAGCACCAAAAATTTTAAGTTAGAAATTCATCGAATTTTTATTTAATAACTTCAAAATTTTGAAATGCTTTAGAATCTTTCGAACCTCAGGTTTGAAAAAAGTTTGCTGCAGCATCTCTAATATGTCATATGTTTGAGACCCCCCCCCCCTCCTCGTTTCCCTCCCCTAAACCTTTACGCATGCAAAATTGAAGAGGAGGGGTCAGATATCCGGACGCCCCTTCTGAATACACCACTGGTTTTTCGGCAGATAACTTTGCCCGTGGCATGTACAGTAATCCCTCGTTAATTCGAACTTGGCTATCTCAAAAGTTCAAAGATTCTCTCGTTATGGAATTAACTCCCATAGGAACCATGCATTTACTCATTGCTTATCTGGAAAGTTTTCAGGACTGACCTCGGATATCTCAAAATCTGACATCAAATGTAACAACCACAAAAAATGAACCGGGCAGGGCACAGCAAGCAATGTACTGGTGGTCTAAACATTGGTTGATGCAGAAAGAGTAATCCAAAAAGAAATACACAAAAAAGTAAAAATACGTTCAGCCTTCCCACTCTCGTGAAGAAGGAAGACCAGCAGAGCTGCACTCAATACACTGTGCGTTTCTTCTTCGTCGTCGTCTGTTTTTTGCGCTGTTTCCTACGATGAATTCCCACCAACGGCGCCCAACTATCCATTCTTCTATTATTCGCAACTCCAACGCCCTATAGGTGGCGGGGCGGTAGTTCCAAGATGGCGGAAGAGACGGGGATAGATTTTCCAGGATATCCCATGCGCCTGATCGCTGACGCTGTTCAGCGCGCTAAAATTTACTTATTTGTCCACAAATGCAAAGCGGTTAGGGAAGCGGTTAGGGTGACGGAGAGAACCTCAAATTGCGAAGATTTGAGGTGAGCGAGCGTGTTTTAGGCACCGGCCACGTTACTGTTTGTGGCAGAATATTTTTAAGGGTGATGAAGATATGTTTGCGCTTTGCCTGGCCATTAGTGCTCTAAAAAGAGAGCCGTGCACGGTGACCGTCAAGCTTCAGAAGAGCAGCGTTCACGGTATTGGTGTCTTCGCGTCACAGCCTCACAACTCGCTGCTCACTGTCCCGGTTTTTGTGTATTGCAACACGTAATCAAGCTGCTCTATTGTTATTGATAGAAAGTTTGTTACCGCAGGTTACCGTGCAGTGTAGCATTACAACCGCAAGCTCGCGCTGCGTCTTTAAAGCACAATTTTCAGTGCGCGCCAAAAGCGTTGCCGTGCTCATCACTCTAAAAAAAAATGTTGTAGTCCGTACACTTCTTGTTATTTATACGACACTCCAAAACTTCGGTTCGCCGTGCAGCCCTCCGACATCAAACTGACGGCCCCAACTTTTACGACAGGCTTGATGGCGGCGCAATATGAGATTAAACAGCTAAAGTATGCATCAAAGAGTACCGAAAAAAAAAACCCACCAAGGTTCTGCAGTAAAGCAAAAAAAAAAAAAAAAAACGCGATTACTTTTTTTTTTTACGGTCATTTACACTTACTTAAGCTATTTTAATAAGTTGCACAACTCGCTATTAAGCCGCTTGTGAAAGTTGGTAGCGCCGGTTGAACGTCCGTGCGCTCTACGTTCAACTGAAGTTTAGGGGTGTTGTACACTATGCAAAAAATGCCTATTAACATAATCGGCATGTTTAGGGGTTTTATTTATTGCTCTATCCAAAATAAATATTTTAATATACCATACATTTTTTGTACCGTGTTATTTGCAACATTGTGGGCCCTCTGCCCAAAACTGCGCGTTCCAAGCTCTCCTCACAAACGGCTGGCTAACACAGACGTGCTTGATATGCTTCAAGCATTTCTTTATTTGCTTTGTAATTACCTGAAAGCAAGTATGGGTATTCTGTCTTTTTAAAGTGATTGGAATAAATGGTCATGTTCCTTGTAACGGTCTTAAAACGCAAACCCATTCCCAATTTGTATTGCTCGACATATTGTTGCGTGAGTTTTCTCCTACTTATGGCAAAGAATAGACTTTTCATAGACCTTACTATAAAGTTCTTCATTATTAACGGTAGCGTTTTCCGTCACGTTGAGCTCAGATTGAGCTGGCGGCCATGCACAAGACCAGAAATCCGCAGTATATGCTATACACAAAAGGTCCCTAATGAAATTAGACATCCCGGTCCTTCGTGGAAGGCTGTTGCAAGGCGGAGCACAAGAATTCCTCTTTCAACGCGCTCCCTATTTTCGTTAAAACGGCTTCACGCATGAAGGCCGACAGTCCCTGCCACCATTTCCGCGCCGCCACCACCGCTGCCGTCCCCGCTCCTCTGGTTCTCCATTAGTCCGTGGGAGGGCGAGCGGCGCGCTGGAGTTACGAATAGCTGGAAAAATTGGTGGCATCTACGAGCGACGGCGGAAACCATACTGGTTGTGTGCTTGCCGCCGTCACTTATAGATGGCAGTAGCTGTCCAGGTAGGTTTGTGTCGACATACCGGACACGATCCTGGGGAACCTAGTCCTTAACAGCTCTGCTGTAAGAAAATTGGGTATCATTGGGCGCCTCAAAAACATACGTTGCCTTGCCTTTTTTTTTTTTTTTTTTTTTTCTTTTATTAAAGTTTGGCAGTGGTTGAGTCAGTGGCCTCCATTTTTCTCGGCCTCTGTATCTCTCCCTGGTAGGTTATCTCGTTAAATTCTGCTCCTCATTTTTTTTTCTTCTTTCTTTTTGTGGGTTTTTCCTTTTTTTTTTGAATTTTTGCTTTTTGGTTTTGCTGCCTCATCTTGTGAGTGTTGCTTGTTGATAATTTTGTTGCAGTTGTTTTATTCTCCCCACAGGGCAGCGTGCCCTGTGAGTGTCTAGTCAGTTGGTACGATTGTTGGAGGGTTCCATTCCCACAGCGCGGGATCAGTGCAACGAAAATTCACTACCTCGCGTAGCTCGAAACACCCGCTCATCTTCAATTTTTTCTAGTTTTTATGACTTTGAGTTAATGAGTGTTTACATGAACTTAATATTAGTTCCTGGGACGAAGATACTGACACCAGCCAGGTTTTAAAGCCTGACGGTTTTCCAGAACCTCCCATACTCACCAGAATCAGCCAATCAGCATTAATCACGTGACCTTTCCACCAGCTAATCGGCGTTGAGCTTTGCGGTCGATTTTTCAGGCTTTACTAAATCTGGTGCCCCCCCTCCCCTGATGTCTGATGAGCCAAAGAAGCTTTCACAAATAAAATTTCTGCCAAACCGGACAATATATGCAGAAAGATGTTGGTTGTGCCCACCAGGAATGGCAAGATCGGGAAGCAAGGATGTGATGTTCTGGACTGCTTTTAAGGGTGTTAATCAGCGTGCAGTTTGAGCATTAAAAGTTGTGTCACCACTTTTGTTCCTGGTTGAGTTTTGAATGTTGGGAAGCCGAACCGTAGTTCCCGATGTTCCCCCAACAGACGCCCATGGGCCCGGTGAACGTGTCACTTCCCTTGCGCTGGGCCCGAGAGCAGAAGCGTCCATTCGACCTGTTCCTGGTGTGCACGGACAACCAGACACAGGCATGGGACGTGCATCCCGCAGAGGCCCTCAAGGAGTACCGAGAGGCCCTGAACCTCCCACAGGCACAGTGAGTCGACAGCTTTTTTTTTTTAATGCACTTTTGAGTCCGTGGCATGTATCCTCGATGGTGACGTCATGCTTACAACATGACGGTGTTTGTGTGACGTACCGGCATTTTAGAAAGCTTGTCTTGACGTCATCACGTGAACACCGTGATGGTGTCATCATTTTCACATGACATCATCAGCGTGACAGTCATCATGCCTGATGTCAGTGTCACGTGACCTCAGGTGACACTACAACATTACATTGTGACATCACATCACACCGTGACATCGCGTGACACTGGTGCCTTTATATATTCGCAAAACTCTAGAAATGTGCATTTTAGTGGCCTTCCTGTTGTGCCCGCAAAAGGAGGAGCATGAAGAAAGGCTGTCAAGTGAGAGAGAAAAACAATAATTTGTTTAAAAACAGCGAGGCAATATAAGTTCTATGCATTTAGAATGCCTTTGGGAAATGCCAAAGAGGCTGCTAACTTTTTTTTCACCGACCCATATTGGCATGGTTTTGCATTCTTAAGTTGCGAGTTGTGGAGCCTTTGGGAGGTGGACATTGGAGGGTGGCGTCTTCATCTGAACTGGGGAATTTTGTCGCTCGTTTCACGGTTTGAGTCATACAGCAGAACATTGTTGATATGTTTCCGGGGGTTTGTGATAAAAGCATCTCATACAGCAGAACATTGTTGATTTGTTTTCGGGGGTTTGTGATAAAAGCATATATGATCTGGGAAAATATAGCGACGGATATAATGCTTGTGGGGACCCTTGGGTGAGGCAGGACGCTACTCCGCACAGCAATTTTCATGTTCGCTGACATTTATCATATTTATTCAAAGTGCAGCGAAACATCTCCAGCTCGGGTCTATCATTGTGCACATTTAGACTGTCCATCTTGGGGACTGTTCGGCAAAATAAATGCACCTATCCGCCGAGTGATGGATGTGACCATCATGGGGTGTGTGCATGTTGGCACTCAGTATGCTTATCCTACTTACGAAGGACAATGAAATAATGCTTTTCACTTTGGGCACCAACTGCTCATCATAAACACTTCATGTTCATCAAACATGGAACGGGAATTGGTGAGAATGTGACTACAAGTGAAGCGGCATCATAAATAATGCTTAGGTTTTTACAAAACACGATGTATGTACAGGTATTACTGACTATGACAACTGAAGGGAAACAAAATTAAAAATAAAAATCTGCTGAATGAAAGTAAGCACTTAGAGTCTGTTAATTTCCAAACTAACATGCTCAAATCAAGATTGTATCATTGCTGTCAGATTTTAAATCTGACCACACTGGAAAGTGTTTTGCCCATGTCCAAACATTTCTTGTGCCATATGCTGCTCAAAAAGTTCAAAATATTTGACAAAAAAATTGGCTTCTATCTTTGGCATTTGCCAAAAGCATTCTAAACGCATGAAATTTAGATTGCCTTTGGTCACGTCCACCAAAACCAGTCTGCCGCTCACATTACACACCGCGCCGAATGAGCTGTTCATGAGCTGGCACTTGGACTGCTCATGAACAGCTCATTCGAGCTGTTCATGAGCAGTCCAAGTCATGAACAGCGACACGAAGCCAGTTGCTGTGTAACGGCAACTGGCTTCGTGTCGCTGTGGGCCTGGTGATCTTGTTTTGTGGCCATATCCCCCACCCTTCCCTTTTCACCTTTCTGCGCCGCTTTGGTGGCGCACAAAGTTCGTAAGCAAGACTTTATAGTATATGTGGTCCACTTTGCTGCCGCCGAGTGCACACTGAGGAAAGCCCCCGCTTCAAGAGCAGTCTCCAGTTACATGTGAAGTGTGTAGTCGGCGAGTGCACACTTCTTGCTGCACATTATATTGAGGCTACATACCAGGCTTGGGCACAAAATGACTAAGAGCCGGCCTTTAAATGCTACTACACATTTAAAAGGACTTCTAAGTTTATGTTGCAGTACAATGCAGGCACAGGATGCAGATCACCATATCAATGGTAGGTGTATGTACAGAGCCAAGTAAATCACGATGTGGCAACAAGATGTGCGGTCAGTTCAGGAAGGAAGCAACGATAGCCCAAAGATGTCCTGTTGCGTTGATGGTTGTTACATACTACATCTCGTTTTACTAGTTTTTCTACCCTGAGACTCAAACGAAGGTCTTTGGTTTTTCGACAGGCTCGTCACGTGTGCCATGTGCAGCCATGGCTTCTCGCTTGCTCCTCCCGACGAGTTTGGAATGTTGGACATTGCGGGCTTTGACACAAATGTCCTGCGCATCATCCAAGATTTTGCCTCGGGCCTCTTCTGAGGGCGGCCCTGGAACGCCACTCTCCCAGGTTCCCAATCACAGCCTTATTTGTTATTTTCAAGAGGATGTACAACTTGTGCATGGCCCATGTCGTTCTCTTTACACACGTGTCGCTAAAGTCACTGTAGATGGTCCCGAAGGAAGCAGAGTATCGCAAACTTAGAACGCCATTTCTCAACGACTAGTGATGAACAGCACCGCGGCTCCAGCTCTGCTCGCATATGCACAGAGAACAGAAGAAAACCACACTTTGCTTGCTTACTAGACAGCCTGCAGTATAAAAACTGTCGGTAACATTGCATGCATGCTTCACGAAAACGCGCTCATTTGTTTCGAGCTTTGGACAGGCTCTTAATCATAGTATCTAACTGGGAATAACCTGAGGGGCTCTGATTGTGCGGACGTTAGGCAGCCAGCTTACGCCTTCACTTCTCAGCATGCTCAAGGTTGCCCTAACGATGCGAAACCTTCCGTTCATGTGACTAGCTTTAACCAAGCCAGCCTGCTTCTTTCTCACGGGACAAATGTAGTCTGCTACCTAGTTCTTTCCCCCGGAAATTTTTGGCGAGTACTCAATTTCTGCCAAACCTTTTATTGTTCTACCATCTTTGTGTAAAGGTTATCTAGAGAAGCGTAGGGGCTGCTTCATAATTTTAGTTGCCTATTCTGCCTACGTCCTGTTCATCTCGGTACATTCTTTTGCTAGAGCATTCCTAGCAAGCAAAATCTGGGGCCTTTTACGAGAGGGGGCAGGAGAGGGAATCATATGACCAGCACCAGCTGCTCTGAAAACCCTGGCACTCTCTTTGTTGCCATAGTTTGTGGACAAAAGGAATGCACTACTCTGCTCCCTTTGGGAGCTTGCACAGTGGCACTATGTATCGCCAGCCTAATTTTTTATGCTGGATTGGACGTTCTCGAGTAAAATTTTAATCAAATCTACCCAGCAAGTAGGCCACCATTGGTGAGTGAAACATTGCAAAAGCAAAAAAATATATTTCAGGTACCCAGAAAGGTTCTTTGTAACTGTAAAAACAATGTGTTGTGTCAGTAGATCTCGGGGCAGGCAGAAGTTTTCAGGTGCATCTTTCCAGGGTTTTTATAGAACCTGGACACTTAAGGGCGCTGATACAAAACTCCATTTTGTATTATTGTTTTATAATCAAATATTAAATCAAACTCAACTTTTGCTCGTCAATTAGAGAAAAAAAAAAATTAAATCTGAGAACATCCAACCGTATTTGCAGAGTAGATGCGTTTGATTCCGAACGCTTCTCTCTGTGGTTGCAACACAAATGTTGGCGCTCGTGCTTCTGAAGTAGTAATGTTGAGACGTTTTATGCATGCCATAATTATTTGCTAGATAAGATGGTTCTGTAGGTGACGAGGAATGTTGTTACTGTGGGGCCAGATTAACCTTGGTGGTGGTGATGATTCAGTGCCCTTTTTAGTGTGTTTATCACGTCGTGCAAATTGTGGATACACTTTGAACATAGCTGCTGTTTTTAAACCCCTCTGGCCAAATGTTTCGGCGGTTTGTTTTTATGTTAGGGTACTACGGCATCAGTGTTTGGTGTACTGTTAGGCCATTATACTATAGTAGTTTTCCTGTTCTTCATTTGAATGAGAAACAGCTGTCTTTCATGGCGATTTAAACAAGTGTTGCCTTCCAGCATGATCCTAACACCTATAAGCATTTTTAATTTTATTTTTTTATGACATTCTGCTACAAATAGCACTACTATATACCATGTACTAGTGCCACGTGACGTCCCATTTGTAGCCGCACAACGTAGCAAAACGTTATAGCACAATGTTTATCGAGGAGATTGTTTTTAGCCTCTCCACATTACCCAAACACAGGCCTACTTACTGTTGTTTGTCCTCTATACAGACAATACCAGTTCGATTTTAGCATAGCAACCATCGACGAACCTCATGCCAAAAATTCTTCCCTTCCAAGCGCTTCAACAACTTTTAATTTAACTATAGGTCCTTCTGTCGTCTCCATACATTTTTAAATGTTGAGTCCTAATGTCTTTGACATGGTATCAAATAGAGTTTTTTTTTTTTTTTTTTTTTTCTTTCTTTTTTCTGGTGGTATTAAGGAGGCCTGTTGCATGTAAATAGTAATAGACACTTTGGATGCCTTCCTACAATTTGGCTTCGCTAAGCTGACCAAAGAGACATATGTACTATCTCGGTGTCGTATATATACTAGAGTACCTATGCTGGTTTTACACAAGGTAATGGGGGTAGCCACTGCGTCGGCGAAATTGCCTCGGAGTGGTTACTTTTCTTATTTATTCTATTTATAATCGTGTTTCAGAGCTTAAAGGTGATGCATTGTATGTGATGAATGTGCACCGATCAACTGCTTGTGTCTGTCCTCTGTCCGCTGTGGAGCACAAAGGTGCATGGTTTATTGAAGATTTGGTGACAAGAGTTTTACAGGAATCAGATTCAGTGGAAAACTGAAAGTTGCTATACTTTCTTTATTGCATTGAGTGCACAGACATGACTTGTGTGAATGAGATTTTGCAGGAGAGACTTAGGCGTAGCTTGTGACAGGCGTTTTCATTTATGACTGCAAGTTAGGGAAACTGCATGGCGAGCCCTGTCTCGCTCTATGTTATTTTAGGCCTCTTATGTAACTAGTGCACTGTCTTCTACAAGATCTGGTTATGCATGTTACTTCTTCCATATACTAGTTCATTTTTATTTCTATTGCTGAGGCGTGTAGTAAATCTCGATAACTCTAGGTGGTTATCTTCTGGAGCCATGGTTACTTTTTACTTTTGTGTAAAAGGTTAACATTTGGTTCACTTCTGGGTTCACATTTGGAAAAAGGTTGAGCTAACGGGGTAAAGACACGCATATCCGTGTTTACGGTGTTTCACGAGCTCGCAGTCGGAGCTTGCGACGTAGCACGTTTTCGTTTGTCAAGGGTAGTTTGCCTTAGCACTGCAATAGTTTACTCAAAGGTTCATGGTCATGTATTCAGCTCTGTATTCATTCAAGGTTGTAGTGAATTTTTAGTTAATGTATTTTGTATGTAATGCATGCTAATATCGTGATGGACCGAGGGCCGTCAATTATCTCGAGGCAGCATCCCAAATGGAAACAATTGTACTGCAGCCTCTCTCTGTATGCTAGGTATGCCCACTTTTCTCAATTTTGCTTCATCTGGTTCCTTGAGCACTTAGCGATACTGCATTTGATTGCCCCAACATTATTTTACCAAATAAAGCCTAGTGCTTGCTTATGCTCGTGCAGTTTGAACTGCTGCCCAAGTTCGTGAAACCATTGGTGAAACCCACTCAAGATAGTCTTTAACAAAAACTAAGTCAGCACCAACACATCGGGGACAAAGCAGAAAAAGTGGTTGAAACAGGTGCTGTCAACATCTGAATTCTCCCCAAACACATTGGAACGTTCATGTAATACCAAACATTAAAAAAGAAGGCAGCTTTACAATCTGCTAGGTATGTGGGAATGTTTCGACCTTTTAAATGTTGACTATCAATTTTCAGTTTAATGTTCTGCAGTTTACAAGTGTGTTGCCCTATATATATATATATAAGTAAAAGGCATAGGCCCGGTCACAAAGAGTGAAACATTTGTATTTGCCTTAACGAGTGTCATTAATGTTTGCTTTCTATTGAATACAATTGCTAAATCATTTATATGCTCAGCCACAAGCTGCTGTGTGGTTTGTCTCTTGAATGCTCTTCCGCTTATACATTGGTTAAAAGGAGAACTTTAAGGTAAAATCTATAGAGTAATATAGCAGCCATGTTTTTATAGTATGTGTGATAAATGAATAGGCCCCTTTTGCAAACCCACATGAGAAAAAACTTTAGGATATGGGTGTCATTTTGTGGAAACTTCTTGGATTCACATCTTTGCTCAGCATGTGTATTAAACAGAATTGTCACATGTATTCACACCTACAAAAGTGCTTCTGCTGAACTGTTTTCCCAGGAACAATAACCGAAACAACTTCTGTGGAACATTGGCTTAGTCGGATTTGTGCTGCACCTTCGACTGTTTTGAAATAGACCACTGTATTAAGCTCAGTGTTGACACAATTAAGTAGTTATAAGTAGGGTTCTGCATTTTCAGGGTTCCTTGCTCTTTGAATTCCGGAGTGTGTTTTGCAATGTTAATTTTTTTCCCACCAGTCTTTTCTTTTTTTTTTCTTTTGCGTCTACTTTTGGTGTTGGACAAAATTACGGCATTCATTGGGCTGTTACTGATACGCGAAGTAAACCAGATAAGAGGTGCAGTTTCCAAAGAAAAAACCAGCCTCGGGGACATTCCAGTGGGGGACATTTTTCGGGGTGAACACAAAATAGAGCTCTACATAAAGATTTCCTCCCATGAAGCTTGCTTTTTCTTTTCTTTTTTTACAGCGTCAGCCATATTGAGTTTTGTACTGGCCAAGCCTCGTGTTGCCAAAAACGAACAGAGCATACAAACGCTTGTCGCAGTTGGCTTTGGTGCCAGGAGAGCGTGCCATCTGCTCTTTTTCGCTTTCGGTCACCCGTTTGCTTGCCGCTCAGTCTCACCCTGGCTGTTGGCATGGAACGCATTAGCTGTTCTGTGTGTGATTGATTGTGATTTACGTGAGACCTAGTGTCTTTGCTGGTGGCTCACCACAAGGTTCTTCAGTCATTGTACCCGGACACTGAACTGACTGCCTTCAAAATGTGTGCTACGTGCCTACGCAGTGTTCGTGCTGGGAGGATTCTGAAACTCGCCACATACTATGGGTACGCATACCCGCCCATGCCAGAGAATCTGCCTCAATTGGATCTCATAGTTGCTCGGTGCACTAAGCCTTTCGCGCAATGCTGAGCCAGCCGAAGCATACGCCGGAGCAAGCAGAAGCTGCTCTATGGCATAAACACACCCGTGAGAGAGAATGTTGCCAATGTGTAGGTGCCAGCTGGTGCTGTCCGTTTGCATCACGTCATGTGAACATCCGTGCAGTTTTTTAGAGCGCAGCTCTTGGGTGCCCATTTCGCGGTGTCGCCGTCGGCTTAATTGTTCCGCTAAATTTAGTGGGAAATTGAATTGGTGTTGTTGTCACGTGACGTCAATTTTCCCGCTAAATCTAGCAGAGGAACTGAATTTGATCATGGGTGACGTCATGTCATGTGACGTCATTTTCCCTGCTAAATTTAGCGGGGAAACTGAATTGGTGTTGCAGTCACGTGACGTCAATTTCTCCGCTAAGTTGAGCGGGTTAAGGAGGAGGAGGGCGGGGTATGGAGCGACATACCCTCCCCTCCTCCTGCACTCTAATTTCACATTACGGAGATTTGTAAACGTCTCATTTTTTTTATTTGACGACAGCTTTAAGGTTTTTTGGTTTTTCCTGATTTCGATAAAACAGGCTCGGGGGTTACTTTTCTATGCTTATCAGTATGTAGTGGAAATGCAGAACCCTAGTTATAAGTCAACTATCAACAAGGCTGTTAAAACAAAAATGAAATCATCCAGTACGAGTCCATCCATTCTCCCCATTGCTGTTTCAATGTGAAGTAATCCTCTGAAATTATGCAAAATAAAGGTGATCTCATGACATGAACATTCGACTCCTTCCTTTTCTCATGTGTGAACAAATTTCGTTGCTTATGAACTCGAGGCTTCCCCTATTGAGTGTGCACCTTTAGTTTCGAATCATGGTGGCAGAAAACTTGTTAGTAAAGGGTGTCTAGGGGGCTTAAACACCAGAGTCAGCATCTGTCCCCACCATCATGTCACTTGTATTTACTGGCAGAATCATTTGTTTCCCAAGAAGCAACAAAATATTGAGATGCCTTCACACCAATCTCAACTGAATTGTTTCCAATGAATTATCAAGCAATGTCAAATAACTGCAGTGCTGGAAAAGATGCAAGCACATGGACAAACCACAAGCCTCTTGTGGCGTCGAGTTTATGACAAGATTTTTTTTCGCGTACCAAACAAAACTGGATTGTTAGGTGATGGGCTGAAAGAAAGAAAGGGTCCCATATTTCTAACATGCAAATGTACACTAAAAACGAAAGAAGTTGAAGTGGGCATTTATGGTCGTGCCATACTCAGTAATGCAAGCACATAACTTAAAAGGGCATTGTTCAACTAATGATTGAAAAGTTTGGATTCCAGCAAATCATTAGCAATATTTTTAGATACAGAACTAATTTTAAAAAAAAACTGCTTGTGAAAGTAATTCTAGATATATTAATGAAGTATGAAAACAGTAAGCAGTTTTCACTAGGGGCAGATGCAGGTGTTTCCAGAAATGGAGGTCAGCATATCGATTCAGATGCTTGTAAAAGACCACCACCTTTTTCCCAACCTAGAATTTTACATATGCAAAATTCAAGGGGGGGGGCACTATGGAACTATAACAGATATGAAGTGGTCAGAGGTATATGGAAAGGAGTGATGGTACCAGGACTGTCTTTTGGCAATGCAGTACTGTGCATGAAATCCGAGGTTCAATCAGGATTAGAAATTCGACAAAGAAGCGTAGGCAGATTGGCGCTGGGAGCACATGGAAAAACACCAAATGAGGGAGTACAGGGGGACATGGGATGGTCGTCTTTTGAGAGAAGGGAAGCAATCAGCAAGTTGAAATTTGAACAAAAGTTGACCGAAATGGATGATACGCGGTGGGCACGGAAGGTATTCAAGTATTTATACATGAAAAGTTTAAACACAAAATGGACAAACTGAACCCGAAAGCTTACATTTAAATACCTACACACTGGTGATAGGGCTGAACAGACTACTTCAGTGAAAAAGGGGGTGAAAGAGGCAGAGAGGAAAACGTGGGAGGGGAGAATGCAGGCGAAATCAGCTTTAACAGTGTACAGGTCACGAAAGCATGACATAAGAAAGGAAAGACTGTTCGACAATTCACTGGGAAGTGCTTTGCTGTTCGAGGCAAGAATGGGAGCTTTGAGGACGAGGACGTATAGGGCTAAATTTCAGGAGACGGACACATTATGTGCCGCCTACCATAATAATAGCAAGACAGTGGAACACTTGGTTTTGAAGTGCATGGGGCTTTGCCCTGCCCTCCCTGAAGGGGTAACGGATTTGGCGGGGGCCCTGGGTTTTACTGGCGACGATGGAAGGACGGAAGAAAAAAGGATTACAGTGACAAAGAGGCGATTAGAAGATTGGTGGAAATTATCTAGGGAAAATTAAATGATGAACAACTAACTAGCACAGCTGGGGACGGGCGTGACAGACGAAAATTGGGACTCCCTCCCGCGTGGCTCCGGCCCAAAGTCTCAACCCTGTCTCCCAGTGGGTCCGGTGCTGGGGTAACGCCGACAAGGTTTGACCAGACGAAAATTGGCGACTCCCTCGCCGGGGGGAAGAGGCAGGGGTGTGATGTTTTTAGTTTTCTTTCCCGATCCCCCGAAGGTCATCCTAGTGATATCCCACACTACCTGGTGATAGTTAGGGGGAGAAAATTGGTCGGAGGAATAACGTTTTTGTCTTTTTAGACTTTGGCTAGGTGGTGCAAGCTACCGCCTGTTACAAAGGGTATAGCCATTAACATCCATCCATGTCATCAGGGACGTAATTCGCATTGCCATCGTCATCGTCATCGTCACTGATGACGTCATCAGTGACGGCATTTGCATCGTCATCGTCACTGATGACGTCACTAGTGCTGATAACGTCAACAGTGACGTCACTGATGACGTCATTGTCACGTGACCCCCTGAGGTCACGTGACCCTCGTGAGGCGACGGTGACACCGCTCAGAGGGAGTAGTAGCAGACAGGATGAGGAGGGAGGAGGGGTTACCTTCCCTCCTCCTCCTCAAGAGCTGCTCTGTAATTCGGCGTTACAGGGAGTTGTAAACCGCTTTCGTTTTTTTCGTTTAGTCATACAAGGCCATGACAGACGTGTTTACTGCTCGAGTTGGGGCCCCGGATAACCATATTCTGCCACACACTTTTCCGTGATCCCTTGTTCATGTTGCCATGCTCTGTAGACCTCGCTCATAGTGTATCGAGCTGTGTAGAATCTTTTAAACGGATCGAATGAACACCAACACCAAAGAACTGTGTACAAGGGTTTATCTGTCAAAAAAAGGAAAATTGTAAATTTTCCCCTTTTTTTTTTTATTTCAGTTGCAAGCTCGGGAGGTGCACACTTAATTTAGCTATGTGGATTTCGAGTTCCATATCAAGGCTGTTCCGAAATAGTTTTGCTATTTTCTCAGAATAGACAGATCTCACTAGCCAGTTTGGGTAGTCTTTCTGCATATGCGACAACCTCCCTGGAGCTCTGTACGTGCATAGCATGAGCCGTCTTGGGCACTGTCGCCTACCTGCTTCTTGTAAAGTTAAGCTGGCTTCACACAGTCTAACGCTTGGCGAGATGGGCCTAGTCATTTTGCGACACAACTCAGTGGATTTGGATCTGGAACTTGGAACTACAGTCAAACCCGTTTATAACGAACAGCAGGAAACGCTGCAAGTAATTTGATATAGTAAAAATCATTTACAACGAACTTCCACGTTGCATGCATTGCAAGGCGAGAGCGTCTCTTTCTTTCTCAGCTCTTCGCTTCCGCCTTCGCCTTGTACCTACGCGCTAATAACCTTTCCTTTTTTTTAGCTTATTTCCCTTTCTGAATCACTTGTTTGTGAAAAGTTTTGTGGTGTATTTTTAGCTTTCTCCCATTCTAAATTGCTTCTCCTCACTCAATTTTGTTTGCAACTCGAGCTTTTGGAATTTTCCATTTTTTTTGGGGGGGAGGGGGGGGGGGGGGGGGGCGGGGAACGGGCTGGAAGACGATTGTTTGCTCATTTTTTAAACCCTTCGCGGGGAGAAAATGTTTGATGTAGCGATTATGTTGTTCATTATAAAAAGCACATTTTACATGCATTTTTATTTAAATTTTCCGCGAGTTTGATATCGACAATAATTCGCTGTACGTGGGTTCATTCTAAACGGGTTTCACTGTATTTTTTTTGCTGAAGCTGGAGGAACATAGACTCAAAATTCCAACAAATAATATGCACACAAAATCATGCTTTTACAACTTACAAAATTCACTAACATAGCATACTTACAAAAATACAGCTAATTAACTCAGAGTAAAGAACACAGATGAGCACGCTGATCTCTGCAAACACACTTTATTCCCCACAGCAGATTTTTAACACTTCCCCATGAATATCACAACTTTGATTTCTTCCATAGCAAAAAAAAAAAAAAAAAAAAAAACAAGCATGCAAAAAAAAAAATAATGTGACCCCCTTATTTTAATGATGTCCTACACGAGTGTATCGTCGAAACGCCACCAGACCCCAAGGCGGCACCGACGGAGACTTTTGAAGATGGCAATAATGTGTGTTCCACGATAAACAAAAGATGGCCAGTGTGTAGACTCGTAGAATAATGGGGCAGTTGCAATGGAGTCTCTGAGGAAGAAACAGGAAAGGTCGCTAGAGCATGCCGCCAAAGTCTCCCGTGGCCTGCTTGTCCCTGGCCTCGGTCCAGGCCTTGGCAATGGTGCGCTTCATGTCGTCATCTCCTTCGTCGTACATCTGCTTCATCATGGTCATCAAGCTTGAGCTTGGGTCGCTGCTGTCCACCTCTGGCTTTGGGACCCTGTAAAGTGATTGAACGATTGCGGCTATTCGTGGCTTGCACTGATGTCACACCAGCAGCCATTGTGATGAGAGATACCACGTACCTCCTGAAGTTCAAGTTAAAAAATTTTGAAACTCACCAAGGTTCCACTTCGAAAATTTAGTAACTTTAGAACCCTCTTAAAAAGGCCCTGCAACAACTTTTTTACTGTTTTTTAATTTGCACCGAACTTGAGCGCACTGCTCAGGTTCCGCGTCGTCCAGTTAAAATATGATGCACTGATATTTAGTTACTCCCTTTGTGCCCGCTAGGTTGCCCGAACCACAAGAGACATGGAAACCGCAAAAAAGGTAGACGCTTAAATAGGATTGCAGGGCCCCTCAGGGTTCGACTTCAAAAAATTCTAAAATGTCAAGGTATCTAAAAGCTTGAGTTCGAAGATTTCCAATTTTTCGACAAATAAAAAAAAATGTGAAAGTTTAGAAAAATTCAAAAGATTTTGTATCTCTTCGAAAGTTTGATTTTAAGATTGAAGTCTGAATTTCATGGACAGAGATCAAATTCCGCAGTTTCAAATTAAGCTTTAAAAATTGCGAAATGTGCTACAAATTTTACCGAAAACGTTGCACATTTCTTTTATGCTGTAAATATACTTCTTCCTCCGCAGTGCTATACTGACAGCACATGTATTACTCAATTTTTGTTGAAACAATCAAACGCCGCCTAAAAGCGATGCTGGCATAAGACCACTAAATATACACGACAACGCAAAAAACACAAAGACATGCAGCTTCCCAAGCATTTTACGGTAAGTTGCTTGGAACATTTATTTTTGGTGGGATGACCCGTGGGATGGTCAAAACTCTGGACAGTTACAGCACCCGACTTGGGTCGGGTGCTGGGACTACTCCCCATTCCCATTCCCATTCCCATTCCCCCCCCCCCCCCCAAAATACAGCCGACCAATCAGGTCATGACCAGTTGTCGTTGGGCTAACCATATTGCCGCTGCCTGGAACTTTTCTTCTTCATTAGTAACCAGGTGGTTACTAATGATAACGAAGCAAGTGCCGACTTAGCATTCGCTGTAGCGCACCGGCTTCGCGCTCCGCATGCGCCTTTCACCGACCAGTTGTTTACTTGAGGAAATTGGGGGACTTTAATTCAGTAACAACTATGAAGCACCTCGGTTGAATTTCAAGCATGCAGATCACGGATCTGTTGCCCGCAGGTTACATCAGGGCAACCAACCTACGGAGTTGTGCACAGAAAGGCTCTGTGCAGAAGTCGAAAGAAAAAGGTGCAAGGCACGAGGCTGAGGCCAGCCCAAAGGGATCATTCAGCGCTTTAAAAGCGAGTTGTTTGTGGCACGATCATCTAAATAAAACTCCAGAGAAATATCCACTCCACTTCACACATTGACATCTTGTGTTATTTATATATGTTGCCTTGAACCTATGGGGGTGAACTCGGCTCAAACTTCGTCAAACTTTTGTTCAGATGTTGAAAGTCAGTCAAACTTTGTAATTTAGCAGGCTCGAACGTTTGATACTAATCGTTGAACTTCATAGCACGTAAGTTAGAAAGTTGGTGGGCGAGTGTGTTATGGTGTAATCGCACGACAGAGTTTTTCTCTGGAGAGGGATTAAACGAGTTTTGAGGCCATGTGAACTGAGTCACGGATATCCGCTAATAACCCAAACCCACGGGGAGCCGACGGGTTCGGGGGATGTTTAGTCAGAGTGCTTAGTCTCCCTCCTTTTGGGGAAGGATTACAGTCAGCAGCATTGAACTGCGAGATGCCTCTTTTTTCTTTTTCTCTGCCTTATGTTCGATGAGCCCCCTAAGGTCAGAAGCACGCACACGGAGAGAGAAACTTCGCAGAATCAACTATGTGCAACTGCATCACGCGAATGCTCGCCCGGATTTTCTGGACTGCCTCCTCCTCCTCGCGGAATTTCCTCCTCGCAGCTCCACAACATACTCTGTTTTCTCCAGAGATTCAAGATTCGTTGTGCGAATACACTCTAAGTGGAATGCAGATCGGAGCATGTAAAGTGGAAACTTGTGCCGTGTGTATGTTTATCCCCTTTTCTATGTGTTTGTCGGTCTTACATTTTTGTCATTATGAATAAGCATCATTACAATCATTCCGGAGTTTGACCACCTCCCCTGTCTGTTTCAATCCTAATAAGCATCGTACTGGCATGCAGTCAGGTAATCACCACTGCACAATGTACGTAATTTTTTTTGAAACATTAGCAGTTGTATTGCACTGGCAAATTAAATTACACATGAATCGCACATCTACAATGCGAACCAGTTTTGCCATACATCAAAGGCAGACAGACTGACCCCTATTTGTCTACACATTCAGTCAAATTTGCCATCTTGTTTTTGTTATTTTTTGCCATTAATATGAAGAAGTTAACTCTACAAGGATCTGAGCTCAAAATGGGTATGCAAGTTGACCAACTTATCATGTCACAACACTGTCCCACACACTCACTTGGGCTCTTTGGCTTTCTTCTCTGCCTCCGTCACATGAGACCAGTCCTGGGGACTTGACTTGCGAAGGAAAACCACAACCATGTCTGTCTTCACCTGGGTAAAACAAAATGCTTGAATTGAGGTGGCTGAGGTGATGTTCAGACACAATCACTCCCAAAGCTTGATATATTAAAGCACAGTTGTAATTAAAAAATATTTTAAACAAAATGAGAACATGAAAAAAAAAAAAAAAATTAAAATCCAGATTTGCCCAAACACACAATTGCAAATGGCAAGGTGATACATATATTCCACTACCTCTAACATCCTCTCTAACAAATAAAGAAACTGTTCAATTTTGGGTAGTTTGAATATGACAGCCCTCATGAGTGTTTGCTCCAGCAAACACACACAAGGGCTGTCATATCCGGGCTTAGAGGTTTGCCAAAAGGGCTAGCCAAACTCACTTTGTGGTAACTACTGTCAGGCAAAATATCCTTCATGAGGTTGGTGATCACCAGGCTGTGGTTCTTACTTGCCAGTGCTGACACCAGGAGCTCAACTTTTCTGTTGGGAGGGAAACAGTACAACAGTTTAGCTGTGGAAATGCTACAAGCTTTCCAACACACTCCAGTTTGGTTTGTTACTGTGGCAGCACTAATCAGTGTAAATTACAAATGCCAGTGGTCCAAGTTACTCCCAGTTTATTATGTCCACTATGGAACAAGTAAGGCATTCTACATTTGCCATGCAACACCTCATCATGTATCCTGCAGCTGGATGTGGCAATCAAAAGTCAAGGAGCTACGCCATAGGAAGCCAGTTCACCAATGTTGTCCAGTACACCTCTTAGACAAGCTATCACTTGTCACCATACTATGAAGCCTTTACACAAGCCCAAGAAGTCTTTGCATGGAATGTGAAGCATCTACTAATAAGTGCCACTGCACTATCCAAGTAGGCCATGTTAATAGCAAGTATCCTTGAACTTCAGAGGGAACTTCTGTCCCACAATAACAATAATGCTGCTAAAAGGCCTACACTAACCTCTTGCTGCTGCCTCAAAAAACTTGAACTCTGAGTAAGTTACAACTGTAACCCACTCTGCTAAAACCCCAACTAGGGATTGCACTATCTTTAAATACAAAAAAAATTATACATCATTTTCTGCTCTAGAATAGTTTCTGAATTATCCTCCTGTATCAAGAAAGTCAATGCTGACAAACCAGGTGACATGATGCTGCCCATTCTTCTTACTGGCAAGAAACACATTCCAGGCTGAATTTGTACTGGGAAAGGATGGTCCCCTCAGGCAATGTTATTGTATGACAATGGGACAGCCATTGTTAGGACCGAAGTTCACATGCTGTATCTTCTTTTAAACACGAAAAAAACGTGCCAAGCTAAATTTTTATTTGGGCGAGAATTTTATTTCCAGCATCATCAGGTTCGAGAAGAGCAGATGCTTTTATTAACAAAAGACATCATGACCAGACAATGTGCAAGACCATTCGTCCCAGATGCTACCATAAATTCAAACTTTTCTTCCCACTTACAACAGGTTACCACATACACAATAAATGGGAAACTGCAAGTTAACAATCCAGCTTAAAAAAAAAAAAAGGAAAGGTATGTGATGAAAGAATTAGTTTAAATAAATTAAAAAAGATATGCCAAGCATTGAGACCATCGACACCAAACGGTGCGTCGAGGCACTATGAGCTCGGGATTGTTTTCTGGCACATATTCCCACAAGGTAAGCTTACACAATCCAACATAGAGGATTGCCAACAGCCCTGTGCCATGTTTAGTAGCATGCTTCACATTTTTAGGTAATACATAGACCAATGAAAAAGCCTCCCCAAATTCTTGCCCTGGCAGGCATTGAACCCATGACCTCCTGCACACGAGTCCATCACTTTACCCACTACACTACTGAGCCAACATGTAACATGCAATAAAACAGATCCTCCTTACAAAACCTCCATTTATCATGTAGAATGTACATTAAATTAAATCTAAAAAAACTAACCCCCCCCCCCCCCCCAAAAAAAAATAATATACTGGTACAGATCAATAAAAAAAAAAAAAAGAAGGGTAGAAAAAAAAGGGGGGGGGGGGGGGAATGACATGCAATAAAACAGATCCTCCTTATAAAACCTCCACTTATCATGCAGAATGTACATTGAATTATATAAAAAAAAAAAAAACGGAATCCTTCCGTTAAAAAAAAAAAAGAATACTGGTGCAGTTCAATAAAAAGGGCAGAAAAAAAAAGGGGGGGGGGGGGGGGGAATGCTTTACAAATGCAAGAGTTACAATATATTTCATTGCTCAATCGAAAATCACATCTCAAACCCTAGTCAGGGACTAGAGGCCAAATGAATGTCACACTTCTCAAAATTCCAGAGCAGAAAGGAAAGTTATTTTTAACAAAATTAAGCTGGGTGGCAAAGCACTAAGAAGAGGTTTTCTTAATATTCACTGCTAGTGAAACAAATGAGAGTGGTATGCTGCATACCACTCTCATTTGTTTCACTAGCAGTGAATATTAAGAAAACCTCTTCTTAGTGCTTTGCCACCCAGCTTAATTTTGTTAAAAATAACTTTCCTTTCTGCTCTGGAATTTTGAGAAGTGTGACATTCATTTTGACCTCTAGTCCCTGACTAGGGTTTGAGACATAGCCACTAGAGGTCACTCGTAAATTAGCCTGGCAGAACCTGGCACGTCCATGCCCATTCTATCCTACTCTCAAATGAATAGTTCCGCTAAAATCAAGGACAGTTAACTTCTACGAAGACAGCTTCCCAATTTTAATGTTCGTAAATTCAGTAGGTCTTCTGGAATGCTCAGCTCATCCTCAACTGCAATCGTTTGTTCTGGTCCGAAACATTCATAAACATACCGTGCATAAAAAAGCAGCAGTTACGGACTGCCTCAGGAAGATCCGTGGTGACCTTCTCGTTTAAGTTTGTAGGCACAAGTTTGCCTCACTTAACATTAATTTTTAGTTTTAAATTCATTTACCATTTTCTATCTGTGACATTATGTTCCCGTGGAGTAGAAACCATCTAATGCATTCTACTATTCCACAATGAACCACCTGGTAAAATGCCCATGGCTTGCTGCACATGCAACGATTCTAATCTGCTCTCTAATTCAAGTTAAAGGCTCTTTTATTATCTACAGTAAAGTATCTGGTAATCAATATGTAGAAGATAACAGCTCTTCATGATTTTTTTTTTGTTACCCTATCCTAGTTACGTATGATTCCAAATTCTAGGCAGCATGAAACCTATCTTACCTTGCTCCAAAGACCGTCTTGATGTTGTCAGAGGGCAATGTGTGCACACCGGGAAGGGTGATGTAGAACTTAACAAACTTCTCAGACTGGTCCCAAGCTAAGAAAAAATAAAATGGAAAGCTCTTTTATGTCTTCTTTTGAATCCATAGACAGCATAAAGATACTTACCAAACAAAACAAGAAAGGTGATCAACTTTGTCAGTCTGTCAGAGTAAACCAGCAATCTAGTTTAGCTCATTCTTTGTCTAGAAAATCTATAGACTAGCAGAACTGCCTTCATTTTTAGGTGTAAACCACCAGAACAGAGCGGGGTTTGCAATCAGGGAAAATGGGGCACGTTCCCAGCAACATTTGCCATTCATCTCCATACGTATCCGCGGGCTCTATTGGTTGCCAATGTTTCAATGTAAATTCCCAACAATCGTTCATAATTTTTTAACTGCATACTGATCGGTTCTGAAACTTCAGCATCAGGTCTACATTTGGACGAAAACTGAGCGTATGGCGATGAGAAAGATCCGGTTCTTTTTTCTCTCAAACACCCGCTACAACTCCTGACCGTTTTTCCCTTGACGATAGAAGAATGCACCTGCATCAGGACAGTCTCATGCATCTCCTCATCGCACACATTTAGATGTTGCTACGAAATGATGCCAATTCAAGCGCAAGAAAAGAGGTATTCTTGCTCTTCCATTTTTCCAAAGCAGATGATCACTACTGGGGCAGAACAACTCACCGTAGTCTGTGATCTTGACGGTAAACACGGTGTTTTCCTTCGACACCTTGGGCGCCGTGGGCTTGGCCTGATCGGCACCCTGCTCGGTGAGCCGATCCCGCTCCTTGATGAGTTCTGTTTCGAGCTTGCGGACTTCCACGGTGAGAATCTGCTGGACCTTGGGCCTCTTAGCAGATTCCTGGAGGCTCTTTAGTTCGGCCAAGTCCTGCTTGATCTATCGACAAACGATTACGAGGAGCCATAAGTTTTCGCAACAGTCACTACCACACACACACTCATAATGCGGAAAGCAAGTCGTCTGCTTCTTGTGCAAGAGTTGCAGTGACATCAGAACAACACCGAGTTCTGATTGGCAAGATAGTGGGTAGACTTCAATGCTAAATGCCTTGAGGTCTGCCCACTATTTACTTTTTTTGTTCCTTCTGTCAGCCAATAAGAGCTTGGCATTCTGAGTCGCGACCCTTGTGCAAGAAGCAGACAAACTTGCACTCCCTATACACGTTTGCAAGTACGGCCTCGGGGCACCCCCAACCAAGCAAGATGGCGGCACCCTGAACGTCGCTATTCTCCCTCTAGAGTAATATAGAAGATTAACCCGTCACTATTGTGCCTGGATCGCGTCTCCGACTGGTGTGTTTAGCGTCCTATCCCGCCCATACATCAAAAGTGGTCCCCAAGTGGCAACAAATGACGTCACATAAGCCGGAGTGTCATGCTACCGACTGTCGCGATCCTGGCGGTTGGCCGTAGAAATGCTGGCGAAAAGCTCGAGTGAACGCGAGTGTCACTGTCGTTACGGCGTTCCAGGCGTCCCAACTTCCGGCTGCTGTAGCTTTCGTGGGTGGTCACAGTGGAGAGCGACCTGCAGCAGAACAGGCGTCTGCCATTTATACCACAACTGTTGGGACGCCGCCAGGATCGCGACCGGCGACAGCATGACACTTTTATGACATCACTCAGCTAACCTCCTCGCGTAACCTCCTTGACCGTCACTCAGGCTGTGTTCCAAATCTTACTCAAATGGATTTGAGTTACTCCAACTCCGGCGGGTCGTGTCACGTGACAACGCCGATTGTAAAACGCAGGACGCGGGTAGGTTTTAAAACGCCAAGGTACAAAATCCTTACCCTGGAGTAAGATCGAGTAAATATTGGAACACGGCCCAAAATTCATACAAAAGCAGTTTCCCCTCATTCTCTTCCGTGCTGGTGCGAAATGGATGACATGACGTCAGCGCAAAGCGTGCTTTGGATGGCTGAGCGTGTTGATGACTTGATAACGAAAATAAATTAAGAGACAAGGACAATACAGACGACACGGTCCGCCGTGGAGCGTGTATTTCCCCTTTTGTCCCTCTTTCGGTTTCGGAATGGAAACTGTACTGCGGCTTGTGAAGGTAGTACGGTGACGATTCCAATATATACGGTTAGAAAATTATGTTTGATTTACAGCACACTGGGGAGCGCAGAGCACTAACAACTGCGTTCGTTTCTTCCCTAGGTGAACGGGTGAACGGGTAGCGTTAATGCCGCTTTGGCGATTATTACGTGAAAGCGTAATTGCCAACCTAATTGGTAACCTACTAAGAAGATTTGGCATGCGCTCAGTCAACCTCATACACCAGGTGATGAGAACAGTCGACATTTCTACTAAAAGCAACTTCGATCTGAGAATGACTGAGCGGCTTCACTGTCCAAAATTCTCCTGTAGTCGGTTTACTGGGGCCCAAGAATAAAGAAATCAGGATCAGAAGGGATGACAAAGCTCACCAACCTCGTCAAGTTTCGGCATCTTTGGGGAATGTGAAGAGTTCGTGCCGGTGAAGGCTAGAAAAGCAAGATAGCCGAAGAAACTTCTAGATCGTCGTCAGTGAAATGTATGATCAAGGCTAATACACGCAAAATGCACGCCGCCGCTCTGTTCTCCGCTTTGTCACTTCCGACGCTTTCTCTTGGTCGGCTGGTGGCGCGTTATGTTAGCAAAAATGCAATAACTCCTTACAGTTAGTTTGGAGTAATCAAATATAACCTATTTTTGCACAAAAAAATAACTAGTAAAGTTATTGTATTAGAACATATAATTTAAATTTTTGTGTTTAACCAAAACACAAAAGTAAGCCTAAGATTAACAAGTTTATAAGACATAAGCTAATAAATTGTTTTATGACGTAGTTTAATATTAGGGACACTTTATAATTATTAGAGTTAATAATGTAAAAAAGAAAATTTTATGTTTACTCTAGTTACTCAAATGTTCTGCCACCTACATCCCATGAACGCTCTCAGTACTTTAAGAGGTTGTGCGAATTCTAAAAGGGAAGCGCCGTAGGTCGCCGATCACCTGACTGCGGCAGTGTCTTCGCGTCTTGTGACCGCTACCTTCCAGTCTCCGTTCGATACTTACGATGGCTAGTCAAAGCCAAGGCGTCCAGCAATTGTTGGCTGCAGAAAAGCGGGCGTCTGAGAAAGTCGCCGATGCCAGAAAACGTACGTTTCATCGTCTTTTCGAACGTAGAAAAGGGGCTGACCTAGTGCTCGGCAAAACGATCAATAAGCTCAGTGTGCCGGGGAATGTTGCTCTAGTTTCTAATTGTTGTGTTTTTGTAGGCAAGGCCAAACGTCTGAAGCAGGCAAAAGATGAAGCTCAGCTTGAGATCGACAGATTCAAGGCCGATAAAGAACGTCAGTTCAAGGAGTACGAAGCCAAAGTAAGTGGTGCAAATGTCTTCCTCCCTGTGTGGAACGCCTCCCTTCGTGGAGCGCCCACTAAACTTTACCAAATACGAGAAAAGGTATTTGAGGACCACGTCCTTTTATCTGCAATTGAACGCCCGAGTGACTGTGGTTTATTACCATAGCATTCTAATAAACCCAAAGTAAAACCGGAAGCAATAGGATCTTGATAGAAGGCACTACGAGATATGCGCTGATTAGATTGAATTTACAATTATCATTAAATAGCATCCATCCTTCTAAACACAAACACGTGTACAGACTTTTCTTTCTTTCCTTTTTTTGTTTATTTTTTTGCATGGAAGAATTTTACATGTTTTATATGCCCTCTCGCACGACCTCCACCGAGTTTGCACTGGTTCACACAGCCAACACTATGCCTTTGTAACAGTCAATGGCACACTCCAAATAACCCACTTTTTCACGTGTCGTGCACCTTGGCCGGAAATGGCTGTACGCAAGGAGCGAAACTTGTTGGGTCTTGAATGAAACAAATTGTAAAAACAAATATCTCAAGTTGTAGTGTAGCTTAGTGGAAAGGTGTCCGCTTCGTATGGAGCAGACACAGGTACTATCGGGGAAAAATGAAATGCGAACAGAAGAGCGCGTGGCTCGCGGTACAGGCTGCCCCACCTGGAAGTGAGCCTAGGGGCGAGGGTGCATGGCCTACTCCGATGTATTCACGCCCCTCGCTCTGCGCTCCCCAAGCTTCGGCAGTGCACCTCTTAGTGCGCTGAAAGCTATCACCGCTATCTTTGCTGGCTCAGCGCGTTCGGTGCGAAGAAGCTCGCCGCACGCGCCAAGCAGGCAAAGATAGCGGTGACAGCTTTCAGCGCACTGAGAGGCGCACTGTCGAAGTTTGGGAAGTGCAGAGCGAGGGGCGTGAACAGATCAGAGTAGGCCATGCACTCTCACTCCTAGGCTCACTTTCAGGTGGCGCAGCTTGTACCGCGAGCCACGCGCTCCTCTGTTCGCATTTCATTTTTCCCCGATAGTACAATCAAGAGAGGGCTTTTTCTTTTTTTGTCTAACATTTGGCAATATTTATGGCATTTCTGCCATAATTGTAAAACTCATTGATAATTGTAAAAACAATTATCAATGAAAAAAAAAATGTTCTCAACAAATCTTTGTTGGTCTAAATGGTATGGGACTCTTTCCAAAGTGCAATGGGGGATAGCAGGGCCTGGGTTGCGGACTGGATGCCACGAAGCGGCGTGTACAGGGGACCAAGTGGGTTAATAGTTTTGTAAGGAGCAGCCGCAGACTGTCGCCGCAAGTGCAGGCCAGGAAAGGAAGGGGGGGGGGTTTAAACGCTCTTCAGTGATACACGCGCCGTCCGAAGAGAGTGGCGGCGCAACCGTCGCTTCGTGCATTAGCAGCTTCCGGTCCAGCTGCACTACGTCGTGAATATAGCATTACTCTTTCACATGACCTCGCAGTTTTTGCGCACAATCACATGTCCATTGGCGTGCAATCCGTAACGATTTACTTGTACTGTTCCTGTTAAATTATTTTTCTTTTTTTCCTAACATGCGTTGCATGCCAAGGGATGATTGAGTAGGACAAGGAATGCCATCAGCGACAAACATAACTTGACCCATTACTTTACTGAGGGTTATAATTTTTATTCACTTTTTTATCACACTTTTTAATTTCCCCCTAATCATAGTTTGCACGCATGTGCTGATTGTACAATTCAGCTGCGACAGAAAACTGAGCGTTGCATAGGTCCAGTGCCATCCCACACCACATGCTTGAGGTGCACAAAGTGACTGCTGTTTTGAGAGAAGTTTGATCTCTTGTGGGGAAATCAAAATTGCCTCTGCGGCCCCCTGCACAATGATTCATTCATTCTTGTGAACATGACCTTTAGAATTAAGGTGAAAATCAAAAAGAAACTAAGTCTTAGTTTCAGGCCTTGTGCCTCTAAATTTCTTGTTTTGAAATATCAAATACGGCAGTCTCAACATTACACAAACCAGTCCGGACGTAATTTATTTGCAGTCCTGCAATTTTTGCCATTTCCAGCTTTGATGATTCCCAGAATGGCAGCCAACGTTTCCAGGTCGAAGTCCATTTCTCCAATTAACTTTTGTAGCAAAAGATCAGTTAGCACTTTGAACTGTATATCGAGACTTGTTTCTTAATAACTTGATCAAGCATTTGCCATCTTCTGCATTAGAACACCACGTTGCTTGACAGAGCAATTCACAATGGATTATGATGCAGAATTGCATGTTTAGCTTTTTCTCCAGTTGTCCTTGCACTGCCGAGATCGTGCAACATGTACTTCACCATAGATTCTTGTGCCCAAGGCAAGCTTGAGGGGCAGTGCTATCTGTGAAACACTTTTTTTTTTTATAATACTGCCGGCGAAATATTAGAAACCAAGGCATAATGTAGGAGGAACAATAAAAAAAAAAAGTCAGCATTGCAAATAAATACACATATTCACGAAGAAAGGGTAAAAGCACAGGCGAGCTGGTGAAGAACTTCCATCGTAAACCGAAGACACAGAAAAAAAAAAAAAAAAAAAAGGTGTTTTCATTGTTAGCAGGGTTTGAGTGCCTGTTTCTTGGATTGGAAAGGGGTCAGTTTTTGGTTGGTATGAAAGGAAGGGAGGTAGCATGTGTCATTGGTTCAGTTTGAGATGTCGTTGATGGAGTGGAGAGGAGGTGTGTCGACCTTTGGAGAGGAGGGTTGTTGTGTATATATAAGAGCGGAGGTGTTCAAATAAACTAGAAGCTGTGTTTGAGACTTGTTGTTGTTTTGTCCGTTTTTTATTTTTCCGTGTCTCCGGTTTACGATGGAAGACACATATTCATCCAGTAAAATGTATAAGCAGTTTAGTCCTTGGAGTCCATTTTAATGAAGAAAAGTTAATCAATTGCACTAGAAAATGTAGCAAAAAAAAAAAAAAAATTTCCATCACGTTGCGCCCTGCAGCGTGACAGAAATTCGTTTGGCTCGCAAACGGTATGCGGAAAAAAAGGAATATTTTAAAACATCTTTCCAGCAACGAAAGTCGCGTATCAGTTTTTCATGCTTCTGTCTTGGCTCACGTTATACTGCAGATGGACATCAAGCTTTAAACAAGTTTTTTTGTGCATTATGCTATGAAAAACTTTTAAGCGCTTAACTTTCCTTTGACATGAAAACTCAGGCAGTCATATCTTATTCATACGTCATAAGAGATTTTCTAAAATTTTCAATAGAAAAGTGGTGGTCGACGTAGCTCTCAAATACACGGAGCTGAATTGTGCCATTTATTGAAACCCGCTGAAAATGGGCCCCATTTTCCCATAAATATTTTCAGAAAATCACTTATAACTTTTGAATGAGATAACATTTCTGAAACTTTGACATCTGCTTCGGACTGGTAGCAAAATATTTGGGCGGAGAATGAGCATTTGGCGATGCGTGTTTATTTTTGCGGTGAAAAAAAAAAACCTTAGTTTTTTGGGGGGACATCCTGTCAATAGCCTCTACTCCGTTCACCCCTAAGCTGACAGTGCAGCGACAGCTGCGTGATCTTCGGACTAGTCCTACATTCATCATCCACAACATGATATCCATACCCACGCGCAGAGCGGGATCGGGCAACGAAAGGGAGGAGGTTGACCAGTCCCTCAGGCACGTAGCCACCCCTGCACCGTCAGCTTAGAAGCAAACAAAGTATGGTTTGGTCTGGGGAAGTAGGCGATGACCGTGGTACGACTAATAGACCAGCGTCTTTAAATCGACAGCACATGGGGTCCAAGGAAGACATAGCGTCCAAGATTGATGCCGAGACGAAGCAGAAGATGAATGACATGAACCAGCTGGTGGCTCAGCACAAGAAGGCGGTCATTGAGCAGCTCCTGACGTTGGTCTACGCCATCGACCCTCAAGTGCACCGCAACTACCGCCCTTAGATGTTCCAGTCTTCCGAGTGTTGCTCCCGGCCAGCACAGTCGAGTATTGATTGTTGCCGAAACTCCAAATAAAGGTCTTTTGTCATTTTACTGCAGTTAAGGATCGGTTCAATAGTTCACCTATGGTTTGTCGTGTCGGGCAACACAAGTTTGCAACCTCGCACAGAAAAAGGCACTGTGGCTAAATTTTGAACTGTTACCTAATGATCTAGCTTGCTGAAAACAGGTGGCAAAATTCATACCTAAGGCAGAACGAAAGCATGGTCGAGCCTCTCACAGGAGCCTGTGTAGACTGCAGTGTTTTAAGTGCTAGTCTGCCTATGTGCTGGCATTGGCAATGCTTTCTTCAGCGCTTTCTCACTGTTGTTTTTTTGGTTTGTTTGAGCAAGCCAGCTCTCAAGTCTGTGCAGATTTATTTAAATTATGTCTAAATTCTTTACACTGTCGTAAAGTTCACTCTTATTGCTTGCAGGTGCCGAACAATGCTGAAAGTGTTCTGTTTGCTGTTGTAGGTGTGATTGTGCCCCAATCATTCAAGTGGCTTCATTTGAACTTCAAAGGATCATTCCACCGGTGGATTTTAATTGCCTCTAGAAGTGGTTGTGCTATAGTTTATTAGCAGACTATAATTGAACTGGTGCATGTACAGTGGCCCAGTTTTTTTAATAATATCAAGCGAGCATCGACCGCCGGGACTGCCAGTGCCGTACCGTAAAGGCGTGCGGCAATACGGGAGAGATGAAGTGCATGCGCATAAAGCCCTTTCTGGTGGGAGCGTCGTCTGCTAGGCTATTCCGTTGATGACACGCAGCCCCTGCTTTGTAGCAAAGGAGGGCAGGGCGCTTGCAATGTCGGAAGATCATCGCCGATACGCCCCTCCTCTTGGAATGCGTTCAGAATCCTATTGACGGTAGCCTGTATAACCCCGACTGTTCTTGCTGCAGGTATATCCCTTTGCGTCATGCCGCCCATCGACATTCTTACAACATGTTCCTGTGTTTCTATAGGCACTTGAGGAGACATAAAAATGTGCGCGCACCCGCTGGTCAAAGAAAAGTGTGACTACCGGGCTACAAGGCTAGGTGATGGCAGCGACAACGCAATTGATGATACAAAACACCAAGCGGAAACCCTGCATATACTCCATTTTGCTTTGTGTTGTACCACAGCAGACGCTACGAGCCATCTTGGTCAGTCGATCGCTAAAAGTGTGTCACGTGGCCTTCCCGTTGGGTACAACTGCACGTGGAACCACAATGTCACGTGTCGGGGTAAAAGCACTGGATTCATTTTGATGGCTCATAGTATTGGCTGCGGTACATAGTTTAATGCGTTGTTGCATTCAGTTTGTCGTGTCACCATATTTTTTTATTTTTTTGGTGTTCACAGAAGTAAACTCAAACATAAAACGAAAAAAAAAAAGTAAAATAAACTTGAGATGACAAGCAGTTTATGCCACGCCTGAGCAGTATTAAAAAAAAACGCAAGAGCTGTTCAGGTTTTAAAGGCGGTTAGCTATGACAGCAGATAGTGAACAGGGGCTGTGTGCGGTCATCAGAATAGCCCAGCAGACTACGCTCACAACGGAAAGAGCTTTGTGCACACGCGCCTAATCTCTCCCTAATTGCAACATTTCTCCGCGGAACAGCGCTGGCCATCCCGGCGGTCGACACTCGCTTGATAATATTAAAAAATTTGGCCACTGTATACTTGCTCACAAAGGCAAGCATTCTGAAGTATTTAGGTGCATTTTTTTCTGTATAAATGAGGCAAATTAGTGCTATTGCATACCCAAGATCCTGATTACAGCTTGTTACTGAAAAATCTAGATGGAAGTTTTTGGCTTGTATAAATCATGTGTACATTCATTGAGTTATATTACGTCTATTCTGTTTTGGACAGTGTACACAAAGGTGTTTCCATGGGATTCACACTGCACTGCCATGGTGTTGTGACTATTTTGTTTTCCAGTTTTGCTCTGTATATACAGTCAAGACATTAAAGAATTAGTCAAATTTTTTTGTCTTGAACTTTCAGCTGAGCAAATTATTGCAGGGCCTAAATCTCTCCCAATTTTCAGGATGTACACTATGCGACAAAGTTAAAATGTTACTTTCACACACACATTAGTGTAAAACATATGTTTTACCACCTACACCTGCACCACATAAACAGGCTCTACAAGACTACTATGGTAATATCCCCGAAACGCCCCACCCTCGAAAGATGATGCACCCCTATTTTTGGTACGATTTGCTCTTTCAAAAACACAAAAAGATAGCCCACCTCTAGTAAGTGCGGGGTTCAGGCCAATGGTGACCTAGGCAGAATTGGTGTTACTAAGCCACAATGAGAGATTATAGCGAACATTGCTTACTGGGAAGGACTGTTTTCTACGCTCCATTGCCCTTCAATGTAGAAAAAAGCTTGGCAGGTCACAAAAAATAAAAGTAGCATTCTTAAAAAAAATTTGAATTGCATACCGAAAGATAGTTTACTCCTCATATTAACCCGATTTGCTCTCGCTTTTAGGTGGGCTATCTTGGGATATTACGGTAGTAGTATTGATCACAGAATTTTTGCTGAAACTTGAAAACGCTGCCAAGGAATCTTCATAAGAAACCATGGAACACGCACTAAGAGAGCTAACACCCTTTGCAAAATTCCACCTGCTCTGGATCATTTCGGAGAACCTTTGTGCCTTGTCTCAGCCACCAATCCTTCGTAGAATTTACTTGTAGCTCTCTCTGGAATACAACTCGCAGTTTAGTGCCACCTTTGCGGTTTTAGACACTGTGACGTGGCTCGGATGAATGTCGTTTGAACGCATTGCGCCCACGTGGTGACCTTGTACTGTAGATACGATGCCCAGTTTCACCTCTGTCGGTCGCATACAAAGGTCGGCCAAGTTATAGGTATCAAGAAGAATACTAATCGAGTAGGGCTCCAAGTTCTCAGCAGCAACCCTTTATTTTATGAAGTTCCTCTCGAATTTGGGGGTTTTATGTGCCAAACCAACGACGGGCATCTGGCACGCCCCACCGGAGGACTGAGGATTCATTTTGAGCACCTGGGGATCTTTTGATGTGCAACCGAAAGCCCGCTTACTGGCGTCTTCTCCGCGATAAGCCCTTGTCAGATTGCAGGCACCTCGGCCGGGTTTGAACCCATGAAGGTCCTTTCAAGTTGAAATTTCTTCTGCTATGCACAGTACAAGTACTACCTAACACCTTTCGAGAGCTTATCGCCTATGTGAGAAATAGAGTCGCTGGGTTGCAGACGCATGGTTAGTGCCTGCCGCAAAAGTGAGCTGTGTCAGGTAGCCCGGCAAACAAAGATGCAATTGCGCAGAAGGAAATTATTGGAAAGGTCTTAGGTAGGGTTACGCGTTATCGGATAAATCCGAAATACCCTCACCGGTCAAATTTTCGCCAATTCGGACTTATCCGAAAAAGCTTGAGATTTTGAGGTCATGATGGCAAAATAAAAAGCACGAAAGACTATTTACAAATAAATTTTGTGAGAGCACAGTGTTGGCGATCCTGGGGAGAGGCCATTTCAACAGGTCTGGGTCTAAGTTTGTATTGGTCATGACAAAAGCCACTTTTCCGGTTTCCAGTTTGGATCATAGTATTTTTCTATTTTTGAGGGAGGTTTGTGTTTTTATAGCAGTGAAAGCAACGAGACAATTTCCTAGGAGGGGGGCAGGGCAGCTGGAACTTCTTTGCTTCCTAGCGCCCAAGTTCAGGTGTTAAGTCATCTCGAAGTATGGACGTTAATTTAAGCAACGTTTTGTAAGATTTGTCCTGGGACAGTTAGTATTTCCAGTGCTAAGGACGGTAATGGTAAATGCAGCTGCAGACATATCATTCAATACAGGTGATGTTCTGATGAGTTTAAGGTGTGTTCGTGCCTGCATAATATTTATTTGATTTTTAGTTTTGAAAAAGTGGAAATAAAGTAAATCTAAATTTTAGAAAATTAACAAAACAAAAATAAACACAGAAAAACCCTGAATTTTTAGCAAAAAACAAACTCCGTAAAACACCCTTCGAATTTCACGAAAGATGAACTCCGAAAACACTGAATCCTATCTATAGGAAAGTAGAAACAAAAGGGGCCATCAGCAGAAAGCTTAATTTCACAGAGCTGTTTTTCAAGAGGCAAGACATTCGAGAAGTATTACTAGAAAAAATTAGGTTTGGTACATGAGGACAAGGTAAAACCGTTACTACCGTAAAATGCTGGGCAAGCGCCCACTCAAACTTTAAAGATAATTGCAAGTAAATGGGGGATGGGCGCTTGTCCGGTCATCAATTTTACTATAAATTTACAGTGCATATTTTCTCATATCTTACAAATTTGGGAATGGGCGCTTAATGTGGAATGGGCGGATGCGCAGTATTCTACGGTAGTGTTCCGTGTTTTCAGGGTTTACTTTTTCCCAGAGATTCGGTGTTTTTCGGTATCAATTTTTGATGTAGGAGAAAATGTTGGGGTTCATAGGAGCCGATGATGGGGAAAATAGAGTACAGGCATTAGATTAGATACCCCCGCTTCCGGGGAACATGGGCGCAACCTGAAAACTTGAGCGAATGTCCCCATACCGACAAATAAACAAGAAGAGATGCAAGGTTCTGAAGCAAAAAGCAACCTTGCAGACAGTTCATCGGGAGCTGTGTTCTGGGTCAGGACACAATAAAGCTCTGGACCAGTGGTTCTCAAATGGGGGTCTGCGATGGCATCTTAGGGGTCTGCAAAGCCCAGTCTCATCAGGCAAGCCCGGAAATAAAAGTTGCCTTTTTTCACATTGAGAAGAAGCATTTCAATTTTCGGGCGAGTTCTTTCGTATGTATGTCAATGAGGTAAGTCTACTTCACACCAGCAATTAGTTATATTCATTTGTTAAATCATCATCATTAACCTACCATAGAATACTGCGCATCTGCCCATTCCACACTAAGTGCCCATTCCCAAATTTGTAAGATCTGAGAAAATGCCTACAGTACATTTATATGTAAAATTGATGACTGGACAAGTGCCCATCCCCCATTTTTTCGCAAATATTTCTAAATTTTGAGGGGCGCTTGCCCAGTATTTTATGGTATATCTTTGTATTGCCCTCACCCTGAAATGGATCCTCCATAATATCCGCATATCCATAAGGGGTCCGCAAAACATCTATGGTTGAGAACCATACTGCTCTAGACAAAGGTTTAGCTCCCATAAAGCTTTAGTTTTTACAGCGAAGCTGTTAAGGGCTAGTTTCCCCAAGATTGTGTCCCCCGCAAAAAAATGTCGACACAAAACTCTGGACAGCTACCGGCATCTATGAGCGACAGTGGCAACCGGTTTACCGGCTTCACTCCATAGATGGCGCCAACCTTTCCAGCCTTTCCACTCTGGTTTTCACCAGTGGAAAGGCTGAATTTCTCTAGGCGTTATCCTTGAGGTCGTCCTTGACGTCCGAGAGATTGTCCTCGAGGTCATCCTAGAAGTCATCCTTGAGGTCGTTCTAGACGTTGTCCTCGAGGTCATCCTAGAAGTCGTCCTTGAAGTCGTCCTAAACGTCATCCTTTAGGTCGCTCTAAACGTCGTCCCTGAGGTCGTCTTAGAAGTCGTCCTTGAGGTCGTCCTAGACGTCGCCTTCTAAGCGTTGTCCTTGAGGTTGTAAAAGAAGTCGTCCTTGAGGTCATCCCACCATAGTACAGCTTCGCTGGTCTTCCTTCACCAGAGTGGAAAGGCTGAAAGTTTTTTTTATACAAGAACAGCTCTCATTCGGGGTTTTTTCAATTATCCCCGATTTTGATGAAGCCTGTTCGGGGGCTCATTTTCGGTGTACGTCCGCATTTACCGAAGACACGGACTCCTATTTATAACATACTATAATTCAATAGTGACGAAATGTGCACGCTGCGGTGAAGTCTTTGGGAAGGCTGCATTGTGCTTGCGAGCAACGGCGGTCAGATAAATTGTTCAGCAGCTGCCGAGAACCTTTAGACATTTCGACAGCGCTGTATCGGTTCCTGATAAAACACTAACCGATATAGTTGAACCTTGATTTAACGAAACCCGATTTTACGAATGTACCGATGTAACAAACATTCCCCGTGCAGCCTATGCGCGAGGTCTCCCTTCCTTGATTTTATGAATTTCCCAATTTAATGAAATAATTAGTGCGTCTCGGTGACTTCGTTAAATCGAGGTTCAACTGTATTGGTACTGCAGGTCACAAGCGATGCATACCTATACGGATCGGGTATCGTTTAAGAAACTCTATGCACCACACATCGTGCCATAACGGTGTTTAACAGACCATGTGTGGGCACCCACGTGAACTTTGCTACCTCTGGAACTGCCCGTTTCAACAATTCCTTGGCCTCCCTACTCGGGGGATAGCTAAACCCGGATCATGTTTGTAGACCCTTCAAACTTCAAATAGACTCCAGCACAACACCATCGGAACATACTACGAGAACCCATGGGGCCTTACGACTCCCATCACCATCCTATCCCCTTCCCCCCGCCCCCTTCCCCCCCCCCCCCCCCCTTCCCCCCTTGCACACACAAACACACACACACAAACGACTCCCAGTGTTGGCCGTTCTCTTAGGAACTGCGAGAGCTATAGTCCGTTATACATTAGGTCAGACCGGAGTCAAAACTACAATGCAACCGAGCCGATGAAACAGCGCAAAAGTGCATGTCACGGCGCTCTTTGTGCATATGGTATCACCAGACAAACCAATGGTGCACAGTGAATGTCACACAATCCTGCACTTTTTTCCGAATTGTCATGGACGAGTGCCATGACGATGCACTTTTGGCAATGCTCAATTCGCTCGGTCGGGGTAGCAACGGCTTCAATCGGTCGGACTTAATGTGATTATAGGTGAAAAAGGTTCACTATACGGTGGGTAGACGACTTCTATGAGTCTGATACACTACTATACTTGTAATTTATTCTAGTCCACGGTACGTATGTGATAGAGGTCCATCTCTGCTTGTGTGATGCGAGCAGGTACATTGCACATGAGATCCTTGCCTTCCACCGACTTGGGAAATGCTATGACGTCCCGGATGCTTGGGCTGTTGCACAAGATGCACACCAATCTATCCAGACCTGCAAAAGTGAAAAGGAGACATATCGAGCCACTAAGTGAAAAGAACGCTCGGGATCTTCAACGAAATTCAGGCACAAGTTTGCAGATTTCACTGCCAGTCAACTGAAATTAATTAAAAATGGTTAACAAATGTTCTGAAAGTTTAGGAGTTTCAACTGCACTGCTTAGAAGTGTTCTCATTTTGTACATATACAACAAAATCAAAAAGTGTCGCAGATCTTTAAAAGATTTCGAAGGTCTACTTTATCTTCATAACTACTTCCTAGTTACTTCATACTTGCTAGTTACAACCATATTAATCAATTGATTTGGATAAAGTCAATTTTAATCATGACCAAATCAGGAGTAGACTGATCCCATATTGCACACGACCACTCAAACAGCAACATTTGCATGATTTCAGCCAAGGGTATGTGTTCATGGCTGAAATCATGCTATACAAAAGTGTTGAGCAGCACAAATTTTTTGTGTCAATCAACAAATAGGTGGACAGAATCTCCACAGATAATAGGACAAAGAAAAAAGATTGTCCTTGTAAAAAAAACTTGCCCAGAGCAATTCCTCCATGAGGTGGCGCTCCTGACTCCAAGGCCTCCAACAGGTGACTGAGCTGTGCATCATCCTCCTTGTAGGAGAGAAGACAGGGCATGCCAGTTAATCTCTCCATGTGTCAAAGTTATGTATGCCAGAAGTATGTTGATGTAAACTGCCCATGAGTAGATACATACTCGTATAGGGTGCGCACTAGGGATCTTGCGCTGTAAAACGAGCCGAAAAAATAGTCACTCGCAAATAGAAAGTTTAAACTTTCACCAAATTTGCAATAAGGAGGTCAGTTTTACCTTGCGAAATTCCAAGGCGTAGTTCTCTTCCTGAAAAAAATGCGACCAACAAACTTGCCGAAGTTAACGGCAAGCGTGTTCGCAGACGGCCCAATTATCTATGAATGCAACTGGTAGCGCAATCGCCTGATAGGCGCAGCCAGCAGACGGCAGAGTGCGTCACCTGCCCGCAGCACCTGTCGGGAGACGGTGCCACAAGTTACTGTCACTGCTAATTTGGTCGTCTGCACAATGTGTCCTGGTGCTGGCTTTGGCAAACTTGTTGGTCTCATTGTTTAGAGGAAGAGAAATACGTCTTGAAATTTCACAAGGTAAAATCCATTACCTCAATGCATATTTGCTGAAAGTTTGAGCATTCTATGAGCAGACACCTGTTTTTACAGCTTGTTCTACAGTGTAAGATCCACCCACTGTGCACACCCCTGCATACTTTGCATTTTCAGAGAAACCCTTGCCTTCAAAATTTCCCGTAGAACTTGCCGCTGCAGGTGTGCATTGTGGATCCTCACAGAGCCGCCTGCAACTTCCCAGCCATTCAGCACCAAATCGTAGTGCTGACCCCTGGCCTGCGGTGGCATAAAGTCCTTTTGTAAGCAGTTTCTTTCAGGGTGTCAAGGGTACTGCAAACATGCACCGATATGGGAATCAAAGTATAACGGTGCATGTGTGTGTATGGCTACAGGCTTCATCTGTAAATGCCTAACAGCTACAAATGAAGCCAAAGCACGACACTAATGAATATCAACAAATTTTATGATATGGTTATAGTATATATACTATTTGCTCAAAAACTTGTTCTTAGGGGGAAAGAAATTTGATCAATTATTGTTTTAGAGGTATGTAACCACTTTTCAGTGTTAACCGAAAAACAGATAAACATCTGTTGGTGTCAAAGATACAAAATCGTTTAAAACTAAAAGAACACTCATAAACATCTGTTGGCATCAAAAATACAAAATCGGTTTAAACCTATAACACCGATTTCTTGAAAGGTTTGTTTCAGCAAGCAGTTGCATCGCTATATGGGGGGGGGGGGGTGCCTCAAGCGCAGCTCTCGGGGGTGGTGCGCAGTTGGGCAGTGAAAGGGAGGGGGAGGGGGGGGGGGGGGGGGGGACTGTTGCTTTGGGTGCTGCTGACCCTAGTGATGCATCTGCTAACAAAGGCTGTTTTTGGTAAAACCCTCCCCTTTTAGACTAAAATTCTTAGTTTTTCGTGAATCATTTCCACCAATAATCACTGTTTCTAGCGTCCATCCGAAGCAGCTCACTGAAGTACACCAACATTTGCAAAAGCATTGGATGATTTTCTTTCTAAATAAACACCGGAAAGGCCACAACCTAGGGTTAACTTGTATACTACATTTATATGGGAGGAAGACGATTTATGTGTACTATCATTACTAACGTACTGTTGAAATGCAGCAAACTGAGGGATGAAGACGACAACGCTGCACGTGCAGGTGGCAATTAGAATGAATTCGATTTAAATCCAGGATACCAAGTAAAATATAAACCCAATTTGTGACGTAACAATGATCATGTCGACAACCAGCAGAAACTGGCTGTGTTATCTAATGGCCATTGAAGATAGCTCACTGAGGCTAGGGTACAAGTGCAAACACCTCCAGCTGTATATCAATTAGTTTGGACATTGCAAAAGTAGTTTGCCCATCCAGTGCTGCTTTCATCACTTTTTCTTTTCTTCCCATTTGATAGTGTAGTCACTTATCTCTGCATACAAGTCGTATTGCTTAAAAAAGTATGAATCAGTTTGTGCTACAACGAATAGGTAAAGGTGCACTCACCTTCAGTGGGTCTGTGTGGATGAGATGTAAATCATCAAGGTGTGGGGCAGTGAATGGATGGTGATTTGCTTTCAATCCCCCTAAAATAAAAATAGAATGCCTTGTGCTCTCCCAATACGGTCAGCTTCCAACAATTAAAAGCTGTAAAGTCTACCGAAATTTGCTCGAGTCATCACGACTAAATTTCAGTTGCTAGTCCACAACAAACAGACATTGTATCTTTGCACAACAGGCAACATAAACAGAAGTGCAAATCACAGTGTCATTTACCATTCACCGTTCTGATTGATCAAACAGGAACAAGCAATAATAATTTGTATTGTTTTTGTGAGCAGGCACGGTGAGGAACCATGGCAAAATGTGTATCTTATAGTCACCATTATGTGAGCTGCTTTGCCAAACATATAGACCTTTTCATTTCAGTAGTTGCCTGACCGGCGGGTAGAGGGCGCTGGCGCACTCGGCGCCATTAGGTTGCTTCACTTTGGTCGGTTTCGGTTTCAACGTGCACGCGATAGTGATGCTGTTTCATGTTACTTTCGATTAATTGTGCGATATAAATTTTTTTCTTGTAGCACACAGCGAATGAAACAATACTATTGAACCACTTGGCAAGCCACAAAAGGGTTTCGAGCCTAAATTGCGATCTTTTTTTAGGAACACTATGTGCGTCGGATTCCGTCCATCGTTAACTTCGGCCAGGTTCGGCGGTGAAACAACTGCGCTGCTGCACAGGGAGGAACACCATTGTCCACGGCCGTACCCGCGGACACTAGTCTTCAGAAAAAAAAAATAAAGAGCAGGACAAGCTCCGCCTGCAGCGTGCGCTCGTTGCCTGCAGCCGTGCCTTGGCTGTGCGTGCACCGAGCGGTACGGAAGCTAGATAGCTCGCGCTCAAGTCAGATATTGAACTGATCATCTTATATTGCAACAGACTATATTGCATCAGTGCTTAGTGAACAAGCAGGTCGACAACATGATTAACAATCTGCTGAATCACCAAAAACAGATGAACTAACAAGTTTACAGTTCGATGTTTGGTTTCCCTACACAACCTTTTCTAACTTCGAGACTGGAAACGTCTTTTATAATGACTACAAAAGTTTCATATAATCAGGTAGATAATGTAAAAAAGTGATATTGTCCCTCCCTGTATTATTTAAAGAAATTAAGCGCTCGGGAAATATTTTGATAGACCAGCTTGGGCTGACTAGAAAATTTCTTTAACTAAAGTACTCATTAACAGCCTTTCAAAATATTGCCCTTATGAAATAAACTATTTGTTATATGAACATTTCCTTACGACGTTCTCAAGGTATGAGAATGGTGAGATAAGTGAATGCCAGACTTCAAATAAAGTCTGATATTCATCTTCCATAAAATTTGCCGAATGAATTGAAGAGCGCAGAAGAAATGATCTCCGATAAGTTTGGCTGAAGTCGAACGCCAGGCGCCGCCCAATGGGCCTGTGTAGAAAGCTGTTCACTGATTTGAAACGATGCGCTTTGCACATTTTGACGTCGCCAGCTACTGAAAGTAACTCCCTATTTGCCGTCGACAACCGGCTGCACTCAGGTGATTTTCATGCAGAAGGATTCTTTTCAGCGTCACATTTTGTGAATCATAGGCACTATCAAGTTGTCTGTGACAGTTTCTTACGCGGGGAGTCCAAATATTTGTGTTGAAATAAATTAATTCAAACTGCATGGTTATATTGAAAGATGACTTAAGCAACTGAAAGACTATGGACATGGGACTAAGCACGATACACCATTCCGTGGAATTCATAAATATACCGATAAAGCGAATGCTTATATCACACACACGATTAAGAACGTAAAACAGATATAGGTGTGATATTGCGAACAAACAAGTTGCCTGATGTTAAGGTACCATTATTTATAGCATAAAAAAAATATTCAACTAAACGTTTGTTCCCGCGTCTTGTCCACAAGTTCCCTAGTGTAATCAAAAGAAACTGTTTTCGATCTGTTGTAACTACAAAACACCATGCTTTCAGGAAAAACACATGGCTAATTACGCTGAGTGTTTTTGTGTCCTCCCTTGACACCAATGCGCACTCATATATATAATAACATTGGGCTTCCTATTGCAAATGTTCCGCCCTTATTAGTAACCAAACCTCAGTTCTCGTAAGTTATTGGTATTTGAACCCTCAAGGCTCTCTTCAAGTCATATATGTAGTCAATCTACGCAAGTGCTATCGCTGATTCCTGTTCCTCTAAAGCCTTTTCACACGTATCCCGCACGCCGATGGTAAAAAAATATTCAAAACGTGTTACAAAATTAAATACAGAAGTTGCGCGCACAATGATGTAATGCAATTGCACGGTAAGTTTAAGTATCGAACGACACTTTACGGAGTAAGGCAAGAGACGCGGTGAAGCGCGACGAAAAACACGAATTCAACGCATCCGCCAAGGCGCGGACGGGAGAGCGGAGCAACAAGTTGAAGCAACCTAATGGCGGCCGCATCACGTGATTCCAAGATGGCAGCGCCCATGCGGCGGAGGGTGAAAAGGTCTATAAAATGCAACCCCGACCTGGTTTTTTTTACAAACAATTGTTTTAACATTAGAGTTTCCAGGTTATAAACACATGCATAGGAAATACAAGAGACTGCAGCAGTCCTCACATTACCGATTGGACTATACTACTATTAGATACCTCAAAGTTTTCAGACCATAGCATGTACCTATAGTCTTGATTTTATATAAAAATATGACAGCACAAACAAAAAGTTTGTGCTGTCATATCACCTTGTTTCAATGTTTTGCCATATAAATAAATGATATGCAAAAAGTTGCATATCATTTATTTGCACCATGGCAATTAACTTGTGCTCTTTTTGAAACCCTGCATCTGTGGTAAAAACATTATGGTTGGTGCGAGATACTTTTATCATGGCAAAACATTGAAAGCGAAATGACAGACAGTTTTCAGGTGAAATTGGCTGATGGCTCTCTTGTCATACACCAATGTTACCCACTTTAAAACTACTAGTAGTATAATACTTCATGCAGAAACATGAAGTGATACACGGAGTGATAGCGGGTAAGAAAAGAATAGATAACTCCTTTTAAACTCACCATCTTCCTCAAGCTTGAACAGGGGGAAGTCAACAACCCACAAGAACTTGAATGTTCCTGGCTCAAGGAGATGAATTCCCGCTTCGGAGAGGATTTTCAATGCCTCCAGTCGAAGCTTCCCCAAGAGCAAGCACTGCAGAAAAACAAAAGTTGACTGTATACTATCAGTGCATTACTACGCACTACATCAGGCAGGTGTCTGAGGAAAGAAAAACTGAATTTCAACAAGCCTTAGAAATTGCTAGTGTATCAGAAGCTTTTTATCATTTCGATGCAATTTGCAAAGCACATTCTAGAGAGAGCCACAGACAGTCTCAGTTCAAGTCATAATTTCCATTGGATCAGTGCTCCACGTAATATAACAGCTTTGAGAGTGCATCAGCTATAACATGCATGATGAACACCTTTGAATATTTAATGCACTGGTATCATAAAGCAAGCATGCATAAACTGGGGGCAGGTCCAACGAAAGAGGCCATAGCTGCATCTCATCCATCAGCCACTACAGCGAAGTAAGAGATAGCAAATGCATAATATTAGTATATCATACATGACCATGTAAATGCAAATATTCAAAATTTTTTTAGATTTGTGGATTAAATTGTAGTACTACTACAGAGTGAAGAAGATGCTACTTCTGTGCACTGTAGCATCGCGCAATGTGAGAAGAAAACTTGCAGCCAAGCTAGTGCTACATGATCAAGTTTAAAACGAGGGCAAAGCTGAAACATGTTGTTTATGAGCTCCCTGTTGCCTCGTCATGGGGACATACCAAGCATGAGGATCACCATGTCTCGGGACAATATTTTGAGCCGTGTTTCATAAACGAAATCATGTTTTTGTTCCTTAGCTCTCTTAGTAGTGTTTGATTCAAACTGGCTCTGTCTGATTCAATTATGTTTTTGATGGCACTCAAGTGTGCATTTGTTCAAAATCCACATTTTCTCAGACAAGCGAGTGATTCCTATAAATTACCAGTTTTCCGATCCTTAATCTTGAGATACAGTAACTCGCTTTCACATACGATACACACGTTAATTCTTATAAAAAAAAATAGTAATCTTTGTTTTTATGAATATGTTCTTGAGGTGTATATAAACAGGCAAATTGTATCAATGAAAGCAGCACTTCCTATCAAATTGAAAAATGCACCAAGAAAAACATTGTTATTAAAAATTTATTTGTACAGTAGCTATCCAATGGGGAGATTATGTTCCAGTACATAAGCTATTATATTACCTACAACTGCACCTAAATAAGGAGTTAATCAATGTTCAAGTAACAAGAAAGTTTGTGTGGCTCACCACTTTCTCTGTGTTGCCAGCACACATCAGTATCAAGTCTCCCGGTTTTGCATGAAGTCGTTGTAACAGTTTCCCGGTTAGCTCAGGGGTCAGGTGCTTCTTGATCGATGACTTAACAGTACTGTCTTCACATACCTGAATGTCCACAATGCCCTATAAAAACGGCATCATGAGAGAGGATCATCTCCATGTAATACAACAATCCCCTAGTTCCAAGGTTCTCGTACTTTCGAAATCGGGAAATCTCTCTTGACTAAAGGCCGAGGAATGCCTCCCAGTCGTGGCATCGATGCAGTAAAGCAACGCACAAGTCTACACACCTTGCAAACAGTAATGCACATACTAAGAAATGTTTGGCTCATGGGTATGCGTCGACGGGTGGCTGACATCCGCCAAAAATGGCACTTTACTCGAGGTCGTGTACGGTCGAGGAAATTTGGGAGCTTGGGAAAATTGCGAGGGTATTCTAAGGGACCCAGTTTGAGAGCCCGTGCCAATTAGTCTATTTTGTTACTTGGACAGAAACTCTATGAAATAGGAATTATTGCAAGGAGAAAAATACTATGTTACTGGATAATAGCCACAATTTCAGCTGTAATGAATGGTGAAACTTCTAATGCTAAAATATTGTGCCAGTCTAAGGAAATAACAGCATTTAAAGAAACACCTTAAATTGCATTTCTGAAGCACTAAAGGCACCTCAAATAGATGAAGATTTCAAAAATAATATATAGAAAATTTATTAAAAATATTAATGCACCTCTTCCTCATCTCATTAACGCTGCAAGTGTGCACCGTAGTAGCACACTTAGTTCTGTGAATGTCCTAAGGATGTCCTAATGTTCTGGGAATGTCCTGCGGACGTTCATAGGACACCCCCAGGAAGTTAGAGCATCCCAGAGACATCCACGGATCTTCTGTAAAATACCAGTCAAGTGCCCACTCAAAATTGAGAGATAATCGTGGCAAAATAAGGGATGGGCGCTTGTCCGGTCATCAGTTTTACATATAAACGTACTGTGCATATTTTCTCAGATTTCAAAATTTGGAAATGGGCGCTTAGTGTGGAATGGGCAGGTGCACGGTATTCTATGGTAAGTGTGCTAGTACTAGGGCATATCCACCTAATTGCATGACATGACAACCAAAGGCATTTTTGAGCTGAAGGCTGGTGCTCAGCTAAAATGTTACAGTGCCTTGGAGGAGGCTACACGCTAGATAGTTTGTGAAGGCAATTTTTAAAGCCTTTCAAATTATGCACATCATCCATATAATTTATTCATGTACATTATATATCATCCATATAATTGATTGCTATCTAAAAAGGATTGGAGTGGCTCGAAATAAGATTTTGAACTAAAAAAGAAATAATAAAACATTTCAACAGGAGTGGTAATATGGAAAGAAAATCCTGCAGAAATTCTTGGAAACAGCGTGTCTTTCTTCAGCATAATGATATTTCGAGACAAGACAGCGAACATTTTGTCGGCACTTCAAGGTAAAGCACATGCAGAAGAAAACACACCTGGAGGTCGAAATGGTGCTTTGCAATGTCCTTGAAGGCTTCCGCATGAACCCGTTTCCACACACGCTGAAGGATGCAAGTCAACAGAATGCCTTATTCATACGATATTAGAATCGTGAAATACTAGTAGTGTCAATTGTTCAACAGAAGGTATGCATCAAAGAATTTCCCCCAAAAGACAGCCCCAGTATCAGTGATGAAATGGTAGGGTTTGAGGCTGCAACATTGACATGTGGCACTGTAGTCGTACGAATGTAGGGAGGGGGGCCGAGGACTCGTCAAGCTGCATGTCGCAGCTTTGTTCCTCGGTCTCCTTCTGTCATACCTTTTAACAGAAAATAAACAGCATTATTGTTTTGAGCCAACCGTCACAGCTTTGAACTACCTGGGGACAAACTAAAAAAGTAAACAATGTCTGTTGCAGTGGCACCATGGCCTAGCTCTCCACAAAATCTCGAACACCCAGCAACTAGTCTTGTGCGAATAGCAAATTTTGAGTTCGAAACAAATTCGTTGGCCAAATATTTTTGATTTGAATGTCAAATAGTTTTTCCACGCCTTTCACTACCATTGCGTAATGCTTAGACGAAAACCCAGCTAAACTTATGACGGTTGTTCCACTTGTTCATTTATAAGCTAGGTTTATCTTTATTTTTGAATTGTGTCTTCATAATGTCTGATGTCTTGGGATGGCAAGTAAATGACGGATTTGACATAAAATTAATCCTATAGAGATGGCCAACTATACCCAATTGAGTGAATTTAAAAACCTTGCTATATAAAATATTCCTTCTTTAATCTCGAGTTAAAAAGAAATAATTGTGCATGTTGAATGCAGGTTGTAAGGGCATCACTGCCTAACATAGCACACTCTTGCATAACAGTCCGTTTAATTTTGGAACTTTTACTGCAATATAGATATACAAATTCACATAGTTTCCATTTATTCCCAAATACAGCCGGCATGAGCGAACTTCCCGCTTTGAATGTATGCTTTTCTTCCAAGCACGCAATTGCGATATTCATACTTTTCCAAACGTTTATCGCAGCGGGTTGCCCCGTTCAGTGCGATTCTTACTGAGCACTGATGTAATGCAGAGAAGCAACACCCACGGAGCTCACTTTCGCGGGTATTGCTTCTCCGCTGTTCACCGGTGCTTGGAAAGAAGCGCACTCAACGGGGCTAACCCACCGCAATCAACACTTCAAAAAACGCAAATAGTGCAGTCCTTTTCAAAGCGAATATCGAGTAGTCTATTATTCAAAACTACTATTCAAAATTTCGACTATTCGCACAACCCTACCAGCAACGATATGTAATAATATGAAAGACCCATTTGATGAGGCAGTTTTAGGGGGCTGTGCTGGTTTCACTTTGGCCAGGACCATCTCGCTTGGGTTGAGGAAATAAATCAACCTTCATTCTATTTTCTCTCTCGAAACTAAAGAGTAACCGCATATACTCGGCTTGCAGAGCAGAGTATCGCATCGGTCTCGAACTTTCTACTCCAAGTATTGCAAGAGAAGCGAACCTTTCTCCTGCAGGAGATGCCACGACATAACCGTGCATGTGCTGACAGCGCTGCACCGTTGTGAATTATTTTGTTGTCTGCTTGTACACAGCCGCTTTGAAACATCACTTACATTATTAAAGGGACTCAATGACACATGTCTAAGTGGAACACACAATGTCCGAAGGTTCGTGAAGCATACTGCTCGTCGGACTTCACTGTAATATCTACATTTTGTGAATGCAAAGCAAAACGTATGTCTCCCCCAAACCCGGCGCTCTGCAAGGCCGCTTCCCCACAAGCGCCATAGTCAAATTTGGTGCATGTGACACCTTTTCTGCCAGCGACAAACTGGCGGCAAAAGGAAAAGGAAAGCGATAACAATAATCTTGCCATGCCACTTAGTTGCTCTAGCCATCACAGCAGGATTGAGATTGCCTGGCGAGTGCCATATTCGTAGCACAGGGGAGGTCGGCAGGCAGCAGCCGTTCCCAAAGATTGCCTTTAAAGCGCCGCTTCTCTGCCTCGGGCTTTTGCCGAACATGCATGACTGTGCACATAGGGTCTCTTCTTGCTTACTTGCTGAGAGCAGTGATATCTTCTTTTTTCCTCACTCCTTAACCACTGTTAGATATCTGCAAGATGCTGAACTGGCAAGGATTACAAATAACAGCACCAATGTAGCAAAGAAACAAAATTTGTTGGAAAAGGTAACTGTCTGCTGAAGCACCCGCAAGATCAAAAGGTGGGAACGGCCCGACCACCCTCGATCTCGGTGCATTTGCGACAACGCAGCACTGTGTGTGGCTATTTCACCATTTTGGCCGTCGAACACTCGCGCCAGTTTTTCTTAGCGAGAGTGTACGTGGAGCATCACTAATGCTTGGGTACTTACAGCACCACCAGGCACAACAATTGTCTGCACTGAAGAGCCCTCAGCAGATGTTGCCTTGGAGATGAAGTTGAGGTCACAATCCTTCATGACTTGCGTGACGTCGACAAGCTGGCGAAACAGAGCAAAACATCAGCGGCCTTTCATCCTTTTACCTAATGTCGAATTCTATGCTTGGTGCATACAGTCTGTGCGTTTTCTCACAAAAACAAGGTATAGAGTAGTTGATTTTGTGACTTAATAAGCACTTAACCACGACAAAGTATGAATTCTACTTTGCTATGTTTGCACTTTATATTACTTCTTAAGCCGCAAAACAGATTAGCAGCCTCTCTAATGAACCAAACCTTTTAAAATTTGATCTACCTCACTAATGGTAGCATAAAAATAGTAATTGCTTAGCAGAAAATTAATACCTGCGAAAAAAGTGCAGACACAGTGCCTTCCAATTCTGAAGCTAAGGGTACAATGTCAAGAAGATACACTGCTTCTATTAATGTTGCTAGGTCTCCAGTAACTTCTGTGATTGCTGCTCGATGGAATCTTTTTATTAATCAAAAATGAAAACAGTTTACCCCATTAAGTCTGAAATTTCAATTTGAAAATTGGTTTATGTTGTCTAGCTGCAGTTTGGTATTAATTTGCAAATGCTTTTTCTAGCTATTTTTTTACTGAAAAGCAAACAAGGTAACTGTGAGCCATACACTCAAGAAAGCAAATGAAGTCTTACATTAAAGGGATCATGAAACAATATTGGGTTGGAATGTTCATGACTTCGCAGAGGCGTACTGGTTTTAGTCTAGCCAAAGTATGCTCGCACAGACCACCACTGATTCAGAAGCTCCTTTGTTGCGGTTAAATTGCGAGGATAAAAGGGCACTAGTATTTCTTTCAGTCTTGCCTTCGCAAAGTTTGGTGCATAATTGTGGGATTAAAACCACCCGCCTGACGACAATTGAGTGCGGCTCATGGATTGGACACGAGAACTGCTTGAGCATTCGACTTTGGCTTGTAACAATCAATGCCTCGGCGGACACTCGAGTAGTGGCTCACGTCCAACCACTGCGGTGATGAGGATAGCCAAACTCTAACAATGCCTGAAGCTCAGCACGCGTTTTCTACTTTGCCAACCCAAGCGCTTGGCTATGATTAACGTTGGCGGCATAGAATAGGCACCAGGCAACGTGGCAGCTTGTTCTGGCTCCGAGTTGAGATGAATGATGCTCATATGTCTCTAATTTTTTTGGCGACAGCCATTGCCTAGAAAGAAAAACTAAAGCAAGCTTATTCAGTTATTAACGTTAGGGAGTGAAAGTGGTATTTAGCCAAAGTAGAAAAATTGTTTCATGGCTACCTTAAAGGCAAAAACCATGACTAACAAGGCAGCATTTAAAACACTAGCTTACAAAACTGCAGAGTGTTTCCTTTAGCAATGACTACATACAATTGGAAGAAACTGAGGAATGCATAAAACCTCAACTATCTCATACCTATACACTAAATATAGCATAAACGAAGTCTCATTAATCAGAACAAACTAGAGACACCTGGACGAACCTGCATTCCAAACCTCAAATCGGGCTTGTCAGTACCGTACTGCCGGATGGCATCTCTGTACGTCATGATGGGAAATGGCTCGGTGATCGGAGTCATATCCTCCGGCCAACTCTTGACCAACAGCTCCTCCGTAACTTCCATTATGTCATTTGCCGTTGCGAAAGACATCTCAATGTCCACCTGGAAGAAAGAAAAGTACTTAATTTAAGAGAATAATACACTAGACGAAGCACAATTCAGAAAAATTTAGACTAATAACAGATTGAAGGGGTGAGAAAATTTTCCTGAGTTGCCAAATGTCTAAAGAAAAATGTACAGTCATGACTCGTTAATAATGACTCCCCTAATATGGCCACCCCGCGTTATGGGCCATATTTTCGGTGACTGATCTTTCGCAGTGCAGTTTTTCCCCATTAACACTCAAACCCACAGGCCGGACCATGGACAGCTAAAAAAAAAAAGGTCCGAAAACTTTCCTGAGATATTAGTGAACCTGAGATGTTACAGTGTGTACCTGGACGTTCGTTGCGGGTTCTTCGATAAGAGCTGTGCACAAAAAGATATTTTTGTTTTGTCTTTTACGTAAAACGGGTCAGAACCGCTTGCAGCCTATTGTTGCTGAAGATTGCGTATTAACCGGAAACAAAGAAGAATGAACCCTGACGCAACTAGGTCACCAAACTGTAGATCTCGTCATTGTTTGGGGAATGGGAAAGAAGCTCTGGACCCACGAAGCTAATTTCTCCTATACTTTGTTTCACCGTAATTTGGCAAAAGGCAAAGGCTATGGTCCAAGTGAGCCAATCAGCATGTCGGAGGGAGACACATGACTCACTAGATGTGCGCAGCGCTGTTGAAAACACGGGCGGGAGAGAGAAAAGAATGCTGCTTTTGTACAAGTTCTGAGTGCCAAGTTTCTGGGGGTACAAAGCCATGTTTGGACACACAAAAGAGGGTCCGGATAACTCAACTGCTTAAGTTACGCAAAAGTCACCTATGCTCTCGCCCCCATACTCTTGGTAAGCTTGGCTGTCACATGCTGATTCGTCATTATGGACGACTCCCACTACGGACGATTTTCCTCGGGAACGGAGGCACCCATATTAACGAGACAGAACTGTACTAAAAAAGAAACAAGGGCAGTAGGCGGTATCTATTCACTTAAAACAGAAATCCCCAGGCCCCCCCTCATAACTGACCATTACAAAAAAAAACTGCAGAGAGCTTTTTTAAAATTTTACTTCCACGACGCTAACTCAGGGGTATGCGAGTTTTTTGGTCCTCGGTCCAGGACCGAAAGACCCCTTGACACCTCGATCACAAGGATCTCATTCACTGATTTATACGATTGGGCCACTGTATAGGTCTTATGTTGAAATAGTTATGCCAGACTGAATGCCAATGACACAATTTTTTATTAACACCCATCCAGATTAATGCACCTGGCACCCATAAACGTCAATGTAGCTTGACAATCTGCTATAGTACCGGAGGTGGCTCTGGTCACTAACAGAATGAAAACGGCACAGTTTATCAAAGGTAGGGAGTGACTATAGAGAGGTGCCTCTCAAGAGAGACAAAGAAAACAATTCTCTTGCCAGGAAGTGGTCCTCTGGCAGGGGTGGGAATCATTTTTGATTTCAGAGACATACTACATGTATTATAATGCTGGTTAAAATAAAAACGTTTCATATGCTACCAGACCGTGCACCACACCATAGCTTGCAGATCTGTCCGAAGCACCACGTATACAAGCATTATGATTGTATGCGGTGCTTTGGTTTCCTTAATCTCATCGGCAACCGCTCGGAAATATTTATAATCTAACGCTTCCTGCAACCAGAGAAAGTGATGCAGACCTAGGTCACTGATTCATTCTAATCGTTTTTCAGTTAGCCGTGTAAAAGGAAGAGCTCAGCACCTGAACAGGCTACAGCAGAGGAATTTACGGAAAAACAAGGTAAATAACCAAATACAGTGCAGAGACCTACCTTACGCTGGCTTCTACGTGGCTAAACGAATGCACCTGGCTCCCTGAGGCTTTTAACAAATTACGAGATGAAGATAATGTTTTAATGTGATCTGTGTGGCCTACCTGGTGATTGTGTTTTAAAGCATGAAATGCTTTATAATGCTAGCCCCCAATCCCAAAATTTCGTCTATCCTTCAGTCCGTGCATTTTCCGCTAAATTTAGTGGTGAAAGTGGCATCACGTGACCTATACACCTTGGGGAAATTGATGGCACGTGACCTATACTGTCAACAACTCAGTTTACCCGCTAAATTTAGCGGTAATATTCACGCCTTGTGGCCAAAAAATCAATTCAGTTTCCCCGCTAAATTTAGTGGAAAATTGATGTCACATGACCTATACACCAATTAATTCTGTTACCCACTAAATTTAGTGGGAAAATTCACGCCTCGTGACTTAGACAACAAATCTAATTTCCCCGCTAAATTTAGCAGGAGAAATCGACATCATGTGACCTCACGCCACGTGACCTATAGAACCGTTCAGTTTTCCCGCTAAACTTTGCGGGAAAATATATGTCACGTGACACACCGATTCCCTCACCAATTCCATATAATGCATTTCATACATTATAGGACTTTAAAAATAAAAGTCACTGGCAATTTATTTATTTATTTTTCTTTCTCATAGTCAGTGGTTCGAAGTAGACCATAGCTTTACAACCAACCTATCGGTATATTGCCTCGAGAGTCTGCACCTCGAGAGTCGAACCTTGAAGCACAAAGAGCCAGATGTGGCTTGTGAGTCACACCCTGACCACCTCTGCACCGTACCGATGCCTCTTGAGCAGAGTTTTGTTGTTGGTGCGGAGAAGCCTACGGGCTAGGCATTTGCACCACTCACCGTAAACTCGCTGCCCAACACCCACCTGTGTGAACTCTGGCTGTCGGTCCGGGCGAGCCCCCTCGTCCCGGTAACAGCGGGCCATTTGGAAGTAGCGGTCTATCCCTCCCACCATCAGCAGCTGCTTGAACTGCACATCAAACGGACAGCATCATGCAAGGCATGAAGGCTCGGAGGTAGGAAGCTTCTGGAGGCGACATGACGCCACCAGAGGTGAAGCCAGAAGTGTGGAGGGACACGCCCCCAACAGTGACCAAAACCAAGAGACGCTATTGGACGAAGAGGACAGCCGACTTAACAGCTGCTTTGGTCACCCTCAAGGGCAGCCCCGAGGGTGACCAAAACAGCCGTTGGCGCCTAGTCAGCTCTCCTTTTCGTCCAACAGCATCTCTCCACACTTCTGGTTTCACCTCTGGTGGCGTCATGTCGCCTCCGGAACCTTCCTACCTCTATGCACAAAGGCAAGGGTTTCTTACTAACAACAGTAGGCCAACCTTCCGCACTGATTGCAAATTTCTCCATTCAGCATTGTGGAAAAGCCAAGTTTGGGAAAGCACCTTGGCAGCTCTAAAGGTAAGGGTGCCATTCGATAACGAATAGGGTTGCATCAATCTAAGAATTCTCAGTGCAGGGGTGAGCCACATTGTTTTGGGCCTCCTTTGTATTTATACACACTAATCTAAAAACAAAAAGCTTTTTTTTTTTTTTTAAGTTGAGTGTTTGTTTTTTTTGCTAGAGGTAGAGATGCTTTTGTGTGAAATGCGCCTAGTCCGATACGGTCGCCGAGTTTTTGAAGTATTGCTTAGCATGGTCCTCGAAATGATTGCAGCAAGTTAAAGGCTGACCTGCAAGCTTCCCTTTCTCTTCCTCCACTTGTTGGTGAAAGAAGCATGAAGCCCCTTTTGTAAAGACTTTGGAAGGCGAGACAATCCACAATAAGAAAGAAACAGTGTTAGCCGGAATTCAGTGGACTCTTTAAATTCAGCTTACTTGCCTGTGGCCATCAGAAAAGGTGGGAAGGAAAAAGTCGGGAGTAAAATCAACAGATTTAAGCCCTTAAGAGTTAACTCCCAATTAATACGTTCAGCACCTTTCATTTCACATTTTTCCTAAATGTCACGAGCAAATATTCCTGTCTTCACAGAACACCACTGAATAGTGTAACCAAGTTATAGCTTCTCAGGGTAAGGAAGGGGCATCCTGACGGCAGGAGTTCCAGCGAGCACATTTTGCATGTGAGTGGCACTCAATAGATAGCCTATCTACATACTACTGAGTATGAAACACAGTTCTAGAGAAAAAAAAGTGCCATTTTAAGTTTCAATACAATCACCCTTGAACTCATTATGCCTGCCTCATTCTGATTTAAAGAGGTGGACTCCTTAAAGAAAGCAAAATCCTGCTGAGCCCTTGTTTGATTGGAAATATAAAATTTTCATCACCTGATTGTTAGATAACCCCCCTGTCACCAGTATTAATTTTTCAGCAAAGAAGAACAGTGAGCGTTCAAACGTTCAAAAACTTGGAAGAGTAAATATTTTCAGGTGACAAAGAACTGAAAATTACTGTTCCCAAGTGGTTCAAAAGAGTAGGAAGCTGAATGTACCCAGGGGGTACAATCAAAATGAAATATAGATGTCTTGAGCATGCAGGTGACTATCAAATTGTGGATTTAGGTGCATTTAAAACAAAGAAGCAATGAGAGGCTGCCCACGAATGGGAAGGCGTCAAAGGAAAGGAGGGGTTAAGATTTCCTACGTCTTTTGAATGGATAGTCCTCCTCACAAATATAGAGGGCTTAAAATTGACAAGACAAAGCCCGGCAGCACTTTTATTTGAGCACTTTTCGGCTCTCTGGAATTTTTCTTTTTAACTTAAATTTATTTGATCTGTATGACACCCCAAACAGAGCTGCAAGGACAAGGCTCGAAAATACCATATGCTCTTTTAGCATTGGCTAAAGAAAAATTAACTCAAGTTGCATGACCTTACAAATGCTAATAGAATTTGATTTGATTTTGTAAGTTTTAGTGGTGCAAGGGTCAGATTTTACAAAAGAGTGCATAATGCTACAATAGAAGAAAACAATGAACTATCATAATTTGGATAGCTGAAGGCCCGTACAGGCATTATAGGTAGTTATGAATGGCACTTAGACCAAACAATAGCATTTCAGTCTAACATTCATAAGCATGAAGCTGTTATTAGGGTCAACAGCAGCTGCCAAATGACGAGTCAGCTCTCAGTTCTAGTTGGTTTTGTTTTATGTGATGCGCATGGCTAAGCACCAAAAAATAATCCCTCATTGACAGTTGGAAGTGCCAGTATCAGTACAAGCATTACTTGGAAGCTCTAATGGTCAGTACATCTGCTCTACGAAGTCTACTGGATCTCCAGACTTGTCTTTAGTTTAACCATTCAGAAATGTTAAAAGCAGCTATGACACCTGAAATAATGTACATGTCAAGCTAAGTGCACTGCAGCTTTCTTATAGAATCAAGGGAAAATTTCAAATTCATACGTATAAAGTTCTTGTGACAATTTACAAAAGAGAATGCACCTACATATATAATTAAATGACAATATTATACCTGCTGAGGACTTTGCACAAGAGAGTAGAACTGGCCAGGAAATCTGGTTGGCACCACATACTCCTGTGCTCCCTGAAAAAAGCAATACAGATCGAAGTATAAAGGAGACACTTGTATCAGAAAAAATATACAAAATTCGGGGTAAAATAATAAAGTAACGTCAGCATACAAGAGGCAATACAAAGCAGATTCTAGGCTTTTGGTCCGGAGCCTCCATCCCACCAGCAGCTGATGTCCACAGTATTGACATACCCAATGCAGCCTCGATAAATAGTCATTTACACCAATATTGCAACAAGCTATAAAAATATGCAACAAAATTGTTTTATTCGAGGTATTTCCAATTGTAATACTATATGCTAAAAAATAGTTTGACAAGAAAATCTAAACAAATTGGGTGGAAATGTTATGAATGCTAGACTTTTATATTTACCACATATAAAAAAAAACTCCTGCAATCTCAAGACACAGGCAGTGCATGAGCCCCATCATGCAGCTTCTCCAACACAGCATATAAGGAAAAGTGCTCCCCAGAACTGGAAAGTGCAGAGATATACACCAAAACTTCTCTGCAAGTGCTAAGGTTTCATTTTCATTCATAAAAGAGTGGCTCGTTATGCCAGCATATGTAGTTCGCTCATGAATAAGCCATAAGATTTAAAATCATCTACTGTATTGTAACTCACCCCAGGAGTTCTCTTGAACAGTGTTGGAGTTTCAATCTCCACAAAACCTAGCAAAAGCAATGTTTAAAGCTCATATAAGCACGCAAGAAATAAAGGGGTATGCAAATTCATGCCAACCAGCATCCTCAAATGTCACTGTTGTTGTTCCTCATTAACTGCACAATGAAACTATTTCTTCGCTAGTATTTTGAAAACTGGTCGGAACAGGTACGTTGATCTGCAGATTTACAAAAGTCTATGAATCATGCTGTGAAACATGAGTAAAAAAGCTGCTGTCCTCCTTGCTCTCATTTGTTGGCTAAAGATTAGTTTAGAAAAAGTTCAATTCATATAGAAAGTAAACAATAAAACAGAGAGAGCACGAAACACAGACAAATACAGGTACATAGATGACTATCTTCTAGTGCACCAAGAACAGACCCAACCTGAGACCATCCTGAAAGCTTTCACATCAAGCCCCGCCGGCCTTACTACATTCAAAAAAGAGGACCCAGCTGGGGGTGACCTCCAGTTCCTGGACCTACACATTAGTCTCCGAACCGAGAGGATGTGCTGGGCGTTCAAACAGAGATCAGAGAAACCAGTCCTCCCCTTCACCAGCGCCCACTCAAGAACAGTGAAGCTAGGCCTGGTCAGGTCCCTCCTGACGACTGCGCACGCCAGGTCCTGCCCTCATTTTGCCACACACAACGTTAGCCTCCAGCTAGATAGACTGAGGAAAGCGGGCTACCCAAAAGACCTTATGGGGAATAACCTAGATAGACTGAGGCTCACCACACCCTCCCACATACCTTCCTCTACATCTCGACCCTACCAGAAACAATTCGCAGTTATTACGTACACGCATAGCACTGCACATCACTTCAAGGCGCTCGCTTCATGTTTCGACGTAAGAGTCGTCTTCAAATGTAAGTTCAAACTCAAGCAGATGTGCCAGCAGGTTAAACTTCTTCCCCTCCAAATCCCTGCCCCAAGAAACATGAAAAGCAGTTTGCTCCCTGCCAGAGAGAGGGAATCCATTCCATCCTTTACTCTGGCGGAGGAGAATATATTGGGCAAATGGGCCGGTACCTAAATGACTGCCTGCGAGAGCACTACCGAGAGGTCACCGAACTTAGCGAGGATTCGGTGTACCCGATAGCAAATTGCCACACATGCAGAGGATGTGCACCTAGGTTCAGGAAAATGCGCGTTCTTGGGCACCATTCTCAGAGATTCGGGAGGGAAAGTAATCAAATAATTTGCAATCAAAAACTCTGGCGTTAATGCCTCATCTCCCTGACGAGCCCTCTCTGAATGAGAGATAGGCTCTCTGTGCATAGAGCTTTCCAGGATGACTAGACGACCTTGGTGAACAGCCCATTCCGAAATGGTCAACGCATTCTTCCACCCTCCCCACTTGTCCTTCCTTCTTCTGAGCTCCCCCCTCTGCCTCTGCTCCTTTCCTTCTTTCCCTACAAATGCGCAGGAGAACGGGCGATCATACTCCATGGAATGAACTTTGTTACGAGTGAAAGAATGTACTCGTCTGTGTTTCGTCCTCTCTATGTTTTATTCTTTCTGTTTTCTAGTATACTCTACCAACACATTTGTAAGGAATATTAGTTCATCCATTTGTCTATTACCATAAAACTTGTGATATCCAGAATGGTATTGGAACTTCTTTTGATGACTGACATCATTTTTTGTGAACAACTAAGGCATGAAAGCACTCTAAATGATGATAGGATTTTAGGAACTGACATTCTGCAGCCCTTCAATGATGGCTCATGTTTGACAGAAAGAGAACTCCACTAAAGCCTTGAGGCAAAGTCTTTGCACAACATTGACTATTGCTATCAGGTTCTTTTTAGGCTATAAAAACAAGAAATATTGATCTTACCACACGACTGAACCAAAAAGTTTCGCATGCGCATCTGAAGGTCTGACCTGAACCTCAGGTTCCTTTGCATTTCTGAGGATCGTAAATCCAAGTAGCGATACCGCATCCGAAGTGCCTCTTTTTTCTGTGAAAATAGAAAAGAATTTTTAAACTGCACATTCCAAGGTTCTGAATCTGTTAAGTACAAATAAACAAAGAACCGGCTATAAAAAAGCTAGGCCCTGGGAGCATAAAATACTTGAGCAAATATGAAAAACAGATTTTCTTGTCAATATGCAAATCTGACTCAATTGTTAACATCAGGAAATAGTTAAAGATTGCTTCTGGACTTGTGTCTTCACCCACAAAGGTTGGCCAGCAGTGTTCTTGAAATAAATAATGCTCACTCTTTCAATTGTGATTCAGCAGTAGCAGTACAACCTTACAAACATGCCCTTTGGTAACCTCCGTTATTTGTAGTCTTGTGCGAATAGTGGATTTTGAGTTCGAAGCGAATTCGAAGCGAATAGTGGTTTTGGCCGAATATTTTCTAATCGAATATCGAATAGTTTTTCCATGCCTTTCACTATCATAAAATAATGCTTAGACAAAACCCCCTGTTCCACCTGTTCATTTATAAGCCAAGTTTAATCTATCTATATTTATGAACTGTGACCTCAGAAGGTCTGATGTCTTGGGATGGTAAGTCAACAAGGTTAACATAAAATGAATCTAATGGAAATTGCCAACTATACCCAATTGAGTGATTTTACAAATCTTAAATATTCTCTCTTTAATTTCGAGTTAAAAAAGAATGACTCGCGCATGATGAACGCAGGTTTTAAGGGCATCTCTGCCGAACATATACTCTTGCAAAACAGTCAGTTTAATTTTAAAACTTTTACTACAATGTAGATAATACACATTCACAAAGTTGCCATTTATTTTCATATACAGGCGGCACGCGTGCACCATCCTGCTTTGAATGTATGGTTTTCATCCAAGCACGCAACTGCGATATTCATACTTTTCCAAATGTTTATCGCAGCGGGTTACTCCGTTGAGTGCGCTTCTTACCGATCACCAATGTAATGCGGAGAAGCAACACCCGCAAAGCTTGCTTCCGCGGGTATTGCTTCTCCGCAGTGTACCGGTGCTCGGTAAGAAGCGCACTCAACGGGGCTAACCCACCGCAATCAACACTTCGAAAAACGCGAATAGTGAAGTTCTTTTCGAAGCGAATATTGAATAGTGTATTATTCGGAACTACTATTCGAAATTTCGAATATTCGCACAACCCTAGTTATTTGTGTAGACAAAGCAAGTGCAAAAACACTGGTGATGCTATTTGTGATGATTGGTATTGATAAACAAGTAACAGGAACAAATTACAGGCTGTGGGGAAACAATGCCATCAATGAAACATGCCACATTTACAACTTCCAATTGTGCAACACTATAAAGATTCTGTAAATTGAAATTTCTACATGAAAACAAGTGCAATCACATGCGAGTTCGTTGGAAATAACAAAAGAATACAAAACTTGTTACAATTTTATACTGAAGTGCTTAGTCCAATAACATTCATTCGAGGGCAGCAATTCTCAAACTGTGGTTTGTGGGTCACTAGGGCTCCGCACCGATTCGGCGATCACTCTTTCAGGGACAGGTAAGGCACTGAAGAGGGTTGAAATTGTCAGACTGAACATCATTGCAGCCATAGTAGAGTTCTCACGAGTGACAGTGCACTCTTGCTAGTTTCTAGTTGTGAGTGCATTTTTAATACAGCCTTTCTTGGAGAAAGCCCTCAGATATGTGTTGCCATTCATGCTTTCCACTGTGAGACCACTTTGCCCGAGTTTATGCGCAGGACGTCAATGACAATAAACATGATTTATATTCAGCGAGATCGACGACTTAAACTTTTTCTGATTTATGACAACATAAGTTCCTCTATGTATGCCACTCATTGTTGTAATATAAAATGTATTCAATGGGGGTCCATGGCAAATGACCCCTAAGATAAATGTGGACTCTGCAGCAAGGCAAAAGTTTGGCAAGCACTGTTCTAAGGGGACTTCGACAACCTTCCTATACTCACCTTCTGATACTCTCGAACATGGAAAGGTAGGTCCACTTTTGCATTGTTCAAAGCTTTTAACTCCTTGCAGAGAACTTCAATTTTCCCAGTTGGAAGATTCTGAAAGGTATCAAAACCAGCATCCCGATTCAAGAGAACAGATTTTTATCTGTGAAGCACTGCAGACAAAGGAACACTACAAAAGGCATAAAACACACAAGGAACTGTGAAGCACATTTGAGAGATAGCAATACACACTGAGACCTCCGAGTGTTTCTCTCTATTTTGTGTTTTCTTATTCTGGGGTTTTTCTCAGGCTCACCAGCTCACCAATGCCTTTGCTGCTGTCTTTAGAGTACATTGATATTGAGTCACATAATGGGATGAGATCAACAATAGTCCAGGCTTGACTCCTGGTTGTATGATAGCTCACAACTCACAAAACTATCTGTATCATTTTAAATAAACCAATCCTCCGATCTGATCGACCGAAACAGTGGCATTGCAAGTTTTTGTGAGATAAAGGGGTGACAAGGGGAGGGGGGTGGCAGGCGGTTAATGTGAGGGTGCCAGCATTACAGAAAGGGTCTGGAGGAAGGGAAGGAAGGGGGGGGAGGGGGCAGGCAATGACAACTTGCCCCACCAGCTTCAATGCCACTGGTCCATGAAAATTCTTTGGACCATTTCTATTTACCTCATTCCACTGTCCTTGTGGTCTTTCTACAACCTCTCCAGTTATCTGAACTACAGACTCCAATGGCAATGACTCCAGAAGAGTTGACGCTGCTTTTTCCTAGAGACACAAAGACAAATTTTCAGGAAACATAAATGACAATACAGGCAAACAGTTAATGCCTCACATTCCAGTTTCTACCGCATTATTCGCAACTCCAGCGCACCGCTCGCCCTCCCGCGGACGAGCGGGAAACTAGAGGAACGGGGACGACAGCGGCGGCGGCGGCGCGGAAAAGGTGGCAGGGGCTGTCGGCCTTGATGCGTGAAACCGTTGTAACGAAAAGAGTGAGCGCGTTAAAATAGGAATACGTGTGTTCCACCTTGCAACAGCCTTGCACGAAGGGGCCGGGATGTTTCATTTCATTTGGGGACTTTTCGTATATCGCATACGCTGCGGATTTCTGGTCTTGTGAGTGGCCGCCAATTCGATCTGTGCTCAACATGACGGCAAACGCTCCCGCTAATAATGTAGAGCTCTAGCGTTCGCTCTATGAAAAGTCTATTCTTTGCCCTAAGTAGGAGAAAACTGGTCGCGCAACGATATGTCGAGCAATACACGTCGGGAATGGGTTTGCGATTTTAAGGCCGTAGGAACATGACCATTTACTCCAAGCACTTTTAAAAGATAGAATATGCGTACTTGCTTTTAGGCAATTATAAAATAAATAAATAAATTACCGAAGCATTTTAAGCACGTTTGTTTTAACCAGCCGTTTGTGACGAGGGCTTTGAACGGGCAGTTTTGGCGAGAGGGGCCACTACGTTGCAAATAAGACGGTACAAAAAAAAAAAAAGATGTACGGTATATTATAATATTTATTTTTGATAGAGCAATAAATAAAACCACTAAACACACCGATTGTGTTAATAGGCCGTTTTAGCATAGCGTTACCGCAGGCTACCGTTGGCTACTGTGAGCGCGACAAGGCTCCTGGCACGCGCTGAGAATTCTGCTCCAAAGGCGCAGCGCGAGCCTCTGGTTGTAATGCTACACCGCACGGTAGCCTGCGGTAACAAACTTTCTATCAAAAGCCATAGAGCAGTTTGATGACGTGTTGCAATACACTAAAACCGAGACGGTGGGCAGCGAGTTGCGAGCCTGTGACACGAAGGCGTAAATACTGTGAACGCTGCTCTTCTGAAGCTTGACGGTCACCATGCGCTGCCCACATTTTAGAGCATTAATGGCCAGGCAAAGCGCAAACACGATATTTTCATCACCCTCAAAAATAGTCTGCCACAAACAGTGACGTGCCCGGTGCGTAAAACGCGCTCGCCCACCACAAAGCTTCGCAAGTCGAGGTTTCTGCAACTTTTAAATATCAGCATGCTCGTTTTGCTAACGCCCATCAACATCTCCGTCACCTGTAATATGGTTCTGCCCTAGCCACTTCGCGCTTGCAGACAAATAAATCATTTTTAGCACACTGACCAGCGTCAATGAACAGGCGCACGCGAAACCCTGGAGAATCTATCCCCGTCTCTTCCGCCATCTTGGAACTACCACCCCGCCACCTATAGGGCGTTGGAGTTGCGAATATATTTTGCTTCTATGGGGATTATTGGCAAAGAGATTGAAATATAAGAGGGCACTTTCTCCAGTTCGTTTTCCCCAGAGCTCGGTGTTTATCCAACACAAGGCCCGTGGACTGGATTCTTCACGTCATCTTCCTCGATTCAGTGCGGGGCACAGATTGGGCACGAGTGCCACGTCAGCGTTTGGCAAAGACTCGTATTTAATAGGTGCTTCACCGGTTCAACACGAGTCCCGGCCAAACGTTGATGCAGCGTTCGGCTACATAATCTGCGTGCAGCATCCGAAATGCAAACAAATAATTCGCGCTGCTGTTGCCCCCCTCAGTTTAGTTCCGAACTTAGCCTCTGGGGACACGACGGTTCGCTCTACTCCCCAATAGTGATCACGCTCGTCAAGTCACCGACCTACCGTAGAATACCGCGCATCCGCCCATTCTACATTAAGCGCCCACACCCAAATTTGTAAGATCGGAGGAAATATGTGCTGTACATTTATATGTAAAATTGATGACCGAACAAGCGCCCATCCCCTATTTTTTCGCGCTTATCTCTAAATTTTGAGTGGGTGCTTGCCCGGTATTTTACGGTATATGCAATATTCCATGGGATGCATGGAATGAACAGTGTTCTGCCAAGCTAACAATTAGTAGTTATACTGTGGTGCCTGGAGAGGGTCTCTCACTGGTGTGTTTGGCGTCCTATCCCGCCCACACATCAAAAGTGGTCCCGTAGTGGCAACAAATGATGTCGTAGAAGCCGGAGAGTAATGCTGTCGGATGCCGTCGCAGTCCTGGCGGTTGATCGTAGAAACGCCAGCACGAGCGAATGCAATTGTCGCGCCGTCTTAACTCCTAGCTGCCAAAGCTTTTGTGGACTGCTGAAGTGGACAGCAACCTGCAGTAAGACGTGTCTCACACATTCCTACTTATTTAATCGCTTATCTTGGAGGAGCATTATCCTGGAGGCTTGTCCTCTCATTACAATGACATGGACCTGTAAGCAGTGAGAGAGTGCAGGCGAGCTGGTAATCAATCGACATCTTGTAAACCCTGAGATGGGGAATGATAAAAAAAACATGGACCTGTTTCACTTAGTGAGGCAAAGGGGGCAGCACAAGCAAACTGCCAAGATAATACTTTATGTCTGGCTACGTGTTTATGTGAGTGAGAAAGTGTGAATCCGCGCGAGAGAAAAGGAAATCTTCTACTTAAACAGAAACCGGGACATTGAGTCAAACGGGCAAATCGTGAACTACAGCCTGCTCCCCTCTTTAAGCACATTCAAGGATGCACACTCGCCCAGATGCTTGGTACATGCACCGCGGGCCAATGACACTTGAGCCAAGAGTCCGTAAATGTTTGCACCCCTCACCTCATTAGAAAGTCAAAACTTGACGTCGTCGAAGGTGAAAAGACGTGTCATCAGGATAGAGCTCAACAAAAAATAAACAAGCGATGGGATATTAGCTCTCAAACAACCATATTTTTTACAAAGGGCAACAAAGAGCTTTCGAGTGCACTCAGACGATGAGATTCACTTAACTTTTCAAAAGATAATGCACCCATTCCCTACACTGACAAAGAGCTGATGTGCACTGCTGATGCGTGCACCATAAAGACCATCCTCTAACCTCTAAGCGTGCTTTATTACATAGTAGCAACGACACTCTTGAACCCACTAATCTAGACCCTCAGTCACCTCTCGATAGAATTTAGCTGACATTAGGGAGTTTTAGAATAGCGGACTTCAAGGTTAGGGGGCCTCTAAGAGATAGGGGCCCACCACAGCGCATGCACTTAACTTAAATTGCGTTTTGGGCTAGCGCTCACTCCAATTTGAGAAATGGCGTCGGCTAACATGGCGGCACCCTTCCCAGCTAGCGTGGCTATCTTCGGAACAAATCCGCAATGGTCGTCGCATCATCAGGAATAGCCACCTGCAATGAACAGTGCGGCAGGCTTTTGCCTCGTCTTAACTCGCCTAAATCACAAAGTGTAAGTGATAAGAGTCGTAATGGGGGAAGTTGGGCCAGTCTATAATCTCGCCACTGTAACGCCCCCTCCTGAGTGAGCCAATCAGTCTGCGGTGCGGAGCGAGAGGCGTGAGCACATGCGCAAGAACTCTCAGCTACTCACAGCTGAGCAGCGAGGGCCGCCATTTTCATTCATTCGCCTGGTGGAATGCATGGGATCGACATCCGAATTTCGGTTCTTTCCTTTCATTTGGCAGACTCTGGCAAGAAAATGGTATAGTGTTACTCCTTGGCGATTTAAAAAGCTAACGAATTAAGTTTCTCCACGTTTGAACGCAAACTTTGATTCAGGCGAAAAAGAAATAAGCTTATAGCAGACGACGCATAGCCTCAACAGTGCTCGGCGCTGACAGCGTTGAGTCATAATTGCGGTCGTCTTCTCTTTGCTCCCTTCTTTCCCTATCGCTCCTTTGGCGCTCCTTCCTTTCCTTCACTTTTCTTTTCTCCAGCATTTCGTCGCCACACCCACTGGCCAAACTCTCCCAATATACGGCTCTGTAAATGATGACCTCGCCCCGTTTTTTAGATTGTCTTCAGAGTCTGGCCTTTCCTAATCCTAAGGGGATGTGATAATCACTGACACGGCAACATCTCACAAGTCTCGTGGATTGTCTCAGTTTGATCGGCTAGGTGATCATGACCACACAGAAGCCGACCACACCTCTATTTCTACTGAAGTCGAAGGACGCAACTCATGTAATATGGAAGAAGTTTTATACCAAGCATTTACATTAGTCGCTACATGCTGCAGGCCTTCATTGCTTACATCTTCCTCGTTGTTTCAAGAGCTAACTTCATAACTCCTTTCGTACTAGGAAGGAAACTTCAGCAAGGCTTGTTTTTAAATAAAACGAGCCTAACATTTAATAACTTGCATCAATGCAAATATTTTACTTTTTTTAAATATATTTCGGTTCTGAATATTGAAATGTTAGTTGCATTGGTGCCGCAAGAGAAACATAAGCAAGCTGGGCTGTGTTGTAGAAACCCTATTTTATAAGACAATAGTGCGAGTACCGCTCCGCATTGGCCCCCCTAGTTTTTAGGGGTCCCCAAACAAAGGGGCATCCTATTCTAAAACTCCCTATTAATGCCATTAAACAAGGTTTTAGAAACACCTCAGGCGTACGCAGTGCTAACTTATGCGTATTGATTGCATTACATGTTGAAATTGTACACCGTAACACTCAGAAAAGCAGTCACTACTACCAAAGCTTTTTAAAACCCCAACGAGTCGATATTACAAGAGCGAATGACGTTTTAACGAAAAGCGGTCATTTGAGCAAATCAACGTTTTAACGAAAAGCGGTCATTTGAGCAAATCGACGTTTTAGCGAATGACGAATCACAAGGGCACGTGTTAACCCACCCGCCCCCCTCCGTTCACGACGCTTTCCGCCGACAGACCGCAGCGGCTTATTACAGAAACATTAACCCACCTGGCCCACCCACACGTACCGCTTTGCGGAGGCCGACCATTCGCTAAAGTGCCTTTCGATGAAAAGAAGAGGGCAAAACTTTGTTTGCTAAAACATCAATCCACCAACTGCATGTGAAGTCATTTGTGGCCATGCCAGTATTTTATGCGCCACAAGCATTTGGTTTGCCATGTTAGCTTTACATCGCAGAAGTTGTAGTTCAAGTAAACCAGTAAGTAGTCAGTACCCAGCAAAGGCGATGCTTGCGAGCTACGTCTTATAAAGAATGCTATATGCATAATATTGTGTACCTTGACCAGAAATGGCGATACGCACAACATGAAACTTGTTGGGTCTCGTATAAAATTAATTGTAAAAACGAGTATCTCCAGTTGTAGCATAGCTTAGTGGAAAGATGTCAGTTTTATACGGAGCGGTCCCAAGTTCGATCCAGAGAGAGGGCATATTTCCTTTTTTTTTGCCTAACATTTGGCGATATTTATGACTTTTCTTTTCATAATTGTCACAAAAAAAAAATGTTGTCGACGAAAGTTTGCTGAATTAAATAGTACAGTACTCCCTTTCCAAAGGTGCAATGAGGGACAGCGGAGCTTGGGTTGCCGACTGGACGCCGCGAAGCGGCGTGCACGGGGGGGGGGGGGGGGGGGGGGCGGCCAAGTGGGTTACTAGTTTTGTAATGAGCAGCCGCTAATTGTAACTGCGAAGCTGCGCGCGCGCAAGGGGACACGTTTTCCAGTGATACACGCGCCGTCCGAAAAGGGTGACCCAAATGGCATGACCTCTTCACGTCGTGCATATAGTCATATCCGGTTAAGGTGCACGACGTCGTGCGTATAGCCTTCACATGTATTATTGATATTATTAAAATACCTAACAAAAAGTCGGTAGGAAATACATCGTACGTCATCGGGAATGACCACTTGCGTAATTCCGTACGCATCCCTGACTATCAGGAACTTGTCCATCCTTTTGAAGAGGATCCACCCACACAGCGTCACTTGTTTTCCTCGATGCACGGGTCTCAGTTCTCCACAGGTGTGCGTTCTCCATGTGTACCGGTTCAGTACTGAACAGCTCGGCGAGCAGTACAGTCTTCTCGCCTCTGTTACGACCGACCTGACGGCTGTAGGATTCATCAAAAGTCCTCTCGATAAGCACAGTAAAGTATGCTTGAGACCGCCAAACCCTGACATACTAGCCGATTCCCTTGAAGGTCTGTGGAGATCACAGTATCACATGGCGATCGCACGTGCGGGAATATTAAGTAAGTCGGTCCTTGTTACACGAACAGTCAGAAGTTGAGAAGTGCACCATGAATTAACGCAGTAAACGTAGCAATCTCTTCTTCCTCCGTTCTTTGGTAGTGCGTTGTGATAAAGTTGAAATCAAACCATCAAACGACCTCGCAAAGGCGGGTCACGAGCACAGAAAAAACAACGCAGGGCGCGCTCATCTTGCTATGTCGATGCCGATGATAGATACGGAGTCGAACGAGGGGTAACAAGAGTTGGATCACAAAACGAAACTTTGTTCTCTCGATACGCTAACGTTTTTTAGAAAGTATTTTCACCACTATTTACGTGTATTACCATTCACTACCATTTATTCGAGCAGTAGATTTCAATTCTGTCGCCTTGTGAGTAGAATTTTTTATAAGACCCACTTAGGGTAATCAAGGAAATAAAGAGACACTGACCTACTGACACCCCAAAAAGTTAATTTTTCGTTCAAACACTGAATTATGCTGTCAAGACAATGAACGTTGCATAATGTTGTCTGCAGAGCAGCAGGGTAGCTTATTTGCTAAGAAGAACGGACGAAGTCAAACCGAAACTAGAAAAACAACCATAGAAGACTGCCGTTGGAGGGTATGGAAATCACGAGAAGTCACTTTGGTATTTCGGAGATCATCAAAACAAAGCACGTTTAATAAATTATATTATATTTAATTATAAATATGTGCCCTAGGTGGCCTCTAAGTTCGAAATATTTTGGGTACTGCATCGTCACCTGCGTTTTGGGAAACTCGCCGTCGAAACCTGGGCCGCTGGCGCCCACCGAGACCGAGCTAAATACGACAACAGCCCCACTCTTTATCATTTGTCTGTACTGTGGTCACCTTGAGCTTTTAGAAAGCATGTTTTTGCAGAAAACAAACAGAAAAGACTCTTTTTGTATGAAATGTATTGGTGTTTAATACAAAATGAAGGACGCGTGATGTTTTTAAAATCTTTAGTTTGCATTGCGGCACAATTAATATTGTTTTTATACAACCATGCCTCAGCGGTGCTTTCAGATAGCCCTTCCCAACCTAGGTGCATTTTAGCTTCGCTAGAAAGACGCGGCGCGTCCGCTGGGGAGACGGGATTGGCACCCCCGTAACCTATTCCGCTGAATCTGTTTCGGCCCAAAATGGCCGATTAAAGCCAAAATAGACGTCACGTGCAGTTCCTCAAGTGGCCGCCGCGGGAGAAATGGCGGCGTTGTGTTCGCCATTAGCTCGGTGCTCGAGGACAGATCGGGGACACTTTTTCAAGGCAGTCTCTGTGGCAGTTTCGCAACGGAGTGTTCTAGTAACGTTGGTCACTGCAAAATACCACTTCTCAGGTTGTCACTCGAATCTCAACCAGCAGTTTTCGTAAATAATAATAATAATAAATACATTTCAAGTCGCAAACATTATTCCTACGTAGATGGTGTCTAAGTTGAAATCTCGGCCAGCATATCTTGCTTGACGGTGAGATTTTTTACGTGAAACGTTGTTTGGCCAGGGGTTCGGCATTTTGTTAAGCCCAGATAAAAGTGAACCCTGGATAAAAGCTTGGCCACGAGGCTCTACACTGATTGGTTGACGGGTGGGAGGGGATGAGTGAGGTGCTCGACGCTGATTGGTTAATGGGGAGGTCATGTGACCAGAGGGGTAGGCGAGGAAAGGCTCGACCACCTGTGCGCACTGAAGGAGAGGAGTTACAGAGTCTGGAAGGCTCTGGAAGATCGCCAGTTGTATCAGCCTGATTAACGGTAGTATAATGTAGTATCGCTTCATCCTGAGAACAACTATCGAGTGTACATACGGTACGCGTAAAATTCTCTGATGAAGAGCACTGTGAACGTAGGAGTCTGGCGTCTGGAAACTTAGAGTATCGCTAAACGTTTGTAATGCCAGAACGTTTCATGTATGCAACACAACTGCCTAGCAATTTGCCATATTTGTTTTTCTGAAAAGTTTGTTTGGTTCTCGTTTTAACTTAAAGGGATACTACAACGAAATTTCGGCGCTCATTTTTTGGTCTATATGTGTTCAAAAGAGCAGTATCACGTGGAACATACCAATATCGTGTTAAAAAAAGTCTCGAAAAGGAATTTTAAAACGAATTAAACGATTAGCAAAGAGCACCTGGTGGATGTCGCTAACGCCTCGTTTGTAATGCTCGTCTAGGAACCTTGACAGCTAGTGACGGAGGTTGTCTCGTCTCCGGCCACGACGAGAGAAGGGGGGAAGGAGGAACTCCCCTCTTCCTGAGAATCCCTTTTGTGTGTCGCGGAACTCGTTATTGTCCCCCTAGAAGATTATAGAAGATTAACCCGTCACTCAAAATTCGTACAAAAGCAGCCGCTTCGGTGGCTGGAACGACTAGGCCATCCTCTCGACGTCAGCCTCGCCGTAGCTTTGCTCGTCTTGAGACGACCTACGTCACGATTGCGTTGGATGTCACGTGCTCTAAGCTGGGCCTTCTCCGAGCGCTTGCCCGAGTGGGCCGTTTATAACGAAAAATACAGCCACCAGGATCAAAATACAAACGTGCGAGTGTCATTTACGGATATTGTGGATCATATTCACCCTATTTTTGAACACGACGGAAATATTTCAAATTTCGTTGAAGTACCCCTTTAAATCTAAGCCATCGAGTACTCTGACAAGGTGCCAGGAATTTATTAATAGGCAATCAAATGACGACGACCTAGCTCGTCTTTTCGAATGTGTGAATTTATAAGTCCAAACCATATGTTACATCTGAATTTTAGTGGATGTTTTAGAACAGGGATCTCCAAACACCAACCTGCGGGCCCGGTCCGGACCGCGGCGGCGGCCCGTTTCTAGCAGGCCCGCTGCTACGGGCGCAAAAATAAGCGCGTTTGTAGAAACGACGTCGCGACGCTCGCCAAGCACTTCGTATTCCTGCTGATTCTTATCCCGCAGTTGTGTGCCACATTTATTGCACATTGTCACCATCTTCATTCTTCGTCTGCGTGTCTGCGTAACTGCGTTAAAAGTAATTTGCGCTCTCGTGTATAATGTGCATAGTGCCCTGTGTCACGTGTTGCATATTACCATCAGCAGTCCTACCATTCTCATAAGTATTCTGCTGTGCGAAAATGCTAACGTTGATATTCGCCTTCATTTATTCCTGAATAAATTTCTGGGCTACAATTATCGTGTAAAGTAATATTATATACTGTAAGCGACTTTATTTTCGCGAGGACCCAATTTTCGCGAATTTCGCAAATTGCCTACTATTCGTGAAAAATACATTGGAATCTATATTGACATTCCACAGCGTCGCGAAAATTAGAACCTGCGAATTATTTCAAAACTTCATCTTTGACCTAAATCGCGAAATATTGAGCCCGCAAAAAATAAGTCGTTTATAGTATATACGTAAAGTACATACTCGTACAGTACGCTATACATTTGTAATACTCGCAAGTCGTGTTACTAGCATGTTGGTTTGTTTTAATACACCTTGGATTCTTTTTCTTTTTTTTTATACTACACATTGTATTTCTCTATCTAGATGCCTATCTGAATATATTTATTTAGAAATGCTTTTCTAATTTATATTTACTTACTTATTTTGTGGCCCCCGAGGCCGCGACGAACACCTAATCCGGCCGATTAACTATAGTCTGGAGTTTTAGGCAACTAGGAAGGGTCTTCATACGAATAAAACACACAAATATAGAAAAATAAACTTTTTGAGAAAATGGATGTTGAAATTTGTACTTCTGAAGTTTCCTCTTATGTTCCCCAAATACGCTTTTCGCCAGGATAACTTTTTGACTATAAAGGCCCGTTCACACTCTTGCGACTGCTTGCGACCTCTTAAACCTGGGTTCCTTAAAACTTCTTAAACCAGAGAACACACTGGCGCCATCTATTGGGAAGCAGTGTAAACTCGGCGGTCCGGCATATTTTTTTTATTTCTCGCGCAATATCCTTTCTTTTTTGGCTCGAAAAACTTTTGTCAATGTTATAAACGAGCCTTTCTATGGGTATTACGCACATTTGACCTCGGAAATCGCGCAAAACCTTCGCTTTTGTGAAATGCAGTTCTAGGGTCACCGCATAGATGGCGCCACAATGTCAGTGTGTCCCCTCATTCTAGAAACATTTAAGAAGTTGTAAGAGATCTCGTCTCTCTCAGTCGTACTCGGTCGCAAGAGTGTGAACGGGCCTTAACGATATCATACCTGTTCAATAGCTATTTGTTGAGACTTTCATTTGGTATATAATGTATAAGTAATACAATTAAATGTAACAAAAGTTATCATCATTCGAACAAACCAGGTGAATTTTAATCAAAGAAACCAGGTTCTAAACCTTTTTTTTTTATTTCAATATAAATAGAGCAAAAGCTTTTTGAACGTATTGGGCGCTTTGTTAATTTAGTTTATAAAACCATGTAAAAGGTTCATTTGTTGTGTTGAAAGTATCCGAGTCCGGTGAAGCTTCAAATACGCGACCTGTAATGATCGCTCAAATCCCAAAATCCGCCTTTGGTCCTTAACAGGTCAAAATCTCTAGAACTAAGTAGATGACGCAACAACGGCTTTTAGTTTCGGTCCGTTGCAACCTAAGAACGAAGGGCGAGGGTAAGACGGGGGCCGAACCGTCTGCTTCCTCCTCCCCGGCCCGTCTTACCCTCGCCCTTCGTTCTTAAGGCCCGTTCACACTCTTGCGACCGAGTACGACTGAGAGAGACGAGATCTCTTACAACTTCTTAAATGTTTCTAGAATGAGGGGACACACTGACATTGTGGCGCCATCTATGCGGTGACCCTAGAACTGCATTTCACAAAAGCGAAGGTTTTGCGCGATTTCCGAGGTCAAATGTGCGTAATAACCATAGAAAGGCTCGTTTATAACATTGACAAAAGTTTTTCGAGCCAAAAAAGAAAGGATATTGCGCGAGAAATAAAAAAAAATATGCCGGACCGCCGAGTTTACACTGCTCCCCAATAGATGGCGCCAGTGTGTTCTCTGGTTTAAGAAGTCTTAAGGAACCCAGGTTTAAGAGGTCGCAAGCAGTCGCAAGAGTGTGAACGGGCCTTTAGGTTGCAACGGACTATAGTAACATTTTTACCAAGAATCTATATATATATATATATTTTAACGTTTTCGATACATGACTTTTTTCTGTTTTTCCTGCCCGATTTGAAATGAATCTGTTCCCAGTCCCTCCTCCAGACATTTTAGAAGTTCGACGTGAACAATACGGGGGAGGGAGACCAAAACTTCC